TAATATCTCCTGGGAAAGTACCTCTTGGGGACAATTGATTTCTATATAATGAATTAAATAAAATCTTTCATATGTTTGAAATTCAAAAACCCCCAATAGTTATCATTTAAACAGTTGTTTGCACTGGGCTGGATTTCCTGATAGTCCTGCAGAACCTATGACTTCCACTGACCTCTGTGCTTCATGTCCACATTACCATTCTGCTTATTAAATCAGAATATAATACAGAGACCCAAAAGAGAAGATTTTCTTCATTTCTTTCTTCTTCTTTACTGCAGCAAAGTCCAAGTTGAGATGAATGTCTTATTTTATGTTGAAGCATAAGATTAGGCCAGCTTTGGTGTCAAATTTGCCAAGATATTAACAGGGCTTTAGCATCATTAGGCTAATAGAATCCTGCATCTGGGAACTGGAGAATGGCAGTCATGTCTGGTCAGCAGCTTTTGAAAATGGAGCTAGGTGACATATATCCACTGCAGCTCTGCCTCTCAGTTGATCTGCAATCATTCCTGGCTTTTAATGAAACCCTGGTCTTTGCCCTGCCTCTCTAATTAAAAAAAACACAAAAAAAACCCCAAAAAACCCCCCAAAAATCCCAAAAAACCTCTACCTTAAAAATTAAAGTGTATTTCAATAAAACATTTATTATGTCATTGGTTGGTTCCATTGAATGGAGAAACCCTGAAAAGAAAGATATTGCATTCTTCCAGGCTATGAGGTGTCTTGGAAGTGTTCTAAGGCATTTGAACCTGAAGACCCCACTTAACATCTCTTCTGTCCTCCTACTTCATGTGACTCATCAAACACTGATAACAATTCAGTGTGTAACCATGGATCAGCAGTAGGACAGCTGCCCACCAGCTTCTCATTTATTCTGCATGAACATCAAGCTGCCAAGTTAAATGCAAGCCAAAGAGCCAAGAGAAATAATAAAATATGGTTAAGGCATTGACCTGGTTCACAGGAAGTCTGGAGTGAGTTTCTCTCTTGCCCCAGAGTCTGGGACCTTTTGTCTGTCCTCTGTATTGTTGTAGCTCCGACTGATTGCCCTCAGGAGGTGGCAGCAATATTACAGTACTGCTGTAACCCCCTTCTCATTTCACAGTGTTGCTGTGAAGTTAATTAACAAAGGAGAGAGAGGGGTGTTAATGGTGAAGTGCCACCACTCCACAGTTCCATTTTACTTGTTTCCATTTCATCTTACCCAATAGTTCTGTTTCTCTTTGATTCTTGCTATTTTGTCTCCTGCTTTGGCTCTAGACACCCCAGTCTGTGCAGCTGCCAACATGCTGAGTGTGTGATTCATGGGGTTCTGCTTGGCAGATTTTTTGCAGGTCTCCCAATGACACCTCCATTGACATTGTGTGACAGGGTTAGAAATTTTAATTTCATACCAGGATTAGAAAATTGGCACTTTTGTGTGAGATGTAGGCCAGTTTGGAAGATAAAATAAATAAAATGCATGGAATTGACCTTAGAGTGATCTGTCTTCTTTTGTCTGGTCTGTATGCTGAAGGAAGAGACCAGTGATTTACTTGAATTTGACAGGCAAATGAGAATCTAACCATGTGTTTTGGAGACTTTTCCCCTTTTTTTTTTTTGTTTTTTGTTTAGTTTGCTATATTTTCATTAACATAGGCCACAACCCAGAGTTTCAAATAAAATGTGTGATTATAGGCCACAGCTGTTCTCAAGTTAGAAGAAATATTTGTAAACTTGGCAGCTGCTTGAGGAGCTGCAAATGGAGAAAAGAAAAACATTTAAATTTGAGTGGGTTGCTTAAAAACATCACTGAGGAATTTTTCCTTTATGTGCTTCTGATGTCTGTCTAGGATCAGGTAATACTGAATTGTTCTGTCTCTACATCTCTCCTTAAACCTGCAGATTCCTTCCATCTCTGTTTTAGGTCTTTCAGAAAAAAAAAAAAAAAAGAAAATTATGAGGTTGGATATGGCAAAATCTGTGCACTAGTTTTTCCCACTCTGATGAAATATATCATCTAGCAATTGAGGTTATTTTTTTTCTGTAATTTCATTATCTCCACTCAGACATAGCAGGACCTACATAGGATGTTGTACTGGTTTTGGCTGGGGTGGAGTTAATTTGCTTCCCAGGGGCTGGTAGGGGGCTTGTTTTGGATTTGTGTTGATAATACAGAGATGTTTTTGTTATTGCTGAGCAGGGCCTGCACAGAGCCAAGGCCTTTTCTGCTTTCTGTATGGCCACACTGGGAAGGAAATTGGGGTGTGGGGAAGGTTGGGAAGAGACACAGCCAGAACAGGTGACCCAAACTGACCAAAGGGATATTCCACACCACATGACATCATGCTCATACAAACTCATCATATATAAAGTGAGGGGAGGAAGGGGGGAACATCTGCAGTGATGGTGTTTGTCTTCCCAACCATTACTGTGATGGGGCCCTGCTCTCCTGGAGCTGGCAGAACACCTGCCTGCCCATGGGAAGCAGAGAATTAATTCCTTGCTTTGTTTTGCTTCTGGGCATAGCTTTTGCTTTCCCTATTAAACAGTCTTTATCTCCACCCATGAGTTTTCCAACTTTTACTCTTCTGACTCTTTCCCCAATCCCACTGGTGGGGGAGGTGAGAAAGTGGCTGCTGGCTAGGGTTACACCATGGCAAATGTGGATATAATTTGGTCACAGACCAAAAACATATGGTATTCCATAAACTGTGGGGTAGTGGGGCTCACTGTAACCCAAGTGAGGTGAAGTTTTGCACGACCTACAACAAATTAAGGTACATGTGCATATGGTGAGTATGGAGGGATCACTAATCTGGAGCTGGCATGGTCTGGTAAATCCATAGGATGCTGATGTACCAGGAAGAAACCCTTCCTCAAATATAGAAATGGCATAATTCTGCTGATGTACACAAACTAACAAAGAAACCTCTCTGGGTGTGTCTGTCCTTACCCAGATCACCTATAATTTTTCTTTTTTTGGCTGAAGCTGAGAGTAGTATTTTTATTCTTCATCACCCCAATATTCTCTCTGCAGCAGCTGAGATTCACCTGTGCTTTGAAGTTCCTCATGATGTGGCATTTCCTTTGGTCCACTGAGTCTGGACAACCCATGTGCCCATGTGAGCCCTGCTCTGAGAGCCCCTGGAAGAACAGAAGTTGTGGTTACCCCTTGCTTAGTATCCGTTGTGTTGCTGTGAATGCTTCCATTTAAAAGCAAATACAAAGAAATTCAAGATTCTGTCCTTTTTACTGAATTCTGGTTAAACTTTTTGCTTTCAGTATGGCTCAGAAAACCCTCCTAATTTTCTTGCAGAATTGTTATCAATTCTTTGAGGAACGAAGGATGGAGTTTTCAGAGTGACTTTTCTAGTGCTGTATCCTCAGAGCTTGCAGTATGTCATTTCGTAAGAACTTCCTAAGCCAAGCTTATCTGTAACTGCAAATGGTGTATTTGTAACTGCAAAATACCTCACAGGTACCACTACCTGCACATTCAAGTTTTTCTTGGACTGAGTAAATAGATGGACTCTACCTAGGAGGTCTTTTCCACCCTTAATGATTTTACTGGAAGTCAGCAGGAGGGGCAGAAGTAGGAGCTCTTCCCACCGAGGGTTGTTAAACCTGTCTCTAGAGTCCAGGTTCTGTGCAATTTTCTCCTTGGATAAAAACTGGAAAAGCTGGTGGACACTCTCCTGTCCTGCATGAATATTTCTGTGAGCACTGTGCTTCAAACTTATTGTCTGCTCCTAGGATTAATTTGTTCAGGTTTGCCAAGCAGTTGCTATTTCATGACAGAAAAAAAAAAGTAAAAATAATAAAAATGGCAAGAGAAGAAGCTAATTAAGTGGACCTTATGCAAACTCCTTTTGCTTTGCATAGGAAAGACACAAATTGTTCTCCTACCTGTGTGACATACTTTGCCATGGAACAGCAGTTCCTTCAAGTTATATTGACCTCTTAGAGCAAATGATTTCCTCAAAAATCACGTTTGCTATTTGATGAGTTTTCTATCTCATTAGAGAACCATTCAAATATAGCAGAGCTGATTTTTACCACCAGCTGCATTGCAAATTCTGGAGTGCTTCATGAAGGTTCAGTTAGCAAGAAATGTGATTATAAAGGTAAAGACTTTAATTTGCATATACAGGACAGATGCTTTTCATATTTTATCTTTTGTTTACCTTTAAATACCAACTAAATAAATAAATAAGGCTGGATTTTGATGCTGTCTGTTGTCAGAGTAGGGAACCTTGCCCTAGGAATAAATCCATCTAAGTCTGCTAGACTAGACTTACAGAAAAAGGTAATAAATAAGATTGCATGTGGTAGGATTTGGCCTGAATTTATCTACATATTTAGGTGGTCCTTGTGTATATGCATACAACTTGGAAACATATGCATCAACTTTTTAGCCAATTTAATGCTATTGCAGAAAGGATTTTTCTGTCCTAGTGAGTTTTTTACAAAAGCAGATGGGGAAAAAGATCCCAGTCTTTTGTTCTAATGAGAGTAGCTAGAGGGAAAAAGAAAACACCACATTTGAATTTTCCCAAAATTTTCCATGTCAGTTTCCATGCCATTTATTTTAAAAAAATTAAAAATATCCATGCCTTTGGGAACTTGACATTGTAGTAAGTTTGCCATATCAAACTTCAAGTTCTTATGCCTTGGAATATGGCAAGAGGAGACTTTCTCAGGGAGGTGTTGCTATGCTTCAAATACTTTTTTTTAACAAGGGTAGGTCTCTAATCTTCATCTTAGAAAACTTCTGTTGTGGATGGTAATTACAAAAAGGAAGGGAAGGAATGCAGTGGAATGGAAAACTGAAAGCTAATCTGTTTAAATATGAGCAAGTTACAGGTGCTCAGGCAATGCTGAGCACAGCATTGTTACAGTGAGGGTGAAAATCTGGACTCAGCTCTCAAGAGGTGACAAGTGCAATCTCTAAAGTACACAGATATACCACAGAATGATATGGCATTTGATATGAGGTATTTTTTCCATTGGTATTGTAGGGTGAAGAAGGCTTTCCTGGCTTTCCTGGACTGAAAGGGGATAAAGGAGAAAAAGTAAGTCCAAGTCTTTATTAATTATACTCTGAAAAGTTTAAGAGTTTATAAAGCTGTTGTGGAAGTCTAATGAAAACTGACCCTCCTCTAAGTCTTTTGTTTTACCTCTGTATTACATTTTGTTTCATTTTGTGTAAGCAAGGTGCTCAGAAAAGGAGATTGTGATGTTGTGCTGTCATTCATCAAAGTGCAGCTCAAAGTTTTCAAACGTATTGATGATGCTCAGCCACATTTGACAAATGTGTGGAGAGTTCAAAGGCATGAGATTTGACTAAACTTTGTAAAACTCCAAAATACACAAATGTAATAGAACAGGAACTCAGTGCTAATGCACACAGAAACACTAGAGGCTCTTCAGTATGAGACACAGAAAGCCAAAGATTGCTATGCCTTTACTTGCACAGAACATAAATAACTTTTGTACTGTGGTGGCTTTTAGCTGCTTACAGTGTCATCATCTTAAAAAACCCCCAAAAATTAAATCCAGTACTGAGCTAATTTTGTAGACTAGTATTTACTTTGGACACATTTGTTAGAAATCCCTTAATCAAATCCTCATTTGCAGGAGGAATTTTAGGAATTTAAACTTTTCCCACCTCTTATAAAATAGCAAATGTTCCAGACCACAAGGCAAGATGCCCTTCCAAGTAACACATAACAAACCAGCCCTGTACAGTCACAGCCTACAGTGGCAGCTTGCAGTGCCTGTGTCTGTTTCTCACTTGAGCCTTTTTTTATAACAAGCCTAAGACAAAAGGGCTGCAGTGCCTAGAAGTGAAAACACCAAGCCAGTTCCTCATTGTGTGTTGACTTGCCTGTTGTTTGTTCCACTCTCCAATCGTTCTTTAAATTGACAGCTGCAGGCAGCAAACTTGCTTTTTCTCCACATTTGCTGCCATTCCTGTTAGCTGGGGAGCTACCAATCTCAGCATATTTAGTTCCATTCATCCTGGTGCAGAGGAAAATTTTAAATGGTAAAATTTTGAATTTAAGTGGTGTTTGGCTTTCTGTTTCTTTGTTTTCTACACCTTTGCATATTCACAATTCTGGGACTCACTTCCCAGTGACCAGGGTAATTCCTGAGAACTGTTTGAATATATCAGGCTTCCTTTCTGTGTGCTTTTAGGCTTACTGCTTATGTATATTATAGCTTTGCCTAGAGGCTTCTGAGCTTTGGGATGAATGCTGTATAATCAAGTAGGAAAAAAAAATTAAAAATTCAATTCTTGAGACAATGGAACAGTGAAGAGAGAAGCTAAGAGAAGATGATGTGATAACGTTAAGATGACTCAGTTGTTATGTGTCTAATTAGCTCCAGAGCTTCTATATTAATTTATTCTTAAATGAGTTAAGTGGACGAGAGTGCCTAACTCCTCATTAGCAGCTCATCAATCATCCCTAGTGTGTTAATGTCAGCAGCAACTCCTCCAGAAACTGTAAATAATAAATGTTTATGTTGAAATATTTCTCATTTCTTATTCTTCTCTAGATGCTCTGCTCGTGTCACTGCACTTGCAGAAGTGTTAATGCTGTGCTGATGATAACTCTCTTGTTACAGGGATCCCTGGGCTCACCTGGCCCCCCTGGGAGGGATGGAGCAAAAGGAGAAGCCGTAAGCCTTTTTTTTTCCTCCCATGTAATCCTGCTTTTCCGTGTGAGGCAGGCAGTGGGAATCAATCTGCCTTGAGTGGAACATGTCTGGGGAGTTTGTGTGGTCGTTTTACGAGCAGCAGAAACAAATGGCAGGAGGTTAATAGCCTCAAAACTCTCCCTCGTGTCTGCAGCCAAGGCAGGTGTCCTATGGATTAACCATGGCTGGAGGCTCCAGGGCAGCTCTGTTATCATTCATTAAGGAGAGAGAGGGAGCAGCCTGTGGTTTGGGACCTGCCAGTAACTAGCTGCAGCTGCAGGGCCTGGCCACTTCTTTTATGGCTGGCAACGAGTCCTTGGCTAGTAGAGACAGCAAAGGTGCAAGGGACTGTCTTACGTTTCCTCAGCAGACATGGGCTGGAGAAATTGGAGTCTTGGTCACAGAAGAAAAGATCTCAACTCCTCTGGTGCACTGATAAAAACTAAGAGAAGAGGAGGAGGGCATGGTTAGTTCAAGGAAGGATGCAGTGTACCAAATACTGCCTGTAAGAGGAACTGCAGTTGAAAAACAAAACCACAACTGTTTTCCAGTATCTCACAGATTTGTGTTTTAGAGCCTTACACCTTTTCCCCTGCTTGATCACTATTCCTTAGAAACATCTTCAACCTGATGTTGAACCTTCACCATGTCATTCACTGTCCCTTTGTGGCAGTCACTTGGTGGCAATTGAAGGAGTTTGGGAAGAGATTCTCTGGAAGGCAGGTACACACAAAGGCAGTGACACACACTAAAAAAGATCTTTTCCTTACACCCTGTTCCTTTGTTCCACAATTGTCCTACTTTGGAAAAACTGTGACAATTTTTTGATATTGGTTCCAGAACTGATGCAATTTCATCACATCACACATGGCATGGGATTGGACAGTGTTGAACTTGCAGAATTCCTTATAGGATGTGTTCATACACTGCAAGGTGACAATTCAAGAACAAATGAATTATGCTGACACCAAGGAATCCATCTTTGCATGCTGTACGCAGTGCAAGCTGTTCACAACTTAGGGAACTCATTTTTTACTGGTTGGTTGTGTTTTGAGAGGAGATGGAGAACTGCTTCACTTTTCATTTTCCTTCTTTCTGCTTTCATTTTTGTGAGGAAGACACATTGTAAACTTTCAGATCTCTGTATAATGGCACTCAGGACTGTCAATGCATGTACTGACTATTTTGAGCTATCCTAGCCTTTATATATAAAAGATTTGTGTTTACCGCCAATATTTCTGTTGCTTGCAGGGTGAACCAGGACAGCCAGGAGTATTTGGACTGCCTGGGCCAGCAGGTCCAAAGGTAAACTCTCCATTTCTTGTTTACATGGGCAGGCATATTTTTTTCACTGACATTTTATGTTTACATAGTTTGAATTATTCCTTGTTCATGACATTTGATATTCTCACTGGTGAATGAAAAAACTCAAAATGCTCATTTTCATCAGGGGTCTGCTAAAATATCAGCAATTATGCAAAGTGTGTGAAAAGAAGAAATAAGTTTTGTTCAATCAACAGCATAGTAGGAGAAGGTGAAGAAAACATGTTTTGGGGCACATAAGCCTTTGTGTCATGTCTTCAGTAGCTTTCTCAACTTTCACTAAGATGCAGATGAAAACTATTATCCCTACTCTATAACTTGAAAAAAAGATCATGTAGAGATCCTATCCTGAATGTTTCTGCCTATTTTGGGAGCTCCAGTTTTGCACCAGTGAGCAGAGCCTGAGTGATAGAGAACTCGACTCAGTGCTTATATCACTGGGTTTGCTTCAAACAAGGTGCTTCCGAATGCAGATCTGGTGAGACTTAGCTGAGCATCAGAAATGAGAATTTTGAAGAAGCAATTCTTTAACCTCCTTTCAAAGTGTCAGCTCTCCCTGCCTCATTCTGTGGTTATTGAGGGGATAAATACCCCTCAGGTGGTTTCAGCCTTGTTGTTATAACACAAAAAGTAGATGGTGCATTGTGACAAAGATGTTTTTAAGGGTATCACGCACAGCAAGTTCAGCTCATCCTGTGAAAGGTGCTGCAAGGACAACATTGATGTCCTTGATTGCCTGAATTAACTTCACTCAGTTCTGTTCCTGTACAAGCCAAGGCCTTTGAATATCTCATCTTTCTAGAAGAGCCATTTCTAGTCACCTAAATCTCACACTAAGTTCACTGAAGCCATTATCCTTATACAGGAGTTAAGTACCTCAGCACCTTTCTGGATGCAGCCTGTGACTGTCACTTGGCTCTGTATGAGAGGACTTGATGAAGCAAGTCAAACTCAGGTCCTCCGTGTTCCTCAGCTATGCAGAGCCCTGTCTCCAAAATGTCCCTGTGTTTTTGCATAGAGGGAAATTCACCCTTTCCCAAAGTCCCATCAGGAGGGTATCAGAGCTCATGAGGAGTTTGCAGATTAGCAGAAATACTTGGCAGCTGTCCCAGGGTTCTTTGTGGAAACCATATTGGCTTCAGCAGGGGATGAGTGACGTGCAAAGCAGGGCTGGGCCAAGCTGAGTGGAGGCACACTGAATATCTTGCCCTTCAGTGGGATTTGGATCTTGGATGAAATGAACTAAATTTATCACTCAGAAATGTTTTTTAGCTGCATCTCTACTATCAAGTAAATAAATACATATTTTCTCTCTGTCCTGCATGTCTCATGTAGTAGAATTACAAACCAGCAGGCTATATGATGCTCTATGTGGTATGAGCTTCCCCACACTTGCTTTGCAGAGCTTTTACAAACCAAGCTAAACTGAGGCACCTACATCTTCCTCAAGATGGACTTGATCCTGCTCCCTATTGCCCACCAGGTTCTTCAGGAATGTGCAATTCAGCCAATTACTCAGGCAGTGCTGAATAGAAGGAGTTGAGATCTTCAGGGCAGGTGGGGCTGGACCTAAAGACATCTGACTGGACAGTGCCAGGTGCTCTCAGGGAAGACATGAGCTTGGCCAACCCCAGCCTCTCATAGTGCCTAAATAAAAAATTATTGTGTGTTTTCACTGTGACTTTCAGTTACCTCAATGTGTGCATTGGCTGTGTACAGTGTCCTTGAGCTGGATTCTGGCCTGAGCTATTTTAAGAAATAACCCTGACTTGCTGACAGGGCTTTAAAATCTGAAATATGAATCCACACTCCTTTAGACCTCAGTGTAAAGCCTGAGAACCTGGTCAACATGCAACAAGTTGTATAAGGATGGGTGGAGCTGGCAATTAGAGAGGTCACATCTCCAATTACTGGGGTAATGATTATTTAAGGGGTTTTTGCCAGATCAGTTATTTTTGTCATCAGCATCAATACAGCAGCTCTGGACTTTGCCCCAGGCTCCATGGAGAGCAACCTTGCAGTTTCTGTGATTGGTTGGGTTGTGATCCTTCCTGTCTCAATCCATCTTCATTAGCATTGAGCCAGGCAAGCCCAGTGTGTGCTCAGCAATGATACCTGTGCCCCAGGAAATTCAGCCCCTTGTTTATCTCCTTGGCTGAGGAGCCTTTTGCTTCAGTGGGAATTGCCAGCACTTTCTTTTAAGAAGTTGTCTTGTACTTTTTAACTGTGTGAAGCTTCCAGTAGCACAGATAAGAGAACTCCAGATTTCTGGTAATGGAATTTCAGTCCAAAGAGTTACAGAAATGGCCTCTGAGCCCATTAGGTTCATGTATAGGTTACAGGAATGAAATGGCCTTGGTATGTCATCCCTGGTTTTACTTCTCAGTGATGTCTCCAGGGGGGGAATTGTTCCTAGCTCAGTGTCTTCAGCATAAAACTGCAGGGTTTGGAATGATGCTTTTCTTTTTCATCAGACTTAAGGGTAAACTTCTTTGTTCCCCGAGAATGATGTGTGATTTTGCTAGTTACAATCTGGACACAAAGAAGAGTTATCAAAATCAGCCTTGTGCTGAGGTGTTGGAGCTTCTGGTTACAGGTGTCTTGGTAGCCTGAGACAGCAAGAAATATTCACTGCTCAGTGGGGAGAACTCCCACATAAATGTGTGGGACTTGGCAGGTTAATTTAAATGGAATAAATGGGTCCAGAGAGAAATGGCCATATCTCAGATTGTTCATTGTACAGTGTTATAGCAGAGAAATAAAATTTGGATTTTTGAGATCAGACCCTTTAGCCTGCAATATCCTTCAGCAAATACTCAACCTTTTCCTTAGTTTTTCTCTGCTGTATCTCTAATAAAAGGATAAAGAGTTTTTTTTTGTGGTTGTCATTGCTGTGGCATAGACATAGCTATAGCATTCCCATCTGAACTGACAGTTATCTGCACTTAATAGAAAAAGCAGAGGGAGAGCAGAAAAAAAAAATCAATCCTTTGAAATAAAATGTATTAGGTAAGAGCTTCATTTTGACAAATTTCCTTCTTCCTTTCACAAGCTGTCGAAGGTCTCACGCTTCTCTGGTTTACCAGACATGATCTCAGCACAGGCCTTGAGTGGGTTCAGCACATCTCATCCAGACAAACCCAGTTTCTCTCTAACACTCTGCTGAGTGTTACACGTTTTATGTAACAGCACTGAGTTGGACTTCTGTAATTTGGACAACCTGGAGCAGGACTCTGTTTCTCTTGGGGTTTTGCCTAGACCTTGGTAGCAGTGTTTTTCTGCAGGCTGAATGAGAGATTTAGGTGCATGCCTGCTGCTCTCCCTCTGATATTAGAAGACTTCCTGACCTTGCAGAGGTTCTCACATGTCTGATCTCAGAGCCATCTTTGCTTGTGCTTGAACCCTACTCTTGTTAACCTGCACTGAGGAAAAAAAGCCTCATTTCTGCTACTAACTAATTGCAAACACATCTTGCATTTTTAATTTTGTTATCTTTCTAATATGAAACTTCTATAAATATAAAATGTAGTAATTATTTTAAAAAATATTTCACAATAATATCTCTATCTGTTTTGAAGCCTTATCCATTAGTGTGAGATTAGTCACACCCAATTAGTGTGAGGCAGGAGTTAGACAGATGAGGGTGGTGGGAAAGGGGAAGTGATGTAAGTAAGAAAATAATCAGACAAATAGATGATATAAAATGTTAAACCAGTTCTCTGGGTTAACCTGCCAGGCCCAGGCTGTCTTCATGGGACAGCTCTGAGAGTTGAGCCTGTTCAGCTGATGATGCAGATAATTTCCAAGCATTATAAGACACATTAAGGGCACACTGTGAGTACTCTCCATTACAGTGTATCTTCTCCAGGGCGAGTCAGTGCAAAGGCAGCTGAAGGAATGATGAAATGTGCCTGACCCTCTTGCATTTTTTCTTATCAGTAAGAATAAACATTGGAAAATTTAGTTCTGATCTGTTTCTTTGCATTTACTCTTCAAAACATATAACATTTTGAAGACTGTGGTAACTTTGCAGCAATGTATACCTTTCCTTTTCTCCATTAACCCTGTGTTCAGGAGCCCCAGCAGGTGTTGTGTGCAACAACTGACATTGCCAAACCTTCTGAAATAACCTGTAGAGTAACCTGTATGGGACAGTTTGCCTTTGTAGTTTAAGCCTGAGAGCAGAAGGAGAAAACTTGTTAATATCTGAGGGGACAAAGGAAAATACTGGAGTGTCAGTCTGGGTAAGCAGTTGGAAAGTAAGACATTACTCCTGTATTAGCACTGAGAGAGTCAACAAGCCTCAATGTAAGCCTGCAAGAGCAACTTCTCTAGAAACTTTCTTTCCTTTTTCAGTGTGTTCTGCCCAGATATATTTTTTTATTATGAAGCAGTCTATAGTCTGTCTGACCACTTACCTGCACTATGTCCAAGTGGTGAAATTTTCTTGATTTCACCGAGTTTCTTCTGTCTTCATTAAATGAGAACAGACCTGTAGCCAGTAGAGAGGTGTCAGCAGAAATGACTTGATTACTGGGATAGCAGCTGGTGATTTCTTGATGCTCCCACTGTAATGCAATTGCTTTGGTCTGTGATGATGCACCATTGATATGGTGCTTGAAAACTTCATCAGAACACCAAAGAAAAAATACCACCTCTCAGCAAATTTTCAGTCACATTTTCAAAGCTCTCAGTGAATAGCCTTTGGGCTCAGGGACAAACCTGCATTGAATGAACAGACAGCGAGACCAAAATAAATTAGATTCTTTCCAGTTAGCACCTCTGTCTTGTGGTCTCAGCTTGGTAAAGCAGCCTTTTAACTGGTGTTGGAAAGGCTGTCTGGATTTTCTGAGATTTGATGACCCAGATGGGACTCACCTCCCATAGGCTGGGGGATGAAAGGATTCTGAGCTGTCCTGCCAAGAAGTACTTGGGGTACTGGTGGATGAAAAGTTATACATGAGCTGGCAGTGGGCACTCACAGCCCAAAAGCACCATGGGAAGCAGGTGAAGGAAATGATTCTGCTCCTCTGCTCTGTTCTGGTGAGACCCCACCTACAGTGCTGCATCCATCATTGGGGTCCCAGCACAGAAAAGATTCATGGACCTCTGAGAATGGGTCCAGAACAGGGTCATGGAAGTGCTGGGAAGTCTGTAGCAGCTCTCCTGTGAGATAAGGCTGAGAGATGAGGTTGCTCAGTCTGCAGAAGGCTCTGAGGAGATCTTAATGTGGCCTTCCAGTATTTAAAAGATGCCAAACCTTTTAATGAGGACATTAAAAGGTTGTGATAGGACAAGGGATAATGGTTTTAAAGTAAAAGGGGTTAGATTTAGGTTGGATATAAGGCAGCAAGTTTTTACTATGAGAATGGTGAGACTCTGGAACAGAGTCTGGCGAGATGGTGGATGCCCCATTCTTGGAAACATTCAAGGCCAGCTTGGACTGGGCTCTGAGCAACCTGCTCCAGTATAAAATAGCCCTGCCCATTTAGATGATTATGCATAATCATCCTGAGGGCAAAATATACCCAGGCATGGAGCTTTCATTAGCTTGGAGGTAAAACTCCACTATAGTGCAAAGTAAACTGAAGTTTAAATTATTACACCAAGAAGCACTATATGCTTTGGCAGTTTTAGAGAGGTCCCTATTGTCTGAGCCTATTTGCCTCTCTACAGCTATAAGCTGATTGCTCAGTTTCTACAATACAGGTAAGGTATTTACATACACACAGGGTGTATGCTGAGCCAAGGGAAGCTGAAATCCCATTGTGCCCATTGAGTCAATTGTGCTAGCGCCACATCAAACCGAGCTCCAGCAATGTTTCTGGTGTAGCTGGGAGGAGATGAATTATGCAGTCCTGAGGAACACTGGCATTGGATTCACAGCACAAAAATGTGCTGGGCCCCCAGGACAGAATTCATCTAACCTTTGCCAGTTCTCAAAACTACCTGCTGTCTGTCTGGCTACTGCATCCAAACCCACCAGGAACAGTAATTCTTGCTTGTTTATGCAATAGGTTTTCTCATCAGTATTGTCCTTTACCAAAGTTCTCATTGTTTACAAGAAACTTGAAAAATGCAGAGCATTGGTTGTTTTCCAGACCATCTGTAGCTGTGGTGTGTTCCCTGTCCCTCCACTCTGCTGTTGGCAGGAGGGTCATGTGTCTGCAGGCAATATAATATTACAGATGTTCTTGGGCTCACAAGCGGTCCCTGCTCTGTGAGTCTGCTTAGATCATGCCTGAAGTCAACTTTGAGGACTGGCAACACAGAAAATGTCCTTGAGGTTCACTTGAATAGATTGTGCAGATGTGCACACTGATTTTGTGACTAATTAGAGGAGGTAACTATGCCTCTACTTGGATTTAGCTTTATAATCTTTGTCTATTTTTATTTTTAGGGTCTACAAGGAGAAAGAGGAGAAAAGGGAACACGAGGAGACAAGGTATTCCTGCTGCATGCTAGAAAAAAACAGGCTTTTCCTTTGTCCATTAGGTGAGGTGGACTACCAGGCCAGCAGCTCTGGAGAGGAATGGAGTTTCCTCACCGCTGGACTTCCAAGTGCTCTCCACCTCCCACGGGTGTGCTGGAGGGCTTTCAGGATCTGTGCTGTCTACTAAGCACACATTTAGGGACTTCTTGTGTGTATGTAGCCAGGGATGGAGGAAAGAGAGGAGGAGAAGAGTGGAGGCTGCCAGTGTGGAGATCTGAAGGGATGTCCACATTGTGTACATAACCTGAGAGCTGAAAATGGTCACTGACTTCCATGACCATGTCTGCATCCAGTATTTTCCCATCTCATTCCAGTTTTCCATATCAGACAACTTCCTGTGTTTCTTTCTTCTGCCATCTCCATAAACCCAGTAGTAGTAAGCACCTTTACTATTCCAAAGGCCTCAACCAAATGGAGTTGCTTCTCAGTTCCATGATCTCTCCTGACCGTCGAGAGCTGTTTCAGAGTACAGGTCACTCTGGGATTTGAACCATATTTGTGGCTCAAAGAAAATACTAAATGCTTATTATACCTGGAATGGGCATTTAAAAGGACAGCTGGATAGGCACAAAGCCTTAGTTATTTCAGTTTGCTCACTGTGTTCAGAGCAACCACAGATGTGCACCCACTTCTGCTTGTAGACCTGCTTGGCAGTGCTCAGGGCCCCCCAAAAATGTTCTGTCTTGCTTATGACTCAAGCTGGTCCTGACCCAGGTTCATCTCAAGGAGGGTCTGGCAGCTTTGCCTGTGTTTGTGTAAAGGAGGGAGTCACCATCTTGCTAGCATACCTCTGTTCCCATTTCTCAGTCTCCATCTTCTTCTGGAGAGGAAATCCAGCAATTAACACCAAACTTTTGCCTACTAGGAAAAATTATCAGTAGACCCTTAGTGTGAGATATTGTTTCTCTTTACCAACGTTCTTTCTGCTGTTTATGATAAAGTACCCATGATCATATTTTGTATTACCTATCCTCATTATTGCAGCTAGAGTAAATGACTGGATTGTACTTTATCTTTGTCATGCTCTTCCTGCAGCCCTTTGCAGAACTGGATAGGTGTCCTGTGTCTAGCCAGTGCCTCTACTGCTTTTCCAGAGCCAACACTGTCTAATCTGCTGGAATATTTGGCTCTTAGAAGAAAATCCATCTTTCTGACATCACTGTGATGGGAGAGGAAGCTGGAGCTGTGTGTGGGCAGGCAACTAAATAGGGGAAGATTAAAGTAGGGAAGAAATGAATTATGTTTTGTTTCATTAGAAGGATCTGCACAATTAGAAGTGCCCCCCCAATCCTTTTTGGTTTTCTTTTTTTTCCTGAAGCGGCCAAATCTCTGCTACAACAATTGTGCTTAGATTTTTTTCCAGGTTTTAATGATGGTCTCAGTGCACCCACTGCCAGTGCTTTAACTTTTACCAGTCAGTACTACTGTGAAAACAGTGGGCGTAAATTTGGTGGGCCAAATATTTTCTTGTCTGCTCTTCAGTCTGTAACCTGAATACTGACTCCTACACAACCTGTGTTTCTTTGTGCCTGAAGAGAAAAGGGGTTATAGTGTCAGATGGGAGCGCTAGTTCCTGCACTGAGTATTGTTTTATCAAGTCCTCCCCCTTACTACCAAAAAAGCCCTCAGTATCCCATCCATCTTGCTGCATTATTCACATATCCTGGGACCTCGGATGTAAAATGTTGAGGTTTTATAGTGAGGTTCCCAAATCCAGTAGTACGGGTTACACCTGCACTTTTGGAAAAGCACTGCACCATATGAGGGATATCCCATGCCCTTTTCCATCCAATGAGCTCTTTGTAGACCCCAGGACAGACCCCACAGATAAATATGATGCACTGCCCTGCTAACAGGAGCTGCATCTGCATGAGATTCTTGGCATTCTAATTTAGGCATGTCCAGCAGTTCAGTGTGACAAAGGGCATTGCTTTTGCTGCATAATCCTGTGTCCATCCTGTAAAACCTTGTCTGTTTTATTGAGAAGGGATTGTGTAAGAAGGCAACAGGACTGGTCTGCTGCTGCCAGATCCCTATGCAGTGGATTTTTTTTTTTCTCCTCCAGCCTTTCCAGGGCCCTACAGACTGCTGGGTAATCATTTTTCCAACAAATCATTACATTTTCTAAATGGTAGGGGTCAGAGAGCAGCACTGAAGTTTTGGCAGAATTGTCATTTCCCCTAGTTGCTTGTGAATCTTCACCATTTTGTTCCACTGGTTAAAAGAAAAAAAACCCAGTAGAACACAGGAAAAATAAATGAAATCTTAAAGTGAGAATCTGAGAATGAAACATTAATGTGTTTGTTCTCTCTGTTGCGAGAAAAGTACCTTTCACTGAGTAGCTTATTTAAAGAATAGAAAAATAATAAAAAATATTTATAATGACAGTTTTTTTCTGAAGAAACAGTAGAAAACACAATCGTTTGGAAGATTTTCAAACAGATTTTTTTTTTGTTTTTGCTTGTATAAATAATATATTTGCCTTTCCCAGCCCCAACTGGTAGCAGTAAGAACATTGACACTTTTCTGTTTTGGCAGCTAAACCAGCGTGTGTGAAGTACTCATTGCTGCAGTGTATTGATGTTAAAAATTCTCCTGGGAACACACTGCACATTTTCTCAGCAATATACCAGGCTGTTGCTTGCTGAAAGTCTTAAAATCAGGATATTTGTAGTTCAGGCAGTGCAAAAGAAAGCATTAATGTGGAAGATATCACCTCCAAAACAAGTGGATCTGGGTGTCTGACACTGGTTTTCATATGTTTTCTGGAGGACAATGGTCTCTCTCATTTCTTGAATGCACAATTTGAAATAATATTTATGTCAGAAGATGGATTGACTTTCTAAGGAGGAAAAATAAATAGTGATTAGCAAATCAGTTTCTGACTTAGCAAATCAATATCATTGACAAAAAAAGCTGATTAAATCCAATGCTGTAAGTGTGGGTTTGCAGATAATAACAATGGTCTAACAGAGTTTAATATATATAAAAACACTAAAAAATTAGCTTGTCACTGCTTGTACTTGTAGAATTTGTTTTGACACATTAACACTGGCATTGTGTGTGTGTTTGATAGTTTATATTCAACTGTGTGCAAAGGATCCTAACAAAATCTGTTTCATTTTTCAGAGGTTTAAGGACTTTAGAGAGTACAAGAAACTCCCTGTTTCTAAGAGTTTTTAAACTGAAGAGATTGAATGGTCAAAGTCCACAGTCAGTGGGAGAACTGTGCAGTTCAGCAGAAGTATGCAACTGATCCAGTTTTTACCAAGAACTTCAATTATAAATTATGAAACGTGTTGAGCTTGAATATGGAAGAACAATAGACATCAGGGCCAGAATTCAAAATTACCCTGTAAACAGAATCCCCCAAAGCAGAAGATGACGTTGAGAAGGGGAAGCTGCAGAATGTTTCATACACATGAGACAACAAATTGCAGTTATGGACTGGGGACAACTGATCAAGGAACCATCTTGTGGAAGGGGGGTTGGTGTAAACATTTTCCTGGGATTTAAACACAAGAGTAGTCTAAAAAAATAATGAAAACATATTCCTCCACAAAGTTAGCCTCAGGTGTATTGAGTTTCATGCACCTAGCTACAATGAAGATGTGGAAAAAATTGGACACTGCACAAAGGGGAGCAATAAAAATGATCAGAGGACTGACAAACATGCCCATGAAGAAAAGTTTAAAGTATTATGGTTGTTTACTCTAGAGAAGTTTGAAAGGGGAGTTTTGTAAATCTTCAAATACAGAACAGGTCATAGTAAAGATGAAGGAAACACTCCCGTCTGTGGGGCATTAGGGAAAGACTTACTAATCTGGAAGTTCAGCAAAAAATAAATCAGGTTTAAGTGCAGCAGGAAAAACCTGTATCTTCAAGTAGTAAAATTAAAGTAGTGAAATCCATTGCATATGGACACTTTGTGGACTGTCCAGCTCTGGAGACATATAGGAAAAAAATAATTGTTCCCCCAGGTTACAGAGAAGAAAGGTGAAAAATTAAAGATTTTTCTTTACCGGGTAAAACTGACCTATTGTTGGACTGCTTTCTTATTTCTGTAAGAGCTGTTCTGTGCTGATGTTCTCCTGGAGCACATTGTACAGTTTACATAAACCCACCTCAGCAGGCAGAGGAAGGATGCCAACATGGAAAGCACACATCTGCTTCTGGTTGCAGCAACTTTTCATGGTACAGATGTAGGAACTTCAGCTATTTTCTGGGACTGGCTGGAATTTCTCTCCTTTTTCTTTACTCCTGGAGCTGATAATATGAACATCACCTTCAGGGCAGTGACCTAAACAGTACAGAATTATAGTGGTTCTTTCTCTTTGTTTTCCAGGGAGACAGAGGCCTGGATGGATTCCCTGGAAAGCCAGGTGTGGAGGGGAAACAGGTATGTGACAAATACTCAATAACTGCAAGTGTTTCTTGGGAAAGAGTGGAAGTTGACCCTAAAACTGAGACTTATCTTGGGTAGTTGCTGAATCATGACAGTACCCAATGAAGTCCTTATTCCAAAGAACTTTGTTGGCACAGTTTTCTTTTTTTGTTTGTTTGCTTTTAAAATTAAACTAGAATGCAACTTACAGGAAATGCCAGTCCTTTAAATGTGATAGCTCAAATATTTGTCTTAATTTTCATTAAATACATAAGAAAGCACTCAGAAAAATTCAGTTGTTTAAGCCCACAATAGGAAAGGAAGAGAACTGGATTTAATATATTTGGTTTGTTTTCAATAAAAAAAGCTTGGAATTATTTACATTTTTAAAACAAAAACAAAACAGAAAATTGCCTGGAAGATGAGTACATTTCTGCTGATCAGACACATACTGCTTTGTCTAAAAATGCTCTCTGTAGGTTCCACAGGACTGTTTTCATTACCCAGGGAATGATACCTAATGAGAGGCATCCTTTCCTTCCAAGGACCTTCTGGTCTAAATAGCAAAGGACAGAATAAGAAGCAGAGGCCAGAAGTGATTTGCCAAAAGCCATGCAGCTAATCACCGCCACACTTGAGCCTGATGCCTCCAGGGTGCAGCATCTGCATCCTGCTCTGTTCCTCAGCCACAGTTTACCATGTACCAAGAAGTGTGTGTCTAGTTAGTGTTTATAAGTATCCTTGCAAGATGGAAATGTTTTCTGGTGTCACAGATGGATAAAGAACTAGTTTATACTTGCAGCAAATGTAGATGAAGTAGGAAATGGCAGAGGAATGTGTAGATGGATCCTGTTTGTTCACTACTTCAAAGGAACAACTTCTCCAAATGAAACCCTGTTACAGAAGTTGAGTTTTCTGAAGCATTTATTCATTTTTCATGTCTAGACACTTAGAAGGGGGTAAATCTTCATGTCTGAATTTTATACTAAATTTTCTGTTTGACACTGATATATCAGTGAACTGCAGTTCTTCTGAATCAGCTGAAATTGGATTGGTGTTATTGTGGTTGCTGTGGAATCTCCACTGTTATTCTCTTTCCTCTGTGCACCAAAGTCAAAGCAGCCTCATGTGTTCTATTAATTCCTCCCCTGTGCAACAGGACATCACTCCCTGTGCTGCCGATACCTGCAGCCTTGTTTCTCCCACACTTTAGAAACAGTTTTCTCTCAATTTTGCCTCTTTATAGGGTCCTCCTGGCAGCCCTGGTCCTCCTGGTACCAGTGGGACCAAAGGAGACAAGGTAAGTTGGGATGGGATGCACACAGTGGATTTAGAAAAACATTTGTTAAATTCTTCCTTGGGCCCTCTGCTGGAAATATCAGGGCTGTTGATTTTTATATTGTACTAAAATTTCTCTCGTTTGTATAGAACAAAAGCTTATATATATTTAAATGTTTCACTTTTCTGACACGGCTTCAGTCTGAAATGGGTGTAAGTGTTAAAATGAGTCTGGTTATGGCTCCTCTGGTCTTAGTTCAATGCTCATAGTGAAAGTAGAAGGAAATAGAGTGTAGTTGGGGTCAGGAAATCTTCCTCATCTAAGAAATGTGGGTAGGAATGTCAATATGTTTGTGTAGAAGCTGTTTCTCTGACCCAGGAGATGTAGAATTGACTCCAAAAGTTACAAAATTCCTCTGAGCCTCATAACTGCAAAATAATTATTCACTGCTCTCAGCAGCAATTTTGACCTTGTTGTTTTTCAGAGTTGTTAAAACTATTCAAGGTAGACTTATGTTTTCTCCTCTGATAGAGATGATGCTGTGGTTTTGGTATTTCCAACCCAGTTCTTTGGCAGGAGTGCAAAGGCATGGCCATTTCTGGATTTCTTTCTCATTTTCTCCTCTGGACTATCCAAGAATGCAGAGATTGGAAGCAGTGTCCATTATTCTCTTCCTTCGGTAGTGATCAGTCTTGAGTTCATAATGCTTCAACCATATTTCAAATCCAGCTGCAACTATTGCTTCCAGAAGATGTTTATCTCCTTGGTCTGATATTTTCAGAGTGGCTGGTGTATGTCTCTTTACAACTTCTTACATAATTTTAAGTCTTTCTAGAATAGGCCTGTTTGGATGGGGCCCTGGGCCACCTGATCCAGTGCGTGGCATGTCTGCTCAAGGCAAAGGATATGAACCAGGTATTTTGGACAGACTGGATTGATGGGCTAAGGTCAATAGTATCAAGTTCCACAAGCAAAGTTCTGGCTTGTAAACTCCGGCCACCAAAACAATCCCCTGCACTACTCCAGGCTGGGGACAGAGTGGCTGGAAAGCTGTCCAGCAGGAAAGGCTCTGGGGGTGCTGGCTGACAGCAGCTGAAGGTGAGCTGGCATGTGGGCAAGGGGCCTGGTGGCCTCCTGGCCTTCTGTGTCAGCAACACTGTGGCCAGCAGGATCAGAGCGGTGATTGTCCCTCTGTGCTGGGCCCTGGGGAGGCCACACCTGGAGTGCTGTGTGCAGATGTGTGCCCCTGGTAAAATGAGATTAGGGAAGGACGCCTCTGACCAAATTAAGGTGCCAACGAGACCATCTTCCAAAGTCAACAACAGGGATTTGATTTAATAATAAATGGGAGGAAGAGAGATAGAAAGGAATAAAGAAGAGGAGGGTGAGAAGGGAAGTGGGGGCCGAGGGGAATTGGAGACAAATAAGACAGAAGACAGTCCGATGTGCTTGGTTCCAGCAGTGTCCCATTGGTCCTTCCTCCCCAAGTGCTTGTCTGCACTGGGAGGCTCCGTGGTTCATGTGGAGGTGGGGGCTGAAGTCGTTCTTCTGGGGTTAACAATTTCCTGCAGCCCGTGCTGCAGGTATCCATGGAGGCATTTTCTTCTTTTCCATGTGAAAGGAGGAGGGGAATACCTACCTTTGCCTGCAATGCTGAGGCCCAAGGATAATTTCTCAGCTCCTAAAGCGGCCTGAGGGCTGGGTGGGAATGCACCCCCACAATGCAGCACGGGCCAACAATCAGCTTGTATCGGGTTTTCCAAGGCAGTGCTGTCATCCTTCCTCAAGCGGCTGTCGCTGACCAGGCTCCCTTGCTCTTTTCTTCTAAGTACTGGGCTGGCACCGGCGCCAGGACCTACCTTGGGCAGGTGATGGTCTCAGGGTCAGCAGTCATCTCTAGGGATCCGCCTGGTTCTGGCTCTGGGCTCAGTCCTCTCGCTGCCCCCTGAGGCAGCTGAAGGAGAAGAGCCGGCGCAGAGCCCGCCGGGCCGTCTTGGCGATGGAGCGCCATGGCCGTGGGGCCGGGGGCTGCGGGACGGCTGCGCTGCCGGCGGGGCAAGCAGGAGCGCTGCGTGCCAGGGGCTGGGCAGGCAGCGGGCAAGCCCCTGCCGGCTCCCCAGCCCTGTGGGGCTCTTCCTGGGGAGGGGCGGCCTGGGCACAGCCAGCCTCAAGCCATGCTGCGTCGGCCTCCTCCGCAGGATCAGCAGGCGAGGCACAAACCGCAAACATCTTTGTGTGTTCCGGCAGTGCCATGGGGAGATGCTGCCTGTGCTCCTCATCGCAGGGATCGCTGTGCAGGGGAAAAGCTTCTGGCTCTGCTCCCGCATCTTGCAGTGGGAGAGACAACGAGCTCTGTGACTCGCTGTCCCTCTCTCCAGCAGTGTCTGTGTCATGGAGCTCTTCTTCCTCCCACTTGGCCAGTAGCTGGTCTAGCCGAGCGTCCCTGGATGGGGCGTCCTTGTTGTTTAAGAGAGACCACAGCTCTTCATACCGGTCAGGGGGCACGAGCTGTGTGTAGTTTTCGGTCTCTCCTACAGAGTCTTTGCTCCAGCCACAAAGACTGTGTGGCACCGAGGGGCTTTCTTGATGCAGGGAGGAGAGGATGTCTTCCTCCAACTTCTCCAGCTCCTCTGCATCGATATTCAGAGGATGCTTTGAAGCATCCTCAGGCCCCGTGCACAGCAGCTTGCCATGTGCAGTGTGCTCGGGCAGCTGATGAGCTCCCCTCTCTTCACAGTGGCGTCCAGATGAGGGAGAGGCTGTGAAGTCTGAGCTTACCTCAGGCTCTGATGTGGGCAAAAGCTTGCTGTTCCCCTCATCCCAGGGATCTTTGTCCCGGGTAGAAGATCCTGGCTCTCCCTCTTTCTCTTTCAATAGGGCAAGCAACGTGCCCTGTGGGTCGCTGGCCTTGTCTCCTGCAGCCTCTGTTACTGGGAGCTCTTCCTCCTGCCAGTTTGGCTCCTTTGGAGGAGTGTCCCAGGACTGGGAGTTGTCAGAGACAGACTGCTGCTCTGACACCTGGGCAGGAGACAGGAGCTTAGAGAATTTTCCCGTCTCTCCTATGGCATGTTTGGTCAAGCCAGGAGCACTGGGCACCACCTGGTGCTGTGAATGTACATCCTGGCAGACACTTGACTGCGCCTGGGTGCAGGTAGACCTGGTAGATGTGTCTTCATACAGGCACAGGGCAAGGCTTCTAAGCAGGTCTGCATAGATGTTGCCACTGTGCTGTTCCTGCACCTCAATGAGCTCCTCCATCTCGCTGTGCCCCAGGTGTTTCCAGTCAGGCTGGGTCCCTGTGCGGAGCAGCATGCCCCCTGCACGTCGCAGGGGTGGCAGGTGATGGCCCTGCCTTGCCGCTGACCCTCGCCAGAGCCTTTCAGCTGAGCTGTCCAGGGAAGGTGTTCCCCGGGCCCTGTGAGCAGCCACAGTGCCCCACCGAGAAGGTGGCACAAGCTCTCGGTGGCTGCTGGCCACAGGGCCCATGGACCATGCTCTGCCTCTGGGATAAGCCCCAGAGGCTGCTGGGGCTGCTGGCAGAGGGGGCAGCTTGACCCTTGCTGAGGCTGCTCTTGGCATTTCAGAGCTGAGCCGGCACGGAGGTGTCACTGTCAATGGAGGGCCATGGAGTGGCGGCAAGTCTGACACGGACAACCTCTTTGGCCGTGTGACTGTGCCGCTGCGGAGCAGTGAATACCTGCCCTCCAGGCTGTCCTTCTGAGGACACCTCCACGAGGTGTTCTGTGTCACCTGTGTGAGGTGTCCTGTGAGTCTGTCCCCGTGGAGGGGCACGATGGTCACCCATGTGACCTCTGCTGCTGCCTGCGGCGGCCTCTGAGGCACCTGTGGGAAGCAGGAAGAGGTGTGGGATGGAGGCGGCTGTGCAGACACGCTGTCCCCCCACATGGAGACAAGCTCAGCTCTGGCCCTAAGGCAGGTGCTGACCACAGCAGGCAGGCTGGGCTGGGTTCCCAGCTGTGCTCGCTGTCTCTGGGGCATTCCTTCACCTGGGCCATGCTGGCACCAGCTCCTCCCCAGAGCAAGGCCTGGTGCCAGGCCTGGCTCTCTGCCCCCTGCCTTCCCCCAGGTCCCAGTGCAGCCTCTCCCTCCATCCCATGCCTCACCTGTTGCCGCTTGGACAGCAATCGCTGCCCCTCACGGGGCTGGAATTGGACGTTCTCGTCCTGTCTCTTTGACATCTTGGCAGTGCTCTGATGAACACTGGCCAAGGGCACCCAGAGAGCTGCTTCCTCCAGAGAAGCTGCTGCCTCGTGAGAGAGCTGCTGCCTCCTCAGAGAGCTGCTCTCCTGGGAGTGACAACGTGAGGGCTTTGTAAGACCCTGTAAGAGTCCTCCACGTCACCGCAGGCACCCGTGTCACAATGGCGTTTGGGCACGATGAGAGCGTGGGTCATAAAGGCCTGGTGGTCACGGCCACCCGTTGTCACACTGAGACATGGAAACTCCTTTGGTCACAAAGGCCTTTTTTAAGCTTTTGCCTCTTAAATTTGCCTATGCCTGTTCTTCCAATGACCTTCAGCTCTCCCTTTTCCTACCACATGTGTTCCTCCCAAACCTCCCCAATGGAGCCCTGTGCCCTGCCAAACTGCTTTTCCCACTCAGCTTACCATGTATCCCACCCCTCCGTCCCCCTTTCTTTGGAAAGATAATCAGGAATGTAAAAGCTCTGATTGCACTTCATTGGGCTACTACTGTAAAAGACAATAAAAAGTGGTTTTTTTACAATTATTAACAACAATGGAGTGCTAAGGAATATCTCCAGAGCTGAGGTACTGAATGCTTTCTTTGCTTTAGTCTTGGACAGGCAGATCAATTCCCAGACGACAGCCAGCCTCCTGAGCTGACACACAAGGAAAGAGAGCAGACCAGACCCCTGTAATCCTGGAGGAAGTAGTTAGTGACCTGCCATGCCACTGAAACACCGACAGGTCTATTGGCCTGTAAATGAGGCTTGGATTTTTTGGGTGAAAATAAAAGTTACGTCATTTATTAAACGAAAGAAAAACACCAATGGAGGCAGGAGCCCAGAATAAGCCTGGGCCCCAGGCAGCAAATTGGACTAACAGTGGCAATACCCTATGCTGGATGCTCCTTTGGGTACTAAGTTCCACCAGAGGCCCCAGGGTGAAGTCCTTGTGCAACCTTTATAACCGCCCTCTGTCCGTGATGGGTCCATTCTTGATTCTCTCTCTGGTTGGCTCATTTCCAGGGTTCTTATTGTTCCTTATCGGGGTGCATCCTAGACCAATTATTTTCCCAGGGCAACGAGTGATTGGTTAGCTCTTCCACCAATTCGTGTCTGAGATGTTGAGGTCACTCTGGTGATGTCATGTTCTGGAATGTTCCCTCAGTTCACTGAGTCCTTCATGATGTTAAACAGCAGCTCATTTACTTTAAGCTAACCTTAGTTCCATTGACTCCTACCTGCACCAATTAATAGACTTCATCCCCCCTTCCCCATAGAACCACAAACCCACTGACAACAGATATTAAAAAATTAATTAGAAACATGTATCAGTTAACAGTCAACTTATGACTAAATATGAACAACCAATCAAGTTGCTATAACCATTGATTTACTTATAACAGGCCTGGCTGTGAGTCCCCCAAGGGTGCTGAGGGAGCTGCAGAAGGGCTCCCTAAACTGCTGTCCATCCTTTATTGTCAGTGCTGGCCAGTCCACCTGAGAGATCCCAGGTGACTGGAGGTGCCAATGGGACACCCAGGCCCAAGAAGGGCTGCAGGGAGGATGTGAGGAACTGCAGGCCTGTCAGCCTGACCTCGGGACCCGGCGAGGTTCTGGAGCAGATCATCGTGAGGGGGATCACACGGCCCAGAGAGGACAGCTGAGGGATCAGGCCCAGCCAATGTGGGTTTAGGAAAGGCAGGTCCTGCCTGAGCAAACTGATCTTCTTTGAGGTCACTTGCCTGATGGCTGAGGGGAAAGCTGTGTATGGAGTCTCCCTGGACTTAGGCCAAGTCTTTGACTCTGTATCCCACAGCACAGTCCTGGAAAAGCCCAGGGCTTGGGCAGGGGCCCTCTTTGTTGGGTTAAGAACTGTCAGGATGGCCATGTCCAGAGGGTGGTGGGGAATGGTGCCGTATCCAGTTGGTGTCTGGTGACTAGTGCTGTCCCCTGTGGCCAGTCCTGTTCAGTGTCTGTCCTGCTGATGTGGCCAAGGGCATTGAGGGTACTCTCAGTAATAAATTTGTGATAACACCAAGGTGGGTGGGAGTGTTAATGTGCTGGAAGGTAGGAATACTCTGCAGGGGGATGTGGCCAGGCTGGATTGATGGTGTGAGGCCAGCAGGATGAGGTTCAAAAAGAGCCTGGCCTGGGTCCTGCCCTCGTGTTCCCAAGAAGCCCCTGCAGTGCCCCAGGCTGGGGGCAGAGTGTCTGGAAAGCTGCCCGGCAGGAAGGGCCCTGGGGGTGCTGGCTGACAGTAGCTGATCGTGAGCCAGCTTGTGCCCAGCTGGGTATGGAGGCAGGCAGCCTCCTGGCCTTTTGTGTCAGCATCAGTGTGGCCAGCAGGGTCAGGGCAGTGGTTGTTCTTCTGTGTAGAAGTCTTGCAATCATTTCTGGGTCCCTCATGAAAAGCAGGGGATTGAGGTGCCAGAGCGTTGCCAGAGAAAGGCAGTGCAGTTGATGAAGGGTCTACAGGGTAAATCCTATGAAGAGTTGCTATGGGAGCTTGGTGTATTCTGTGGAAAAGGAGGATCAGGGGGGACTTATTGCTTGCACAACTCCCTGGCAAGTGGTTGTAGCCAGGTCGGGATTGCTCTCTATTCCCAGGCAGCCAGCAACAGGACAAGAGAAGATGGCCTCAAGCTATTCCAGGGAACATTCAGGTTGGACAAAAGGAAGAATTTGTTCACTGAAAGGTTTCTCAGGCATTGGAAGGCTCTGCCTAGGAAGGTGGTGGGGTCACCATCTCTGGAGGTGTTCAGTGAATGACTGAATGTGGCACTCAGTGCTCTGGTCTTGTTGCCATAGTGGTGTTCAGTCAGAGGTTAGACTCAGTGGCCTTGGAAGTCTTTTCAACCTAAATGTTTCAGTGATTCTATCTTTAAGATCACTTCCAACCCAAACCATTCTTTGCTGCTCTGAATAAATAATAAAGAATAATTAAACTTAAGAGAAAAAAAAAAATATGAAAGGTCATAGTCTGGGTGTCATGGTTTTAAAGCAGTAATTAAAAAATTGCTAGAAAACTTACTTATTTCTTGCTGTGAGATATGGATTAGAACAAGAGCAAAACAGGCCTAAAACTTAAAAGGAATAAAGAAAGTTTATTAACAAAACTACAAGAATAAGAACACCAGAATAAAACTTCCAGAAAGCCCCCTTCCTCCCCCACTACCCAACCATTCCCTTGCTCACATGACAACATAGAGACAGAAAAGTTTGGAACTTTGGTGTTTAAAACAGTCCCAGTTCCTGCTAGTGTTTTCATCAGTCTTTGTAGAGAAACAGTCTTCTGCTAATCTATGGAGTTTCTCCCAAGAAAACTATTTCTGTTATAGCTTTCTATTTCTCTGATGCCAGCTGCCTGGAGATCTGTCATCAGTTCACTCCTCCCATTTCACATCACTCTGAGGTGTGTTATGGGTCATGAGTCTAGGGATGTAATTTTTAAGGTTGAGTTATTCAAAGGCAAAAGTTCTCTTCATCTGTCTCTGTGAGCCTCCCTGGAAACAGAAGTTTTCTCTTTGCCTCTCAAGCCCCCAAATCTTCAACTATTACTTCTTCCCACTCTGTTCCAGCACCTCACTGTATCACAATTGCTCCACCTTTTGCTCAAAATCCACACTTTAAAACACTCCATTCCTCCCAATATACTCTGTCATGGATTAAAGAAGCTTTTTTCAGAACACTATTTTCCATCTCCATAGCTTTAACAGAAAATATTTCAGCTTATAAAGCATCTCCTTATTCTCTCTTCTCCATCTAAAACCTAATTATTTTCTTCACTGTCTTTGATGGTTTTATGATGTCTTCTTCATGTTGACTATCCCTCTCTCTCTCTTCCTTCTCTCTCTCTGGGAAGAGCAGTAAGTCTCATCCAGGTAGTAAAAGAGTTAAAGTCTTGGAAAGCTGCAGATGTTCATGGTGTCAGGTTTCAGTTCAGCAGCAGAAACTGCAAACCAAGCCAGGCTGGCCGGCTCCATTTCTCCTTGTCTGGCCTGGAGGGCAGGGGGGAGGCCGAGACAGAACCTTGTCAGAAGCTGGAAACCAAAGAGAACAAGAGAGCCCTGGCCTTACATCTTAAGGTGCTGTTCACAAGTTGATCTCACTTCTCAATGGTTCAAATCACCACCAATTCTCAGAAATGACCAATAATTAGTCACAAGAAAAAACTCCCATCAGCCTCCAGCAGCTTCAACTTCCTCTCAGCTCCCAAAGCTATCTTAAAGGTAAAGTCACTCCAGGACACTGGGTCATTCAGGGACCCACATAAGTAATGAATAAATAGAGTGCGGAAGGAAGCTATGTGATAAACTTAACACCAGTCTATGCCTAAATTAAAGGATAAACCTTCTGTATGCGCAATCTTAAAGCATAATCAATGGTGGACATTGCTGAAGAAAAATTACCTGGGACAAATTGATATCCTAGATGGCAATAAATCTTGGAAAGAGGTGTCATGCAACCACTATGGCATGATTTGCTCTATAAAATTATTTTGGGGAAAATGGTACCATTTCCCAGGTTTTTGCAGTTATTTTGGTTACTAACAAGCAAAAGCATTTTGACCTCTTAAATATCTGTCCCCCTGGAGGTCTGTTAGGGATCTAAGCATCAAACAGTTTACTTGTGTGGTAGGTGTGCAGAGCAGATACAAGATTTTTTGAAGAACAAATCTAATGCTATTGCGCATCCCATGCATCATTCATTTTAAGTCACTGAATGTCATCAAAATGTAAAACATCACAGTAACACAGACACTACTACAGCAAATTTCTAGATGTATTCATCTGCAGAGCAGAACAAACATAGTCAAATGAGATTGTGTGTCCAGATCTATTAATTATGAGATGGTATTGAAAATAAGAATGTACAACAGTTGGAAAACATTCTCAGGATGTTGCTTTTATTTTGCACTGTTGTGTAATGTGCCATGTTGTGTTCTATGTATGTTTTTTCATTTATTTTGTATTTCCTTGCAGGGTGAACCAGGACTTCCAGGATTGCCTGGCACTTCAGTAAGAATTTTTTTAGCTTTCACAAACTTTCTAGCATTATTGCATGAGAAGAGAAAGTGGAAATGCAGAGTGGGAGGATATCATTGAGAAATGTTCTTAAATACTTTTGGGTTTTGGTTTTTGTTTCTTAAAGAAGTTTTAAGAAGTGAAGACTTTTGAAGAAGGCATGTGACAGGTTCCAATGAGGAGATGCTCTGACACAGTTTTGGGAGATTGTGAAGACCAGGACTTGAGGCAATGAAAGCATTGCCTCAAGTGCATCAGACAGAGCAATACTGTGACAGGACTGTGTGGTTTCTGACAGTTGTTGAGTTGATTCCAAGTGGCCTTTAGTACATAGAGCCTGTGAAAGTTAAAAAAGCAAATGAAATTTCAGTATTGAGTAGCTGTGTGTCTTTGACATGGACTTGAGCATAAGGCTGGAGAAGAAAAGGCAGTTTCAGATGATAGGGAATGATCTTTCCTTGGCTTATATCTGGAAAAGTCCTGGTGGAATATAAAACAACTGGAACTTGCTGTGCTGAAATCAGGAAAGCAATCATGAAAAAATTAAACAGAAAACAGAAGAGTGGGGTTTATCTTTCCTGTGGCACTAAATTAACATTCTTTATGTGTCCCTCTGCCTTCAGCAGTGCCTTCACTGATGCCAGACACATCCCTGGCAGGGATGTAAGGATGTCCAGAGACTAGTATTGTGTGTATAGGAGGTCATCTCCGAGTGAATGGGGAAAGATTTACCACTACATATGCAGAGAAGAGGTCTAGAACTGAGCAAAACCAGAACAAAGCAGTTAGGGAGTATTCCTTTAACTTTCCAAAAAAAATATTATTGAAATTAGGAAATAGCACTCTTCAACTAAAGACAAGAATGAGAGGCTCCCTGGTAATCACAGGAAAGTCAGCAGGCAATTCCCTTACTCAGAATGTGGTAGAAAGTAAAGGAATTAGGAAAAGAAAACTATGAAAAAACAGCCTATTTGGGTAAGAACATTTTGCTGTGCTGCTCAAATGTGATATTAATGATGGGACGGCAATTACCAAGAAATTTTGAACGATGTGTATAACCCCTGAAAATGAGTTTAACTGACGGGGCATATCCCAAACCAGTCTGCCTGCTATGTGTTTCCTTCTGCATTCAGTAGATCTTTGTGATTTAGAATAAAACAAGACCTGGGGAATTTACTAACTTGTTTATATAATGAGATAATTAATTAGGTTCTTACTGTTTCTACAGCCACCCAAATCACTTCACAGGTGAGAGAAAACCTTGTGTCAGTCTGAGCTCTTTAAACAGAAAGCATCTTCCAGCCTACAATAGGATTAGAGGAGCTGTAGGTGTTACCATGCAACTTGAATAAACAGCAAGGGGAGAAACATACCCTGTGGGGGCCCATCATACCTATGGCACCTTCTGCCTTGTATTTACTCTTGCCATCCTTTATGACTCTTCATTTCTGTTGCAGGTGCATACTGAAGGCCTAAAAGGAGAGGAAGTAAGAGAGACTCAATATCTCTTCTTTCATTGCAAGGATATTTTAATGTAATTCTGTTTCCTGTTAGGTTAGATTTTGCTTTAAAATAATAATTTAAAGGGAAGGGGGATGGAGGCTTTATCAGGATTTCAAGAAATAAATTTTCTTATTTATAGTGGAGAAAATAATCAAAAAAGGAAAAAGGGTAATGCCATTTTCAGATGTAGTGAATCTTACATCAATGAGAAGTATAAATTGTAGAGTCAGCCGTACAATTATTTAAGGACAGGGGTATGTTAACATTAGTATTAAACTTTATTTGAGTTTTATGTCTGATTTGTCTCTGAACCTGGGCACTCAAACAGGGGGACATATCTGTCAGTTGTGTTTAGTCCTATGTATAAAATGTATAATATACTTGAGTTTTGATTTTTTTTGTTGGTAGATCTGTAATTTGCATTTAGCTGTTGCTTAATACAATTGTATGCATCATGTAAATTATACTTTAAAGCCCTTCAGAACTCTAGGCTTGGGGAAAATGCTGGTGGAAGCTTATGCAAAAAAACGCTCTTCTCCACCACCAAACCCCAACCCAGAGTGTTTCAGTGGAATATCCAGGATGTCCCAGCACCCACTACCTTTGAAAAACAGAGAACCAGATATAGATAAGTGCCTATTGAATGTGGGTGGATCAGTCTGTCTGCAGTCTAGTGAGTGCTGATAATTTGAGTAGCCAAGAGATTAAGGAGAAAACCAGCTGGTCTCTGCACCGGTTCTTCAGGACTGGTGGGGAAAGTGGTGGTATAGGTTCTGTAAAGACAGACAACATGTCTAATGTGTCCATGCACATTTTCATAAAGATATTTTAACACTTTTTTTTTAAAAAAAAACCCAAACATTCCTGTAGGGAAAGCCGGGGCCACGTGGACCACAAGGCCAACCTGGACTTCCTGGACCTCCAGTAAGTTGTTTCTCTCACTACTTGTAATTTCAGAAGATGAAACTCAGGCTGGAGTGAGGCATATGAAAATTTTATACATTATTCAGGCTCTAAAATATTTAAATAGTGCCCACAGCCTCCAGTTTTCTTCATTGCTGAGAGAAGGTGTCGTGCTGTGGATGGCCTGTCTGAACACAAGGAAGTGACAACCAGGACATGGGCAGACTTTGCCTTAAGGCTGTTGTCATGCAGAACCTGAGCATTTTTCTATTTCTAATGTCCTGAAGAGCTGTATGGGCATTCAGCACATCTCAGAGAGGCACTGACTGATAACTTGTGAGCTGTCATGTCATGAAGGTCAGGGAATAGTTGCTGTCAAAGGGGTTTGAGTTATGCCACAAGGTTGTGGCTGAAATATTTTCTGGATGAAAACTAGGAATTGAGTATGTGTGTTTATATTTCAACACAATTTTTACAGCAGTTTGTGCCAACATTCTTACTTCTGACTTAAATTGTAGCCTATTCCAGTTATATTTTATGACCCAGCTCTGCAGGATGTCTCAGTTCAGACTGTCACTGCTGCCTCATTTGCAAACACTCTGTGTTTCCTCTCTTTAGAATTGCTTGTTGTGTTTCACTGTTGATTGGCTTTTGTAAAATTGATGGCATTGTGAAGATGTGTTATTTAGGTAAATCTGGTTTGAATTATGTAATTTAAATATAGTTGTGTGCTCTGTATTTAATCAGGGCATTGTCATTTTATCTTGTTTACTCATTCTTTTCTGCTCACAGGACAACATAATTATCAGGTAAGAGTTGTCTAGGTAGCTATGCAATAATGGTAGAACGAAAAAGCTAGGAAATCATATATAGTTCACTAGTTTCTTATTCTGTTAACTTTCTAAATCTTTTCACTTTTAAAGGGAGAGCCTGGACTGGAAGGCAAGCCTGGAGTCCCTGGTTTGCCAGGTCAAAGGGTGAGTTGGTTTTTTAATTTAATCAGTCTTGGGAGGCTTGAGATAGCTTTGTTCAGTAAGGTTTGCTACTTTCACCCTTGCATATACTTGTAGTTGACTACTCATATAAGAATCCTGAGGCCCAGATCCTTTCCTGTGTTCCTTATTTATGGTCCAGGAACTTTCAGTACCTCTTGGAGCTGACAGGTTGAATGCAGTTCAGGTTCTTTCTTGCCATGTGCTCTCCTGTATTTACATCTGCTCCTTACTGCTAAGGGGTTGCTTGATATGACTCTGCGTGTGCAGAACCACCACTAATGTGCTCAGTTTGAAATTTCAGAGAAATTTATTGTCCTGGAAGTCAAATAAGTGTAAAGATTCTTGCAATACTATTTTCTGTTCTGTTTGGTCTGTACACAGAAAGAGGGTCCCCAGAAATGGTAGCTGATATACCATTCTCTGCCAGGAGCTTAGTTTTCCTATATATGAAAAGATCTTAGATTTTTTCTGACATGGAATTATATCTTCAAATATTTAAGTCCTGCTAAAAGGTTATTATTACACTCATATTCTAAACCTGCTTTTCCTTGCATGAGCCTGTTCATATGAAGAACATCTCACTAAACAACACAGAATATCCTGAGCTGGAAGGCACCAATCAGGATCGAGTCCAAGTCCTGGCCTTGCACAAAGCAGCCCCAAGAATCCCACAATGTTCTTGAGAGTATGTTCAAATGCTTCTTGAACTCTGGCAGGCTTGGTGCTGTAATCACTGCCCTGGGGAACCTGTTCCAGTGCTCAGCCACACTGGGTGAAAAGCCTTTTCCTGATATCCAACCTAAACCTCTCCCATTCAGCTCCATGCCATTTCCTCAAGTCCTGTCACTGGTCACCAAAGAGAAGAGATCTGTACCTGCCCCTCCTCTTCCCCTCACAAGGAAGCTGTAACTGCAATGAGGTCTCCCCTCAGCCTTCTCCAGGCAGAACAGGCAAAGTGTCCTTAGCTACTTCTTGTAAGGCTATTCTTGTTGCCCTCCTCTGGACACTCTCTAATACCTTTATATGTTTCTTATATTGTGGCACCCAAAACTGCCCCCAGGACTCGAGGTGAGGCCTCCCCAGGGCAGAGCAGAGCAGAGCAGAGCAGAACAATCCCCTCCCCAGCCTGGCTGGTGATGCTGTGCCTGATGCCCCAGGACAGGGTTGGCCCTTCTGGCTGCCAGGGCACTGCTGACTCACATTCAGCTTCCACTGACCAGGACCCCCAGGTCCCATCCCACAGCTGCTCTCCAGCCTCTCATTCCCCAGTCTGTCTGTACACCCAGGGCTGCCCATCCCAGGTGCAGAATGCAGCACTATGGATTCACACCAATCACCATACAATTGGTGATTGCCCAGTCCATTTGTCAAGGTCTCTCTTGAGGGCCTCTTTGCCCTCAAGGCAGTCGACAAATAAGAGTGGGAGTGAGATACCTGCTTAGCATTTTTGGAGGCAGTCACTTGGGTCTCTGTACTGCTGTTTAATGGGTCACTTTTTTAAGTAGTCACAGAGACTTGATGATAGCTCACTCCTTAAAGGACGTCATGGAGTTTACCTTCAGTGCTTTGAGTCAGCACCAGCGCTGTTATCATCCTGTGTGAGAGAGAACCTGTGTGTACAGGAGGGTGATGAGCAAACAACAGTGCAGGGAAAAGATATATACCTTGCTAAGAGGTTTTCTACAGACTGTCCATTGGATTGTATACTATTAAATTTAGCTGTAAGTGTGAATTTTTAGGAATTTTCTATTTGGGAATATGGTGCATGCAGACTTTAGTCAATGCCTCAGCAGAAAAGGGCATTCACTTGCTTTCTTCTAATTTCCCAGACCTTAGAAAATACCACTTTAGCAAATAGCTCTGCAGTGGTTTGCTCATAAGGTGGTAAGTTAGGAATTATCCTAGTTTTAAAGCCTACTGTGAAACATTGTGTCTTGAATAAGATTAATAGAGTATATTAGCTGGGTAAAGGACAGTGATCCATCAGGATTTGCAACAGGACAGAAAATGCTCCTGTTAATGATCATTTGATTATAGATGTCATTTGATCTGTTCTGTCTTTGAATTTTTCCCTAGACTCTGTTGTGTCTAGCTAGTTAGACTTCTCCTAAGGGTCTTTATTAGTCACCAAGCATCTTAGATGAATAGATATATTTTTTTAATTAAAGGCCATTATTCAATGACTGAATTCATGAGATGAATCAAAGTACTGGGCTTGGTGGATCTACACAGATCTCATCTGGGGGCAGGAGATAACAATTCCAACCTGAACCAAGAAACTGGATTGTGTTCATTTTATTAGTCAGAAGTGCCTGGCACCTGATGTCTGCATTTTGACAATGATACCCTCACATCAGGAGCACACTGTGTGAAGAAAAATGCTTTGCTGTTCTCATGTGACCTGTAAGACCTTTGAGTGACAGACAATACTGTCCTGATTTTATTAAAACTGCCTGAAAAAGGAGAACTCTGAGAGTCTGCTTTCACTTTTAAGGTGGTTTTGTGGTTTTCTTCCCTCTTCCTGTCCTTTTCCTTCTGTAAAATTGAAGAGAATTGAAGTGCTTTGGTTCTGCTCTCAAGTCTTTGATACCTGATCTACTGAAATATTTGTTGGAAATATAACCAAATTTTTTCATGATAGGACAAAAGGTGCAGACGTATGACATGCTCCTGGAAAGCACGCAGATCTGTGGCCAGTACAGACTAAACATAGGGTTCTTCTGAAGTGTGCTTAATGATTTGGATTTCAATAATTTTCCTCTTTTTTGAAATACTACAAGTTCATTTAAGTGATTGAAATTTCAGAAAGAGACCAAGAGAAAACATTTATGCTGCAGCAGTCATGAACTATCAAATTAGTTTTATAAAACTGCACTGATAAAATCTGTCCAAGTTCAAGGGGCAATCAGTACAAAACAAAAAACAATACAGCAATCTAATGGGGTAGTAAGAATAATCTTACGAAAAGAAAATTAATAGAAAGTATATTTTTAATATAATATCACTTAATGAATGTCCTTCTCCATGTTTAAGACTTAATGTACATAAGTCAGGCAGATAAGTAATAATAATAATAATAATAAAAGTTGAAACTGGGAACTCCTGGGTTCAGGGTACATCCTTCCCCCAAAGGAGGAGTGTTCAGATCATTTGTCAGTGCAGGAAAGGTCTCTGGAGGGCTGCTGAGCTTTGCCTGTGCTTGATGGTGGAAGAAATACGATATTTCACTTTCCATTCTTGACCCATCTTTTACCTAAGTGGATTGTTGCATATGATTTTCCTGTTCAGGCCAGTCACAACTTGAATTTAGAAGTCAACACTATTTCAACTCTTCTCTGTATATGAACTGTCCTGGATTTGAAGCACTTTAGGCTCCCAGGATCCAAGAGAAGGAGAGAGCTGACTGGTAACTCCAGGGTGAAATGGGTAAATAATCCAGGAGAGAGTGGAGAATAAATTTGCCTAGAAAATTAAGTAGCTTTTCAGAAGGAGCCAGTCTCAAGGTGAGGTCTCTCCCAATGTCCAGAACTCCTTGTAACCCTTTACTTTGCCACAACTGCCCCAATAATCATCCATGATCTGGTGGTATTTTCCTCCTCAAGCTACCAAGATGCTCTCACTTCAACCTTTACTGGTGTTATCTAATGCATATGGAGACTGCAAAAGGCTGTTGCCTTTAGGGAGCTCAAACATTGGTTAACATTGCTGGATTTCTTCTGATTTCTCTAGTAATACAGAGGTAAAAAGACTGGATTAAATAGGTAATCCTGGTATCCTATCTAGGTTACAGGGGAAACAATTGGAATTTATGCTAGCAGTCATATTCATTCACAAGAAAAGATGTTTTCTCTGTACTTTGTACCAAATCCACCTCTGTTCCTGGGCCAAACCTCAGAGAAAAACATGATGAGAAAGTGAATATTCTGGCTATTGGACAGCAAGATAGGAAACACTCTTGGGCTATGGTACCTTTCAGAATTCCCCTCCAGCAGAGTGGAAACAACATTTTTCCTTGGCTTCCTGTTTTCTGCATAGTAGATATCTTTCTGATGGATGGTTGTGTTCACATTCATTTGTGGGTGTTTGAAATGTTCAGATGACTTTGCCTGCCCTGGCAAAGTTCAGCCATGCAGAAATCAAACTGTAAACGAGTTAACAAAAGAAAGGAAAATAAATTGATGCCATAGATTAAATCCAGAGTGAAACTAATTGTCAGTGAGGTAAATACACAAATTTCCAATAAAACACGTATTTTTAACTGTTTTTGTTCAAATTGCTTGTAAAGGCAAATAGGATGTATTTTATGTTGTCAAAGGTTACACAATCATACAGACTTACCTGATTCTTACTGTAGGTAACAGAGCATAATTTTGGGGTTTCTCTGTCACATTATTAGGCAGTGTGACATTTCACTGAGTTTTGCTCTCATAGGTATAATTTCTCCCAGCAAGTGTTTTTGTCCTTTACAGACAGACTAATGCTTTGGAGCGAATCTGTTGTAGTTGGATTTCAGCTAAGCTCCAAGTGGCCCACAAGTCCCCTTCACCATGGGAAACCTCTCTCAGTCTCTGTATAATTACATGTTGCTTTAAGGGATTTCTTAATGTTTTGAAAAGCACTGAAATTTCTCAGCGTTATACCCAAGGAAAGAATAAACAGCTCCTCTCACATCTCTCACTGCTACCACAGATCAGTGTTCCTGGGCATCAGTCTGGAGACACCACAGTTGGTTGATGGGACATAAAGGATTCAGTAGCACTGTCTTATTTTGATGGACACAATTAGGGATGCTTTCTATGTGCCTGATGCCAAATCCACCTCTGTTCCTGGGACCGAGCCTCAGAGAAAAACACTGCAACATCTCTCTTCTGAGGAAAACTCAGAGAGCTGGGGCTGTTCAGCCTGGAGAAATGACTGAGGGGGGACTTTGTCAATGTCTGTCAGTGACTGCAGGGAGGGTAAGAGCATGGACCAAGCTCTTGTCCCAGCAATGGGACAAGAGCAACAGGCAGAAACTGATGCCCAGGAAGTTCCATCTGACTATGAGAAAAAATTTCTTTACTGTGAAGTGACTGAGAACTGGAGTTTCCCTCCAGTCTCCAGGAATCTCCAGGAATATCCCTGGAGATATTCTAGAATTGTCTGGACACAATCCTGTGCCTGTGCTCTGGGATGGTCCTGCCTGAGCAGGGAGGTTGGAGCAGGTAATCTGCTGTGGTGCCTTCCAACCTGACCCATTCTGTGGCTCTATGTTCTGGCCTCAGTGTTGTAACTCTGGAAGTAGCCACCTTGGTATGTAGCTTCTACATAGATAGGAAGCTGGAGGTGGCTCATCTCCCATGTCTGGCCCCACACACCACATCCTGTATGCTTTATTCATAAGCTTACTTATTTATTTAAATGAGTATTTTAACAGTGTCCTTTGCATGGTCACCTTAGCAGTGGGCAAAATGATCATCTTTAACTAGAAAACATAATGTTAAAATCATGTGGCAACATGAGTCCCTCAGATTAAAAATGAGTTCTTGTTGGCTTTGACGAGAAAATAAATGATGGACATTGGAAAAGTAGAAGGAACATTTATGAATAGTGGGTGTGCTAGAGTATATAATTCAAATTTTTATTAATATTGAGTCCTGGAAATGATTACAAATTCCTTCTGATACCTGAGGACCGTATAATCACTCCTTTAATATTCTTCTTAAATTCTTCTGTATATCACCACTGATTGTTTTGGGGTAGAGGGTTGTTGGAGATTTTTTGATTAGAAAAATAATTAAAATAACTGATTTTGACACACTACCTAATAAATCTCATTCACAGCTGAGGAAAATATGATGAAAACTTTTTTTGATGGTTTAGATTTTTCATTCATTTAAGTTAGGAGAAAGCTGTTGTTCCTAAATGCTGTTTCTGCACATCTTTCAATGAAGAAAAATAAAGGGAAAATTTTATATATGACCCTTACATTATCAGGGACACGAAACTTTGTTAATTATATTTGAGGAAGGAAAACGTCTCTTTCTCAGGTATTTACAGGACTCCTCTTGTACCCTCCTACTATATTACTAAGAACCTCAGAAATATTAATGATTCAGTGTCTGTTACATATAAGGGAAGAAGAGATCATTTTTTTATAAAATATCTGACTTACCTACAGTAACACAGCAAGTCACCTGTTGGGTTAAGAAACAAATCCAAACTCTGCCTTAACTCCAGTGCGTACTTCATCCTTTCTTCCTCATTTTTCTCATGAAGGATATTTTCCTTTTGAATTATTTGAGGTCAGACCCATGGGGACACAGAGCTCTGGCATCTGTACAGGTGACCTTGTCTTAGGGTTGTTCTCCAGCTCTGGGCTTGTCCTTACCTTGCACCAGTGGAGTTCTCTGACTCCTCTGAAAGGATATTTTTTACTTGCAGAGGAGTCAGGGAGCTCTGCTGCTTGGTGAATGCCTCATGGGTTCCTGTTACCCAGCTTAGAGATTGTGAATCTTTTCTATTCAACCAGACTTCTTAATTATTTTATTTCTTAATGCACAAAGCAGTGCAAGGGACCAGAGGGACACTGCTTTACCTCTCAGCCCATGTTTACACTGGGCACCTCCCCTGGCTTTATCTCAGCACCATGACTTCCCTGCCCCTCTGTAGAGGGAAGCCAGGTGGGATTGCAGGGTGTAGGAGATGCCATGATGTGTGTGAGAACAGCTCTCAACTTTACAACTATTATCACAATTTGGGAGATACAGGATTGTCAAAGGCAACTGGTGTTTCATTTCCAAATTACGTCTGTTGTCTTCTTTTCTAGCTTTTGTGGTTTTTTGTACCCACATTACATTGATTTACCAGTTTGGGGGTGAAAGACTGGAAAATCAATAGCAGTCTTTGGTCTGCTCTCTAATATGTGTTCCTTTGTTGAACATGCAGGGTAAAAAGGGAGAACCAGGATTCCCAGGAATCAATGGTCTGATTGGCCCTCAGGTAAGCGATGATTTCTTCATTCTCCTATAAAATGTGTAAAACCAGATTTTGTGGCAACAGGGAACATGGAACCACACAATGCAGCATGTGTGAGCTTCTTCTTTGTACTGTATTTGAAGTTCATGTTTCTCCTTTCAAGACCAGAATAATTTATCTTGTTGAGATTGAGAGATGTCTGTCTGACAGCAATTACTTTTACCGCCCAGAGTTTTTCAATATCTTTGAATCAGGACAGGTTGTATAGGATTTCCCCATTGCTTGTGCTTAGAGCAGCATCATTCCAGGGGGAACTCACTGATTTGTGGTTTTTGAGGAAGGGGGATGTCTTAAGTTAATCACCCCTAAACTCCTTTTTTTAAAAGCTTTTGGAAAATTAGAGCTCCAAATTGCACCATAACATCATAAGGGCAAAACAGTGTGGTTTATGTTACGAGCCGTCAGAGAGGATTTTGCTCCACCGTGGATCAGCCCGTTTGGCCCTGTGTCTTAGTAACACTGACACCCCTGTCATGGGGCAGCTTTACCTTTAAGGTGGTTTTGAGAGCTAAGGAAGTTGAAACTGCTGGTGGCTGATGGGAGTTTTTTCTCCTGACCAATTATCAGTCATTTCTAAAATTGACAGCAGGTCTGACCATTAAAAAGCGAATTCAACCTGTGAACACCCCCTTAAGAAGTACAGTCAGAGCTCTCTTGTCCTCTTTTGTTTCCGGCTTCTGAGAAGGTAACGAGGCTCTGTGGTAGCCTCCTCCATTCCCTGCTCCCCTCGGCCGGATAAGGCCGCAGAGGACGAAAGGGGGTGGGGGGAAAGAAAGCAGAGCTGCTCAGTTACTGCTGCTGCTGGATTGAAACCTGGCACTATGACCTCTTGCAGCTTTTCTAAAGCTTTTAATTCTTTTACTACCTGGATAAAATGTACAGATTACTCCTTTTTCTCAGAAAGACAGAGAAAGAGAGAAACAATCAGCATGAAGAAGACATAAAACCACCAAAAACAGTGAGGAAAAGAGTTAAGTTTTAAATAAGAGAGAGAAAACAGGGAGATGCTTATAGCTGAAATATCTTTTTGTTAAAGCTATGGAGATGGGCAATAGTAGTTTAAAAAGACTCCTTTAATTCATAACAGAGTATTGGGAGGAATAGAGTGTTCAAAGTGTGGACTTTTGAAGAAAAGGAGAGTACTTGTGATACTGTGAGTTGCTGGAACTAAGTAGAGTGAAAATTTTGAAGCCTTGGGGGGCAAAAAGAAAACTGTTTTTCCAGGAAAGCTGGAAAACAGAGAAAGATGAAGAGTTTTGCCTTTGAATAACTCATCCTTAAAATGACATCCCTAAACTCATGGCCCATACACACCTCAGAGCAGTGTGAAATGGGAGGAGAAAAGCTGATAACAGATTTCTGGGCAACTGACATCAGAACAGTAAGAAACTATAACAACAATAGTTTTCTTGTGAGAAACTCCATAGGTTAGCAGAAAGAGACTTCTGTTTCTCTACAAAGACTGATGAAAAGACTGTAGCAAGAATTGGGACTGTTTTTAACCACCAAAATCCTAAAGTTATTTGTCTCTATGCTGTCATGTGTACAAAGAAATGGTCAAGTAGTGAGAGAAATAAGGGTTTTCTGGAAGTTTTATTCTGGTGTTCTTGTTCTTGTAGTTTGTTAATAAACTGACTTTATTCCTTTTAAGTTTTAAGCCTGTTTTGCTCTTGTTCTAATCCATATCTCACAGCAAGAAATAAGTAATTTTTTTAGTTATTGGTTTAAAACCACGACAACCCCTGACTTAGTTTCCTCCTAACTTTGCAGACAAATTCGGCATACCTGAATCTCTTTTTAAAGTCACCCTGTAGGGTCATCCATGGGAATGTCCTATAGCAGGAAAGGTGCAACCTCACATTGAGCTGTCTGCTCAGAATAAAACTGAGTGTTTCATTTGGTTCCCTTTCAATAGTAAATTAACAAACTGGACTTTGGCTTTAGCATTGTGTTTCAATAATTGCTAAAGTTTGGGGAAGAATAATGAACTTCCATTGCTGCAGCTTTTGGTGATGTGTTGCAACAAGCAGCACACTTCTTGTGTGAGATTGCTCATTTATGTGCTCTGGCAATTTATGCCCTTGTAACCATGAGAAGTGATCTAGAAGTGGTTTGTGTGACAAGAGTTTTGTAAAGAGCTGTTTACATGTCTGTGGAGAATGTCAGAGAAGTAATCCAAGGGCTTGAAGCTCCATGCAGGTGAAGTCCCTTGTGTCCAGCAGGGAACCTTGCCCTGTAAAACACCACTTGATACTGGTTTACATATCTTAAGACATTTTTCCTTCACTATAGTATCTAATTTGCAAGTATTTCAGGAGCAGCTTACAAGAATGAAGACAGTGTTTCCAATGGATTTAAAAGATTTTAGAATTATAGAATATTCTAAGTTTGAAGGAACTCATAAAGATCAAGTCCAACTTCTGGCCCTGCACAGGACACCTCAAAATCCCTTCCTATGCCTGAGAGCATACAAGAATGCCTTTTGAATTCTTGGATTATTGAGTGCAACACCCTGCTTTTGTTGTGTTATTTTTCTTAGGTTGTTTGGTTGTTGTTTTGTTTTTTTTTTTCCTTCGTTTTGGAGGAAGGTTTTTATCTGTGTATTATTTTTAAGATACCTGACTGTATCCATCCAAACAATATCACACTTATTTTTTTCAAGTTCCCTGCAAATTAAACATATATATGCATGTGTTAGCAATTTCATAAATCTATCTGTGAAAATTGCTGACATAGGATTAAGTGATTTTCTTTTTTGCACAAGCTAAATAATGGTAGCAAATTTTATGTTAATTAAAACTTCACAAAATGCTTGCCCCCATCAAGGGATACTTAAATTGACTGCTCCTCCAATCTAACTGCAGAGGCAAAATATTGTTCTGGTTCCTGCAGTGGCAGTCTGTTCTGGACATACTACTGCAGATTTCCATATTTCCTTTTAAAGAAAATGCTTGCATTTACTTTTTGACAAAACTACTTTTCAGCTTAACAGCACTTTTGGTGGTGTTAGATTTTTAACGCATTTTATCAGCATTTTCTTTTCATTATTTTTTTTCTTAATTAGATTATGCCCTAAAAATGCTTAGGAAGAAAAGTGGTTTTCTTACAGTGTAGTTACATGGATATTCAAGTTATGTATGGAATCCTATGTCAGCTGTTCCTGTGCTGCCCCTGTGGTGTTGAGGGACAACTGATTTTAGTTGGTTCCACATAAACCAAATTAGGACATGAAAATAGCCTCCCTTTCCTCTGCAATTTTAAATTTATGTCTACTTTTGTTTTCTGACCTGATTCCCCACACTGATACCTGTATGGACAAGAGGAAGGGGTTGATATAGGAGCTTTAGAAGGCTCATTGTTGCTGAAGGACACAGGAAAGATCTTCTGAAGTTGTTGTTGGGCTTTGTCAAGAAAAATCGTTGCTGTCTTGCTCAGTTCAGCTGAGAAGCCACAGAAGATCAGGCAGCTGTGCAAGGGAACCGACTTAAGGGTTACTCTTGTGGGTCCCTTCCAGCTCAGGAGATTCTGTGATTCTGTGGTTCAGTGGTAAAGTGCAGTTGAGATAAGTCAGTCCAAGTCTCAAGGACCATTTGAGAGATAATTTAAGTGTCAGACCCTGAAGCAGCATCTAGGAGGCAGCTTCCCTGCTAGACTGCAGGTGTTTTGTGACAGTAGATTAGCTTTGTCTGTCTTTGCACACACCAACTCAAACAAAATTATTACATAAAAGTATTTTTAAATTTTCATTTTCCTTCGAAATCAGTTGTGATGGTGAACCTGTCCATCTGCTTATTTGTTTCATGTTGTCTGATCAGCACCTTTAAAACTGAGCATTTATTTTCCAGTCTTTACAAATGATGCACCTTGCAACATCATTAAGCTTTGGAATAGAAACTTTAGATGTTTTTTCCCCTCTGGACTTGAACAATTTTCATACAAGCAATGACACAGACACCCAAACTTATAATGTCTTTATGTTGTTATTATTTATTTGTACTATTTTAGTGTCCAAGAACCTTAATCATAGGGATAACTTTTATTGCAGTAGGATGTTCAAATGCAGACTGAAAAATTAACATTTCTGTAAAGAACTTTCAGCTGAAATAGTTGACTCAGGCACTCAGAGCTGTATCACTGAGTTACAAGGGCTGAGGTTTAGCTCCAAATGCAAGCACTTTTTGGGTTCAGAATGGGGATGCAGGTGCCTGCTCTTGTTGATGAAGATGCAGTTAGTATCATCAGTGGATCCTGAAGCTCTCTTAAAACAAGCACCTACAAAAGGGCCACTGAGCCACTGTTGAGGCTCCCTGTGCTGAGTGGGTACTTTCTGGCCACCTGTGAGACAGCAAAAGTCTCAAAAGTCTTTGAGATTAAAAGCTAAATACCATACCTCTGCCTTGCAGTACCTCTGGGCTGTTACTGAGGCTTGCCTTGTGCTAGATAACCTGGTGGTGTAAGTCAGACCTGAGAGTCAGACCAGTACAAGCTGTACCTGTTATGGTTCTGGCTGGCAGTGATTTAATTAGTATAGACTTGTCTGTAGGGTGTGGGCACAAGCCCAGCTTTTCTTAAGTAATTCAGATGATAAACAATCTTCTCTGAAACGCACCGTGTCCTTAATGTCCTTTTTATAATGCAAGTTAATACTACAAAATGTAAGAAAAGGATGTGGGCCCCAGCTGCAAAGCTCAGATTGAATTCAAGCTTTGCTAGTGCTGCTTGGAATTGGAAGATATTGCTCAGAGCGATCTTTAATAAGATCTGTACTGTTAAAAAAATAAATTAAAAAAGTCTTCACCTGTGAAGATTACTAATAGTGCTGAAACAAAAGACATTAAGGGAGGTTTTTTTAGTTGTTTTTTCTCATTTGCTGCACTGACTCAGTAAACCAACTCCAAGCAAACACATGGGGAAGTAAATCTTCCTCTGTAGACAAAAGAGATCATGGCCATTGCTTACACTAAGTGATTACATTAAACAAACACTGCTTTTCACTGGAAGCAGGAAACTCTCCTAGAGAGACTGTTATGTACAAAGTCAACTTTATTCCATACTTTTAAAGAGCTGCAAAGACAGTTCAGAGAATTTTTTGTTGACAGAACTTTTATTTTAATGCTGGTACTCCAGTTGCAGTGCCACCTGATGAAATGACTGGAGTCTGGATCCGTGTATGAATTATGGCACTGTCACTGATGATGACTCTAGGACATGTACTGTAGACAAATGCTCAGATCTGTTGGCTCTTCAGGCTTTTGATTTTTAGTGTCATCAGCAACAGCTTTTTTTATATGTTCTCTTTTGTATTAATTTGTAAGGCAGGGTTTAAGCAGAGAAAGAAATACAGTGCTCTAATGCAGCATCACAGAAAATATCTCAGTTTCCATTTTAGATTGGATATAAGGAAATATTTCTTCACTGAAAGGGTGGTCAAGCACTGGATTAGGCTATCCAGGGAAGTGGTAGAATCACTGTCCCTGCAGTTATTTAAAAGTGGCACTTAGAGATGTGGTTTGGCTGTGGCAGCCCTGGGTTGATGGTTGGACCTGAGGATCTTAGAGGTCTTTTCCAACTGTAACGATTCTCTGATTGTATAATTACAATTTGTAGCAGAAGTGGCTGGGGTGAGAAATCAAAAGCAGATTTGAGGAGCTGATCCTGGAATCCACTCAGATGCCGTGGAGGAGAAGTGGAGTGCTGGAGTGGCAAGGGACATAGTGAGACGTGGGCTGCTCCACAAAACTGTCTGCAACAGCTTCATTTCTGGTGGGAAAGGAATGTAAATAAAGGAAAGATAGTACAAAGCCAAGAGAAAGAGTCTGTGGGGTCTTTCTAAGAGGCAAAATTGTGGGGAATGTCTTTGGAGACAAGAAGAGAGAGTGGGAGAGAGCATCAATCCCTCAGTTACCCATTTTGCTGTTGTTCTGACATCAGAGTGCTCCTGCATGTCCCTTCTTGTTTGTAAAACTGGCAAACTGCATTAACAACCCAGACCAGAATCTGTTTTAGTATGGGTTAAGGGCTTATCTAAACCTTTGTCATAGTGTAAGAGAATCGAGGCAGCAGTGTGGAATAGTATACAGAAAATATTTCTGTAAGCTTTGCCTTCAGGTGTCTGGGAAAGCCATCAGACTTCAGTTTTCATTGTGGAATATTATTTGTTCACCTCCCTTTAAGACTTAGTCATCCCTTCTTTCATGGAAAATAGATTTAGACCAAGCAGTCTACTGATGGAGTCAAAGAAAAACGTTTCTGTTCCTTCTCAGAGTGTCCTTTGGGAGTGCACAACCTAAATCTTAATATCTCTGCCTTTCCCAGACTGTCTTTAGCAAGGTACACGCTGGAAGAGGAGAGCACTGCAGAGTGGATTCTGGAGGACAGACACAGCTGTGTCTCCAGTATGAACAGTGTCAGGTTTCTTTCCTGAGCACTGTCACTGCATTGCATTGTCTAAGGAATGGGGCTGGATGAAATGCAAGCCTGAGAAAATCCACCCTCCACAATGTTTTTAAAGATACTCCATCCCAAAACACACACGCCTCTATACAATATTTAGATTTTAGATTTTAATGAATATTTGAAATATTTTTGTTTCAGGACAACAGTTTGAAAATATTCTGGTCTAAACATTTTAATAAAAAAAAAATCCATGTTTTGAATTTGTTTTCCAAAGTGATTTTGTGTAGATCTGTTTTAAAATCAAGTTTTCATGTATCAGTTTTTGCTTCAACACATACAAAGCACACGTTGGAGTGTTTACCAGCTGGAAAAAAAATACACCCTGTTATTATTTTCTTCTGGTTCAGGGTTTTAACAGGACAATATTTGTGGTCTGGATTTGGGATAGGGACTCTCATCTGTATAATTCATCAAATAATCTTTGAGAAAGGTGGTTGTATAAATCAGGTGCTTTAATCTGGATTCACTTAAAAATGGAAGCAAAGAAAACAGATGGTGTGAGATTTTTTTGGGGTAAACATTGAACACAGTCCTGGTGCTGTAGATTTATGGTGCTGGGTTTTTAAAAACATAAATAGATTCTGTCAGTTTGGTGAATTCTAATATTTAAAAAGAATATTACTTGCTCTGAATTATACTCAGAAGTCAGGAGAAGGGCTACAATACAAGATGTTGATATACAAGTGAAACAGAAAATCTCTGAACAGTAGCAAAAGGGAGTGCTCTATAAAAGATATTTATGATGTATTTCTGCCATTTTATTTCACTTTGTCCCATCACTTACTGTAGCCCAAGCTGTAGAAGGCAGGAACCCCAGTAGGACAGTCAATGTACTGCTGTGTGCAGTCAGCTGGAGCAGGCTGCCAGCCCCCTGTGCATCTCCAAGGGATACTGCTGGCCATTCCATAAAACTGTTTTTTCTGCCACCTCAGAGAAGATTTTATAAGAAGAGCTTCCCATTAGTGGGTGTAGCATTTGTTGGTACAACACATGGTGAGGCTACCTGCAAAGCAGTTTGGGCATGATGCTAATCATGGGTAATTATCTCTTGGAGGACAATGACATTGAATTATTTGTGGCAATTTAGGAAAAGGATCAGTGGGATTCAATTTCAGGACTTACGGTTGCATAAGGTTATAGTGGTCTAGCATATGGAAAGTTTAAGAGATTAATTAGAAATTGTCTTGGATGGTGGGAATACCAAGAGTTACTGAAAGAGTTGGGATGAGGAGGATGTGTCACTTCACATTTTAGGGATTACACTGGTTCCTGACAGATGCTGGAGTTAGACTTTGCTTTTAGATCCGATTGACCCCTGCCAATTCACTGTGTGGGGTAACACAACACACTTGGGACTGCTTGGGCTGAGGCTGGGTCCTGACTGGGGTTTTTCACCTCCTGATAGAAGTTCTCTGTTGTAGGGCTAGGAAGGATATGTATTTCCTGGTGGGAAACAGTTCACTTAGTGACAGAGGGAGAACAAAATTAAATTATTAGAAATGAATTGATGGAATTGTCAAGGAAAGCCTGCAAAGGTAAATTTACACATAGTCCAATCAGAATCAGTTTGTAGCTTTTCTGAAGTTTTACCTTCTTTCCCAGTACTCCCCCCATTCTTCCTGGAGCCCATCCCTTCTGTGGGACCTCTCAGCCATGCCTTGTAGAGGTGGAGTAGGGCCAAGCAGAATTTCCATGCCCTTGGTGTCTGTTGGCTCCATCCAGCTGTGTCTGCACACAGTTGGGTCTGTGTCACTTGCTTCTCCAAGTGTTTTCTCTTGTGCTGAGCTTATATGGACTGTTGAGTCTCTTCCTTGAATGCTGAAGCCTTTCTAAGTGAAGGATGGTGGTGACCAAGTGTCTGCTGATGGGTGTAGAATCTGTAACTACAGGATCCAGCTGCAGAACTCCCCCAGAATTAAATCATCAGTGTCAGTGCATCTGAAGGCACATCTTTTTGGGGATGTTTTGCTGTATTCACATTTGAGGCAGTTTACAAGTGAGAGTGTTGTTGACAGAATAATTCCATGTCTGTTCTGAGTTGCAATGAGGCAAGTGCAGCTAGAGGATCCTTTCCTGGTCTCTTTGCCCCATCTTTTGGTGAGAGACTGTCTTAGCTCTTGGCTGAAGTTATCTGCCATCTCAGCCCAACCATGCCTCAAATAGCTCCTTCTCCTCACTTTTTTACACCATTTTCTTCTCATCATCTACAGTTGTCACTAAAAATAAATACTAATACTGATCTATGACTTGTAATACCTAAATATTGAATAATGACAGAGAAAATGCTGTCTGGCCATTTTCTGTCTTGTATCAGGTGCTCAGTTTGAAATCTTTACAGAGGTTTTGGGTGGGGTGGTTTTTTGGGGTTTTTTTTAAGTACAATCACATCAGAACTCCTCTTATGCTGAAAACTAAAAATTAATGGTATTGTCATGTTAGAAAGACAGAAAGAGGCAGACAGGGTACAATTTAAGCTCAGTCATATATCCATTTCTCATGCTGTTTGCTCAGGTCCTGATCCAAAAAATACATGAACACTTTTCATTCCGAGCACTGGAGAAATCCTGTCTTGCTTACAGGGGAAGCTGGCAGTAACAGAAACCTTTGTATCTCAAGAAGCATATTAAGATTTGTCAAGGCTGGAAACAAATCTCTCATAGGAAGCCAAATTTAACAATTTGCTTGATGCATAGAAATAAATTCCTCGTTAAATCAGGTGGCTATTGAGAGAATATTTCTCCTGAGAGAAACAGCTGTTGCAGGGAACTGAGTAAGAATGTTAAGATATTTCCAACTGAATGTGTTCATCAAACTATGAGTTTGTGAGCATCTTTTACTATCTGCCAGGTGGATGTTGAGCAACAAAATGGTGGCACATTTTGTTTTAAAACACTTGAGTCATTGCAGCATTTCTCCATACTGTTGGGTTCATATTTTTAACCCCACACTCCCAAAAAAAAGCCAAGCTCAAACCACAAGCCATTAGTTGCTTTCAGCAATTTTTTTTGCAGAGGTAAATTACTCACTTTGAAACAATGTGAATCAAGGTTAACTTCGACTGGATGCTCCAAGGAATCCCACTGGTCAAGCTTTGTGCTGTAGGTTACCACTGATGGCCTTCAACTCCTCCTCCTCTTGTATGGGAGTGGAGGAGGGAGCCCTCTTAGCAATGGCAGCAGTAGCTTAAGCAAAAGATAATGTTCTACCTGTGTTCATAGCCCCTTGGTTTGGCATCTTGCACTTTTCGGGTAGAAGTTAAGCAAGTAAAGCTCAGTGCTCTTGCCTGTTTCCTACAGGGTCCCTATTTCACAGGGGAGGACCTGAGGCTTTCAGCTGCTATCAGAGAATTAGATAAACTGGCTTTGTTTCCTCTCTTGCAGGGACCTCCAGGGCCCCCAGGCATTGCTGGACCCCCGGGACCACCTGGGCCACCGGTAAGAAATCTTGGGGGATTTTGTTCTATATCAAGGAGAAGAAAAAACAGCTGGAGAAAATTTTAGGTCATGGCTTGCAGAAGGAGCAGAGTTAAGGCCTCTGGCAAAGTGTGTTTTCTCTTATACTTTCTCTACTGCAAAGCCACAGCCAGTCCTAGAGCACAGCTTCTCCCTGCTGAGCCTTGGAACCACACTGGTGCTTCCTGGGGATAATTCAATGTCTCCAGGGCTCCCCATGGCAGGGACCTGCCTGCAGTGGGAGGAAAACTGCACTTCAGTTGAAAGCAGCAATCTCCAGTGAGATTCTTACAAAGAACAGAAATACTGATTTATATTTTGGTGTGATTTAATTTCTCAGGGACTGCCAGGAGAGATTGGAGTTTCTGGTAAAACTGGACCACCTGGACCACCTGTAAGTGTTGAGGAACTGTTTCCCTCAGCTCAAAGCTCTTCATTACTTCAGATTGTTTAATTCTCAAATCTGCTTTGTTTCCCACATCTTGTCTGCACACAAGGTTTTAACATGGGATCCAACACTGTCACTTTTAATTCAGAAATTAATCCCAGATACCTTTTGTGAGTAAGAATTTTACCAGGTTTAGTCCCACTATTCCTATGGAATTGGATCATGGTATTTTCCTTAGATGATACCTTTCAGAATTCTTTTTGCGTTTGACACACTATTGTTTTCCCAACATGGAATTTCCTGAATCAAGCCAAATAACTCATGATTAAAATCCCAGATTTAGCAGAGGGTAGCAATTTATTTTGGTCTTAAGTCATAAAAGCTGAATTATTAAATACTTAGTACAGAATTGCCACCTACAGCCTGTGGATTGACTGACAGTTGGAAAAGGGAAGAAAACTTCTTCTCACCATTTTAAATGCATTGCAGGAAGTAATTTTAATTCTTATCTTGCTGAACCACTCTGTCACTATGTGCTATATAATTTAATTTTAGGTGTCTATACTGTATAAGAAATTACCAAGATTTAAAAGGAAAAATAAATGTAAAAAAATATATTTATAGCTACAGATAATAGGGACCTATAAAGAATAAGTTAAAATGTAGGTAAGATACATAAAAAATTTTAAAGTACATAAAAGCTCAATACTGGAGTTTCCCTGTAACAATGCTGACATCCAGTGGTCATTCATTAAAACTGGGATACTGGAAGGAAGGGCAGCACAAATACATAGTGTGAGAATTTTTGTGGTTTTTGGGACAAAGTAGAAAAAAGAAATCAAAATGAATGAGGGGATTCTTCTTTTCTTAAACTTAGGTGGGTGGCAGGAGGGATGAACTGAGCATACTTATGCTGAATTTGCTGATAACAATTTAAAGAACTGGCACTTATAGCTTATGTTTTCCTCGTGTTTAGGGGCTGCCTGGCAAAGATGGACTCAGTGGGCTTCCAGGGCTTCCAGGTCAAAAGGCAAGTGACACCACAGACCCTGGGATTAAGCTGCTTACCTGGGCAGATCACTGGGATAAGCAAGCAAGGGAAACAGGAAAACCACTGCTGGGCATTGCAAACAATCAGGAAAGCCAGTGACTCTGGCAAGTCAAGGCATATATCCAAGGCCCAGAGAAAAAGAACAAAGAATATCAGACTCCAAAGATGTTCCTTTCTTTTCTCCCTGAAGGGCTGGAAAGAAGAGATGCCATCCCCCTGAGCTTTGTCTGTGTGACAGAAAGTTGGTTCATTATTATTTCCTACCTCTTATGCTCCATTTGAAAGCTTCTCCAAATTATGGCTTGGGAGGGAGAGTTATCTCCTCCATTGTCTCTGCACTGGGAGAAAGGAGATAAATGTAGAGATTGGAGACACTTGACTTCTCATCCCCCTGCAAATAAGTGTCAAAGAAATGTACCATGTTTTGACTACAAAGGCCAAAGCAGGTTTTGGGGATGATGATTACATTAAATATGATTGTATTGAAGAAAATAGCTCTTGAACATCTATTGCCTTGTATTGCATTGGCAGAGGTTTTCTTGCATCTGATACTTGATCCCAGGTCTAGCAGAGTCCCCAGTTCCCATTTATTGATGAATAAAGGTGAGGAATTTGCAGCCCATAACATATTTCTGATGTTAAATAAACTTTGGATTTTATTCATACATCTGTGTAGTACTTACTGCACTTCCCAGCTATGTAGCCACATTTCAACCACTGCAGCCTCTGCTGTCCATGCTGACACCACCCACATTGGAAGATCAGTTTTACAGTATTTACATAATGTAACCAGTGACCAAGGCCCCAGTCACAAAATTTTATGGTTTTTTTTAAAACACTTTCTGACTTTCTAACCATATACAATTTGAAGAAACTGAATGGAGGTGTTTTTTTCCAGATAATTCACTATGGACATCTTTAATGTAACAGTGATTGTGTTATTCCAGAAATTCTCCAGTAGGGTGCTGCAGATGTGATTGCAAATGGCACTAGAATGGAGAAACATTCCAGGAAGCATATTTTTATATGACTCTATTTACACCCTCAAGCTGATCCTGAGGAGCTGAGTTAAACTACTCCTCACCACTGCCCACCAGAGGAGTTTGTGTATTGACCTCTTGTGTTCCCTGCAGGGAGAACGAGGGGAAAAGGGTGAGGAAGGCTTTCCTGGAAAAGTTGGCCCTAAGGTAAGGGGTTGTACTTCATAGTCTGCTGTATCCACTGAGTCAGTCAAGATGTGATTTTGGAAGGTCTTCTGCTGAAGAGAGAAGAATAAGATTCCTCTGAAGTTGGAGATGTAAGGGGATGAGCAGATGGGGTTCACTGATTTTCATGGTGTTCCAAAATACCAACCCTTGTCTGATTCTTGTCTCTCAGTCCTAAGTGTGCTGGGAGATCTAACCCAGACCTTGTGTTAGCTCCCTGCAGTCTGCATTCCCAAGCCATCAGAAAGGCAATTTCAGGGCCTTGTGGGATGTAGGTAGATCACAAACCAGTAGGGACCACACCTTGCTAATGAGAAAGTGTTCTTGCCAAAGGGTCAAGTCCTTACAATGTTACAGATTTGCTTTTGTTTTCCCAGGGTGAACCAGGGAGCCGTGGCCAACCTGGTGAGCAGGTAAGCAGGAAAAAGTCTTAACAGCAAACCCTGCCTTGTCAACAAAATAGCACATGACCACATGAAAAGCCATTCACCAGTGACAGGATCTGTGCATCTCATTTGCATCTGTGATTGAAGGTGCAACAGTTGTATGGATGAGACTTATGGTTGATCTTAGAAGTCTTTTCCAACCTTAATGATTCTAGGATTGATGGAATAAAGCTACAAGTCTGAGGCACAAATTGAGGTTTATTGGGATAAGGCACTCATTAAGTTAATAACAATTATCCTACCCTGAAAGTCTGGACTATACTGCTGCTATTCCAAAAGTCCTTATAATCTGTCTGATAGGTATCACTCAGTTCCCAGGAAAGTATCCTTACCTACTGTCCCTGGTAAGGGGAAATCACCACAGCACAGGCAAATGCTTCCTCAGGAGTGTTTTCATCAGGCTCCAAGGGAGGAAAGGTTTCTGTACCCTTCCTTGATTTCACTGTAGCTGGACAAACAAACTACCCAGGCTTGAAGTTTCCAGGCAGGCTTGGTCCAAGTGCAGCAAAGGGCCAGGCCCCAACCAGAACACTGTTCCTTGTTCTGAATCATCTCCCCACACAGGGCTGTTTTGAATTTTAACACCACCTTGCCCCTCTCTCCACAACGTGATGTTCTCCACATGTTTCATAAATGTTCTCTTTCCTGTCATAAGTTGAATAGGGCTGTCCCTGAGAAGACTTCAAATATCTGAATTTTGACAGTAAGTTGCTAATTGCAGGTCTATGAATGCTGTTCCTTGATTCAGTTATACACCACCCTGCAGAGACCATTCTATACCACATTTCTGTACTTACAGATGACATCATCTTGGCCTATGTCAGACATTTTACTAAAGTCAAGATACATCATAAAAATGCTTTCTTCTTGTCTGCTTAGTTTTCATGTCTAGGGAATGAGCTGGATGATCTTCATATGATTAATTCTTAACAAATCCACATTGGCTGTTTCGTATTCTTTTTCTGTCCTTGAACTCTTACAAACTCACTGATACTTTGCTTCAGGCTCTTTTCAGAGGCCAAATTTCCACCATGTTTTTATTTTCCCTCTAAATTGTCCTCTTCAGTGTTAGATGCTCTGATTGTTCTCTGAATCTCTGGGATTGCTGGAATCTCATTGCCATTGCCATTTCCATTCCTCCTTCAGTGTTAGATGCTCTGATTGTTCTCTGAATCTCTGGGATTGCTGGAATCTCATTGCCATTTCCATTCCTGGAAGTGTCCAAGGCCAGATTGGATGTGTTGTTGAGCAGCCTGGTTGAGGGGAAAGTGTCCCTGCCCATGGCAGGGGGCTGGAACTAGAAGATCTTTAGGATTCCTTCCAACCCAAGCCATTCTATGATTCCATGAAAGCCAGGATCCCACAGTAGCTCTGAGAAAGCACCACTGCATCTCTCTCCAAATCCCACTTTCCTTAAAATTCTCCCAACATCTCTCAAATGTTCTTAGTCATCCTCAGTTACCACAGCATCTTGTTCCTCACCTGATTTTGTCTACAGACCCATTGCATCTCTACCATGATTATCTTTGGTTCTCCCTATACTTAGGATAATCTCTTTAGAGCAGCGATTACCTTTTCTTAGTTCAATTCTTTAGTGAATTTGGGTCCTGTCCATGGCTGATCTCCTTTGTGATGTCACACTATAAATTCAGACAGAAAAGAATTATAAATAGGAAACCACATGGTTGTTTTCAGGTTACAAACTGGGTCAACTGGGAGCAAAATTTGAGAGTACTTGATATATTTAGGAGAAACCACATGACACAGAGATCATAGTTACTCCAATAACAAGTATTATAAAGAAGAAACTCAAAGGTAATGTTCAAACAAAAATAAATCCAAATGTGCAATAGTGCACTCAGATAATTTTAGATCTGTTCATCAGGTGACATCTGTACCATTCAGATTAATACACTGCAGTTTTTGCATTTCCAGACTACACCAGATCATTAAAGATGAAAATAAAAGTCAGATTTTTATTTATTTTTGTGCTTTCATTTGCTTTCTTGCTCTTGCTACAGAGAAGCATGAAGGAAATATGTCCTAAATTCTATGGCATCAGTTAACAGGCAAAAACTAGAGAACTCTTAATTGCTGCTTTAAGTAATGTTTAAAAAAAAAAAAAATCAAGATATTATTTAATAATGAAATCTAAGGAAGACTAAGAAATTATTTGATAATCTCATTCTCTCTCAGCAAACTACATCTACAGTTAATCTCATGAGAAAACTCAGGCAGGGTCTGTATTACAGCATTCAGATTTCACACACTTTTTCTTATTTTCAGGGTGAAGCAGGTTTTCCTGGTCCTAGGGGCTTACCTGGACTGAGAGGAGAAAAAGGAGACCGGGTGAGTGACTTTGAGACACAAATTATCTTCTTTTGGCCATTTAGCGTCAGGAGGACTTATCTTGAGTGTCCCTAGATGATGTCCCTTGGTGTGATGGTTCTGGTGAGCAGCTGATTGGCAACCTGCAAAGCTACCAAGTACCCAGAAAGGTACTTTTGGGGCACTGCCTAGTGACTGCTCCCAACTGACACAGAAGTGCTAAGGAACAGTGTCTATCCTAAATGTGAAGAGTTGTGCCATGCTGCTTGTGAGGCAGTAGAAAAGATTAGCACTCCAGAGGGTAGATTACACTTTACAACTCCCTTTCAGAATTACTTGCCAGACTTAAGGACATTTAAAGTTCTTGATAACAGCTAAAAATTACTAATCCTGGACAGGATTTCTGAGCCTGAGAGAAATTTAGGCCTGTCAGGAGCTCATCTGTTCCCAGGGAACAGTTCCTGTTTTTCTCTGTGTGTTTTCTCTATGAGTTTTTCTCTGGTCCTACCAATGGGATGAAAGGGGGTGTTGTTCCTTCTACCAATCAGGGTAACCTGGTTAGAAAAACTCTAAAAGAATTGACAAGACCCTGAAAATGAAAGCTTTGCCTCGTGAAAGCGGCTGCGGTGTGGATTTCCTGGAGACCCTTGAAAATACTTCATGTCCTCTAGTGACAATCCAGCTTGTCACTGAGCCCTGGAAAAGGCTTCAGAAGGCTGGATTGATTTCTGCTGGCTTAACTTCTACCCAAGTCCTGGTGTCTGCTGCTTCCTCTGGGTAGCTGCAGAACTCTGGAGATGTCTTCATGCTGGGAAATATTTGGGCCAGGGGCCTGACTGGCAAATTTAGTCACGTAAGTGAGGTCAGTAATCCTGATAACTGATTACATGCTTGAGTGTGATCAAGAAGGATCTAAAATCAACTGAGGTTTTTCCATGCAGTTTGCTCCATTATATGCCTTGTAGAGCACAGGATACAGAATATATTCATGTCAGGGGTTTGAAACTAAATGGTCTTTAAGGTACCTTCCAACCCAAACCAAAAACAGTAATATGAATATTCATTCTGGGAATTAGCTACTGTTTTGCTGCCTGTCTTTTCCAACTGGAAAAAAAAAAAACTTCTGGTTTTTTATTACTACATCAGGCAGTAGGATCTTCTACAAACAAGTTATTATAGGATTGGTGCTTCACTTTCTGTGAAGTCAATTGATGCTCACTGATTTTGAAAATATAATGGATTTTTGAAGCCATCTTCAAAATGTTACATTTTTAATTGCTTGTTCTACATCTTGGAAGACAGGTAAGATAACTGAGAGTGTAAAATATTTTGGTGAGGCTGATGCATTCAAAACAAAATGTGTAAATTTCTTGCTTTCCTTTCCCTGCTTGTAGGGAGAAAAAGGAAGAGACGGTCTCCCAGCAATGAAAGGTGAAAGAGGAGAAAAGGTAAGTCATGAAATGACCATGATCTTCCTTAGACAAGAGAGGAAAACAGACCAAGGGGCAGAGACAAGTGATAGAGGAGGCTATCTGAGGAAGAGTAGTAAATTTGGAAGACTTTTAGCTGAACTTTACAGAGAAGCAGCAGAAATAGCTATGTGTGGGATGTACACAATACTTTATTGAGCAATGAAATCTGATGGAATTAAAGACAATTTAGTTAATTCAAGGAAAATTTTCTTCTTTTTAAATTTTATTTTGTTAAATTTTTTAACAAAAAAATAAATTTCAGGTTTATAATGGGCTGATATAAATGAGCCAGGAATTAAAATCTAAAAAGTTTTCTGTGCCTGTCTGTGGGGGATAGAACAATAATTTCAGGAACAGTCTGGGTTTCTGCCATCACAACACCATTAATTTTAGTGAAAGTGAGAGAAGTAGACAAAGGTAATGTCCACCAAAATTTACATTCAACCATTGTGAACATGAAGGTGGAGAAGAAACACTGACCTTGCAGATGCTTGTGGGTGTCCAGTGGAAAAACTGCCCTCATTACAGAGGCAGTAATATTCAGGGTGTGGGTTCTTCCATCAGTCCTCAGTTTATCCATGACTTTCACCACCTGTGGAGGTGGGAATTCTTTCATGGGTGGTCCACTGACATCAATGAGGCACCTGAACTTCCTGTACCTGGGAGGTTAACAAGTGTTGTTGGTAGTTCTTGGCTTCCAAGTGTCAGGGGACAGATGTTTGTGGAGCACAGCTCACAGGAAGGTCAATGCCAGTGCTCAGGAGATCTTCCAGCAACAGTGTAGTTTTAACTCAAAATTAGGGGAGAACTGGGTTTAGCAACTTAAGTATTTGATGAAAAATGTGGGGGTTTTTTTATTTTTATATCAGTGAAAGAATTTCAGCTAGAACATGTTTTTCAATCAAGACTTCTGGTCAACTTTTATTTAAAAAGCAAATTAAACTCCATATCCTAAACTGGATGGGGCAACTTTAGAAATTTATCAACCTGTGAAGTCAGGTCAATGATAAAATCATAGTGGGGTAGAGACAACAGAATGAGAATCCTGCAACAAAGCAAGGACAGCAAAAATTCTGTCCAGAAGTGTTACTGAGCTGGGGGTACATCTCATCTGGTAATGCTGCATCTTCTAAATGATAATGTTGAGTTTTATTTGGGATTCTTTTTATGTAACTGGTTACATTTTTTTCCTCTCTCCAGGGTGACACAGGTTCCCCTGGACCCCCAGGCTTACCTGGAACAGTAAGTAAGATTGTGTTTAGTGCTGTGACAATATTCAAAGCATCATTGCACTCCCTCCACATAAATTCCTCAGAAACAATTTTCAAGTTTCTTACTTCTCTGCAGAAATCTGGGGACCTATTTGCTCTGAGATTATCTCCTTTTGTTTCAGAGAAGCAATATCAAGGTGTATTTGGTATTTTTATTTTTTTTGTGAGGTTGTACCTTCCTCTGTCTCTTTGCAAAAACAGACCAAGAATACATAAATTTATTGCTTTCAAAATGAAGATGCAAAGTTGCTCTGGGGAGCCTGAGTATAATTACAGTAAAGTTCACTGGTGATTAAATCAGCACCCACTGAATGTAAATACACAAACCTCTGAGTTCCCTCTAAGAAAACCTGAGTAAGCAGCTTGGAACAACACCTTCATTGCAACTGGAGGACTTAGGCCAGTCACAGAGCATCCAAGACATGGCACACATCCTCTCATCAGCTCTGCCAGCCACAGCTGGATACAGCTGCCTCCTTCAAAGATTGCGGAGAAAATTTGAATCAAGGTCTGTTGGTGAAAATCGAGTGCCTAAAGACCTTGAGGAGGCAATGGAGAAGGTGTTGTAATTTATTCCCTGCCATTAATTGGGCCTCAGTCTATGCCAGAGCACTTGGTGGTGCTTTGTGTAGAAAGACTCCACGTATATCAGACAAGAATGACCCAGTCACAACAAAGATGAATCTGTGTTAGAAGACAGCTCACAAACAAAATGCAAATGTCTAGGCATAGAGATGTGCACCACTGCTCAAGTTCTCTGTGTTTGTAGGGAGAAATCATTTCTGTTTGTCATGGTTTAGGAATGATATTCCCCAATTTAGCCCCCAAGACCCCAAAACCTCCCTCTGCTCACTCACTTCCTGGTCTCCCCTCTTCCATCCATGTGTGGCCAGAGAGGAGAACTGGAGGCACAAAGGGCAAAGATTGCAGGTTGGGATAGGAACAATTTATGGAAACATCAATAAGATAAAAAAACCCAAGCAGTAACAGCAACAATATTAATGACAAAAGTGGATAAAAGAGGGACTGTGAAACTTGACCTGACTGCAGTCATGCCACCCAGAATGCTTCCTCCAGTCAGGACCTGCTCTATCTGCCTCGTTTGCTCCAGCAGAAAGGGACTGTCTTCCCTTCTCCAAAGTGAGAGGAAAAACCTCTTTCTTCCACCCCTGACAGTGGCATAAGGTGATACTGAGTAACATAATGTCTTGGCCATGCTCCCTCCCACTGATCTAGGCTGGAAGCAGGGCACTGTTGCAGCTGTTGAAAGTAGGTAATGCTTTTGACATGTCACCAAGATCTGTTTTTTTCTTCAAAATTTTAACAGCTTTGAGAAGAGATGCTGTCTCTTTCTACAAAACTTTGTAATTTTTTTTTTGTGGCAACTCATTCAGAATGACCATGTATTCCCATTGAGGTTTTATGTGCATGGTACAAAGCAGAGGGAGAACACACCAAGCTCAATCATGGTATCAGGAAATTTAATAATACAGAAGATGGCTCCAAGTGGAAAAGTGAGCTGGAGATTGCTAGCAGTAAAATTGCTATAAAATTTAAAGATTGATTGTTTTTTCATCATGGTAGGACACACAGAATTGAATTTATGTTCATATTTCAAATATTCTGGGAGATGTAAGCTATTTGTGGGCTTCTTTCCAAACATCCAGATGTTACAATGGGTTGCTCTTTTATAAACCTACTTATGGATGGATGGAATGTGAAATCTGTGATGACAGGAGTACATGCAAACTATTACATTTTAAGGAAAATAGGCTATTCTGTTTTTAACACTCTGGTTTCTGTTCCAGACAGCCTTCTTCACCCCACACCCCAGGATTCCTGTAAGTAACATCTCTAATAAATATGGCCTCTGGCATATCCCCTCTTATATCTGATAGACACACAGCCCTTAGTTTTTTCTGTGTTATTTAAATGCTTTCATTAAAGAACCCAGATTGAGTCTGGTTCTGGGCATCCTCATCACTGTAAACAGCTATGATGAAAAGTGCAAATATAATAATAAATTAAAAAAAGTGCAAAGCCATGCTCATAAGATCAGCTGTGGCTGGGACAGAACTGTGTGCTATCCCAGCCTCTTAAACTGAGTTTTAAACTGAAGGTTTAGTTTCCATTTGCAGCACCTAGTGGGAAATAAATGACATAATATGATCTGTGAATAAGTTTGTTATGGATCAGGGGGTTTCATGGATGGCAGAGGTAGACTGTAGGAGTGCCATTATAAAGAAAACATATATGCCAGGTTCTTCAGAGGCTGAGGAAGGAAATAAGGATGTGAAGTAGTACTGGGAAAAGAGGCCAAATTTCTTTCTCTTGCTTTTCCCCTTTGCTCAAAGGTTATGTTTAAATATAAATGTATCTACAATCTAAGGAAACATGCAGAACAATGACATCTTATGTGGTCTTTGTAGTGCTACAGTCACAGAAGGAATTTTTTGAGTACATTGCTCTTGTAAATGAGCTGCAAGACAGTAAGAAATAAAAGGTTTGAAGTGTGTCAGCTGTTCCATTTGCTGGGATTTCTCCATGTGCAAGATGACTGCGGTGACACCTGCCATAGTGCAGCTCTGCACATAGCACTGTGAGGGAGGAGAAGGGAAGGGAAGAATTTTTACCTTGGTTGTACAGGTGTACATATTAAAGTGTCAAAAGGAGGTGATGAGCCCTAAGAGAGTGTCATGGGTAATGTTACAGAGGTGGCAGGACCAGCAGGGTGCTGACAGTTGTCATGCACTCTCCAAAACCAATCCTTGCCATTGTGTGTTGTATTGAACCAGGGAGCTATTTCACATATATTTATGCTAGTCAGTTAGGATCATGAAATAGTCTTGGAGATGGGGTGAGAGAACCACAGTGGTGGTCAGGTGTAATGGCTGGGAAGGGGCAAAAGCAGTAGAAAAAGAGGTGGCTCCTCACTTTGCCTCCTGTCTCCTACTGTGCACAGCTGGACCCCCACTGTGCAATTCCTGTGCTTTCCTTTAAGTAGCACAGGAATTTCTGAGACATAATTGAGACTACAGGAGGGTACTGCTGAGAGCAGGTCATGGAAGCTGTAAGTCCTCTTCTGGGCCTGGCTAGTGGCAGCTGTCACTGTGTCTTTGCTGTGCACTGAGGTGTAGGTAAGAAGTGGGTGGCAGTGGATTAAGAGCAGCTGCCAGTGGGCAGCACTGGCAGGCAGTGTTAGCAGCCTTGGCAGAGTCATGGATTTGGAAAACTTGAAAGGACTCGCAGGCAGCTTTTCTGGTGGCTTGTGTTAGCAAAAGCCAGTTGTGTCCTGGGCTGCAGCAATGGCCAGCAGATCAAGGGAGGTTATTCTACCCCTCTGCTCTGGTGAGACCCCTCCTGGAGTGCTGCATCCAGCTCTGGAGCTCCCAAAACAAGGACATCTTGGATCTCTTGAAGCAAATCCAGAGGAGGCCAAAAAGGTGATCAGAGGCTTTACACTGTCAGAGGGCAGGTTTGGATTAGGCATTTGGGACTTTATTGTGAGAGTGCTGAGACACTGGCACAGGTTGTCCAGAGAAGCAGTGGGTGTCCCACACCTGGAAATGTTCAAGGCCAGGTTTGATGGGGCTTCAAGCGATCTGGTCTAGTGGGTGGCATCCTTTTCAATGGCAGAGGGGCTGGAATTAGATGATTTTAAGGTCCCTTCCTCCCCAAACCAGTGTATGAATCTACAAAGAAATCCTTCCTCTCCCCATGTCTGTGGTTGTTAGATTTTGCACTACTGTGCAAGTCAAGTATCAAGGAAAAAGTAGAAGGAAAATCTTAAAAACTTTTCCCCTTTACCTGTTTCATTACTTCTTCCCTTTGCAGTTTTGTTTTCCCTGGTAATATACATCCTTATTCCCACTCAGTTACACCATCCCTGCCTACAAATGTACTGACCTATGTGCTTTGTTGTTCTGCTCTCTCAAATGAGTTTCAGAATTTGAAATGTCATTGCACAAAATAACTTCCAGGCACAAACACACAGGTTTGCAGCTTTAGACCCTTTGCTTGAGCTGCTTTAGGTAAGCCTGATGTCTTTCTGAAGGACACTAGATGGCATCAGGGACTGCCTGGTTAAAAGTCGATCTAATGGGATGCTACTTGTAGAGTAAAATTCCTCCCATTATTTATCACAAATGATAATATTTATTCATAATGCATAATAAATACAAGCATAGGCAATATTTATGCAACTACACTTATTTTGTCTGATAGAGAATCATTTGAAAATGGACTGTGAATTCCCAGGTGTTGCAGAAATGATTGGCAAATAGCAGACGTAAATAAAATTCAAGCTGATTTGTCTGGCTCTGCATTTTGGCTGATCACTATTCTTGCTTGTGTGTGTAGCTCAAATCACTGATGTTCTTACTCTTCCTTGATTACATAATTGAAACACTTGGTATGATAAATAATGAATAAGTAATGATTGCTGTTGCCTGAATACATACATTCATAACAATACATAAATGTGAGTATTCGTGTAGTGCCTGGTTTATTCTAGCTAGTTCCATAATTGTATGCTTTCCTTTTCAATTTATGAAAAAAGCAGAAATATGGATTTATTGATTATTACTCTAGACAGGACAAAGCTGATGAACTTCTGTCTGAATGCATATTCAATTTACTGTTAGGAGGAAGAACAGGAATAAATTAATCTTATTAGGTAGTGATGGTGGTGCATGAATAAATGTACTGACATTGCAGGAGGGAGAGGAAGCTGTATGAGCGAATGGAGATGTTAATAGAACTAGAGATCAGGAGTAGCCATGTAGTGCACACCTCTGGAAATGCTCCAGGATGGTCACTGAACACCTCTCTTTTATAGGTGGAATAGGGAACTGTCTTTATCTGGGATCACTGTAGAATGACATTAGGGCTGTGGTCCTACAGAGGGGTAGTGCAGTGTCACTGGTGCTTTTGCTATTGGTCACATCATGTGGCCTTTTAAAACATTAGAGATTAATTTTTTGATTTTGGGAATATTCTTAGCTACTCTTCTGCGTGAGGGAAAAATGTTCTCCTTTTAAGCTGAATATATTTTTCAGTTAGTATCAGAGCAGACCAAGAAGTTTAGACAGTGATCTCCATGTCTTAGTGTGGCACTCAGTTTTGACTCATTGACACCTTGTGTCAGAAGTGAGTAACTGATTGAAAGAGCCCACTTGCTAAATAGGGCTAGTGTGAGTTCCAGCCCTGGAAATAGCTTTTATTTCTCTCTTTGTCTTATTGTTTTATATCAGGGTGAACCTGGACCAAAAGGAGACAAAGGAGATCGAGGAATGAGTGGAGAACCTGTAAGTACAGCCAAGTGTTTCTTCAACTGGCTTTGAACTTTAACAAGGAGAGGACATGAGAGTGGTCAGGTTTGGAAGGAGAGGCTGGGACATGCTCCTTACATAGCTGGGATGCTTCTCTCATCAGAAATAGCCACAGTAGTGCTTCTCTTTGTACTGCCTGTAGAGGAAGCTACATGACTACTGGAGTTCAGCACCTAATCTATAGTTCTGGGCCTCAGTAGCTGAAAGGAGGACTATGGGATTTGCTTGAAGCTTGTCTGGCAGTAATTTATGTGCAAGATTTATTAACGGATTTTGAAGTGGTATGGTTCAGCTAAATTGTGCATTTGGGTACTGCCAGCTAAATTGTGCATTTGGGTACTGCTGCATTTGTATTCTGGACTCACTTGTTCTGGATGGAGCTCCCAGAAGGGACAGAGCCCTGCGTAGTGACAGCCTCTGCAAAAATCACACTTCCTTCTCTCTGTGGAAGGAGCTCCTTTACCTCTCCCTCTGTTTTTCAGGGATTACCTGGGGTCCCAGGTGAGCAAGGTGCACCAGGACCTGCAGGAGTACAGGTAAGAGGGACCTTGAAGAAAATCTTTGACATTGGTCCTTCAAGAGGGCATCTTGTACTGCTGCTGCCAAACCACAGGTCATGCAGATAAATCACTGCAGTACATTTTCAAAACATTGCAGAGCAGTCAGATTCAACCCCAGCTCATCTAACCTGGAATGAGAAATTACTCATTTGGAATGGTTCTATGGTCTCAACCATCTTCAGAAATGTTTTTGGGTCACACAAACCATTTCAAATCAGCACTGAGGTGTTTCCATTCAACATGGGTAGCTGTTTACTCTGCCATCATATGTGCTGTACCCAACCTATATAATCAGTGATACTTGGGCATCGACACCTTAAACAGGCTGACAGCAGTCTGAGCATTCAAAGCAAAAAGACAAAAACAATAAAACCCAAAACAAAACAAAAAACAAAAAAAAGACACAAAAAAACCAAAACCAACAAAACCAACCAAAACCAAACCCCCCAAAACCCAATAAAAAAAACAAAGTAATGCCCTGCAGCTTTTAACTAATATCTGCTAAATGGGGGACAGTTCAGCAAGTAGCCTTCATCCTGCAAAAATTCTTCAGAAAGGGTTCTCTGATATGTATGATTAGGACAAACTCTCTGGGTATCTATTTTTAAAATTTCTAGATGGCTGTTGTTTATATTTCAGAAGTGTAGGCAAGTCTTCTGTGAAGGGAGACCATCAAAGTTCAGCTGGAAATGAAGTACTTGGTAGGCATGAGGGTAGGAAAGAGTTTTACCCAGATGAATACCTCAGGTTCCAGCATCTTGTGCTGAGAAACAGTATCTGAGCTGATCAGTCACTAGTAACTCTTCTTAAATCTCAGGGTTTTATTTTTATAGTTCCTTTTCTTGCTGCCAACAGAACTGGGATCTGTTTCTTCAGCCATTAACTCCTCTGTGAATTTGTTAACAAAAACCATTGCCTAGTACACATTCAGGTATCTTGAAGCTTTTTTTCTGGCAGGAGGTCTCCTTCCATGTCTAATCAGCTGGTATCTCTCCTTTCTGCACAGGGTGCAAAGGGGGAGAAAGGAGCCCGAGGAGAGGCTGGAGCCCCTGGAGAGACTGTGAGTAACTGCTTCCCTTGTAGCATTTTCCCCTGACAGTGGCACACTGACATCAACATCTTGTGGGTGTGCAGTCCCAGGCTGCTTGGGCACAGGGTACATCCTAATCCACAGCTGGAAGAGGCTGTTTGTGGGCAAACAGGACCATCTGTACCAAACAGATCAATGCCCCATTCAGCCCAGCTCAAGGCTGTGCATCTTTTCCTGCTCAAATCTCTCCCTGCCTAACAAAACACGCTTTTCTGGGTGAGTGTGACTGCACTGCAATGTCAGCCCAGCTCAGGCAGCCAGCTGGAGCAGGTAGCTCACTGCTCAGCAGCAGCAGGAATTGGTTTTTGATCAGGGCTGCTTTTAGGTTTCACTGTCAGTTCTGCTGTTTTTTTTTAATATTGGCTTATCCAGAAGACTCATCCCACACCCCTTCTTGAGGCATTTGTTGTAGGAAGTGTTGCTTTTGTCTGTCTGTGTGCTTAGGAACAGCAAAGGATTCCAGTCCAGTTTTATTACTGTGAGAGCATATAAGACCTGAGCAGCTGAATAAAAGGCCACAGACTTTCTTTGCAAGCAAAGAACGAAGAAACACTGAAGAACTGTTTGAAATAATGATTGAGAGAGGGAATGGCTGTGATTAGGAGAAAGAAGGAATAGGAAATCCAAATGAAGCATCCTAGAGCACTGAAATTTATTATTCCACCTTTGTGTTCATGGTTTTCTTTCTTGGGCTGGTGCTTAAACATTGTCCCTAAAGAGTGCTCTGACCCTAAACCCTGAACTGCCTATTTTCAGGTGTCTTTCACTCTTGGTTGAAAGACCCCTTAGTATTTTGGAGAGGGGAAAACAAAAATAAAACCCACAAAAAACCATTCCTTGGTTTTATTTCTTTGTATAACCTGGTGGTGGTGGCTCAGAGGATGTTAATGATATGGAAATGTAGGTATTTGCAGGCACCTTCTCTTTTCTTGCCATCCTTTCACAGACTGCTGCTGCTCTGGGTGTTTCTATTGGCTCATAGACCAGTGACTGTAAATAACACAGAAATGAGAAAAACTTTAAACCTCTGCTATAAGCAAAGGCTGAGAGGATTGGGATTGTTCAGCCTGGAGAAGAGAAGGCTCCAGGGAGATCTTCAAGCCCCCTTTGTGTACCTAAAGAGGAAATACAACAGAGCTGGGGAGGGACTTTCTATAAGGGCATGGAGTGATAGGACAAGGGAGAATGGCTTCAAACTGAGAGCAGGTTTAGATTAATATTAGGAAGAAATTATTTCCTGTGAAGGGGGTAAAGCACAGGCTGCCCAGAGCAAGCTGGTCTAGGGGAAGGTGTCCCTGTTTATGACAGAGGGTTTGGAAGCAGAAGAAGTTTAAGGTCCCTTCCAACACAAATCTCTGACTCTATGAAACCTTTAAATATAGCCTGATAACCCCACACATACATCTCTGTGGGGACATTAATCCCCAAATATATGTCCTCTAATGTGTCTCATCAAATTTTGGGGACACACATGGGCTTTTTCATGCTGCAAAGCTTTGACTTGGAAATGGATAAAGATCTGCAGTTGAAAACTATAGATTCTGGATGGTTTAAGCTGTTTCACCTTTTAGTGCAAAAGAATGTTTTCAGGTTTTGTTCCCCCCAGCAGAGAAAGGTAGAATTGTCAACAAAGCATATTTTGTTGACCTAATTTTTTTTTTATGATAAATCAACATTCTTTACTCTGTTCTTCTGATGTTTCTGGCCCAGACTTTTCTTCCTGTATCTGAGCTAGATTTAGAATTTCTTTTGATAGAATGTATCTTTAAGCTCCCAAAGAGAGCCTTCATCCATTTTGTATTGTTTCATTTTTCTTTACACTAAAAATTTTCAAACAAACCTACTATTTTTTGCCTTCTTGATGTACAACACCTTGTCTTACATGAAATTCAATCTCCCTTGGATCATCCTGTTCCTATGGTGATACAAGTTGTGATTTATATATGCGCACACACACTCTTCATTTTTCTTAAAACAGGGTTTGAGTGGACCAGCAGGGCCCCCAGGTCCAAGAGGCTTGCCAGGAAATGTGGTAAGTATGCACCAGTGTATTTGTTTTCCCATCTGTGCCCTGATTTCTTTATTTAATGTGTTTAGTTTCCCCTTCTATGGGGATTACTATGAAGTTCAAAAGTCTGTGTTTCATTAAACTTGTTTCTTATGGCTGAATTGAAAGATCTGGAAGCACCTGGGAATGGTGTATCCGTGAACTATCTTCTCATATTCATTTTATCAAGGGGAGGAACAGAGCTGCTTCATTCTTTACCAAATTGTCAAAATAAATTTTTGCTTCCAAGTCTTCAAGAGAAAAAAATCAATGTTTATTGTGTCTTTTTGTTTTCTTTGCCTTTTTTTAATTTGTCCTCTCATTTTGTAAACAAGACTCCTTGATATAAAAATAGCATGGTAAACTCTCACTTTTATTATGAAAGCATATAGGCATTTGAGCCTAAAGACCCTTGAAATCAATGCAGTGTCCCCCTTACCTGTGGTTTCATCACCACATCATAAAACATTTCATATTTGTTAAAAAATAAATTTGGATTAACTCTACTCTTAGCTCCACTAGGGTAGTTTTCTTTCTTGTTCTTACTTCCTTTCTTTCTTTCCTTTCTAGTTTCACTTGGCTTAGACTGGAGTAGGTGAAAAACAGCATTTAGATCTCAGGATATGATGTATTCAGGCACAGGGTTTTTGAACACATCACTGTTAGAACCAGAGTTTATTGCCTGGGCAGTCCAAGAAAACCTAAATTGCCCTTCTACTAATTGTTAAGATACATTTGATTTAATTCTATTAATGTAGTGATTTAATTTCAAACTGAAAGGTGATATTGAAAATGAAGAACTTTTCAATTTCATATTCCATTAAGCAAACTTCTATAACAGTAATATCAATATATTACCTATAAAATCCAGTATCGTTGGAAATATTTTTTGCTGGTGCAGAAAGGAAAATAATTATCACATCCATTCTGAGGTCAATCCAATCTTAATGGTGCCAAGACATGATTTCACATCTTAAAATGGAGTACCATTCTAAAATATGTTTTGGTGGGTTAGGAAGTTACACTATTTAATTTAGAGCTCTAAATCATCTATATTTTGACACAGAGTCCTTTGAGACCTGCCAAGATGTTAAAAGGATTGAAAGCTGAAATAGAGGAAGAAATGAACACAGCTATATTTCCCAGTGTTGGGAGGCTTTCAGCTTCTCTGATACAGAGGTGGTGATTGTGGGGTTGTTGGTAGCATATTAGGAACTTCTGAGAATTTCACAAAATGAAGGAAATAGTTACTGGTAGAATGCAGAAATTTGGTACTAGCTCAGTTTCTGCTTTTTCTCTTCAGCTTTTTTTTTATATTGAAAAATAATTTCCACATTTAAGGACCTGTTACACAGCTCTTCTGTGGTGTTCTCTGGATTACAGGTTCTTCTCTACTGGGGAATGTAGAGCTGATACTGATCCTTGAGATAAACCATACTGAACCCACAGGTCTGCCCCTTTGTTTAAAATCCAATGCTGCCTACAAAAAAAATTCTAAGCTTTAAAATTCTCTTCTCTCCAGGGTGTGCCTGGAGCTCCTGGACTCCCAGGAAAGGCAGGAGAAAAGGGGGAAAGGGTGAGTTGGTTCTTTGATGGGTTTGTTTCTTTATTTTTTTCTTCAGCATTTTAAGTAATAGGGACAGATGCAGTCTGAACTGGGAAATTATTTCATAGGTTCATGGATGTTTAAGACACATGGGTTCATGAATTCATCTTGTATGTACTCTTCTATTACACATGCTGTAAGATTTTCACCCAGTTGCAACTTTATAATTTACCTAATAAATCACTGAGATATGACTGGATATAGTGGAGTCACTGATACACGATTATGGTCTTCTGCTCTCCTCATTACCTGACAAGTGTGGGCATTTGGTGTTTTAAAAACCTCCTATTTATCACTGTAAATCCAAAACTGGAAGGAAAAATGCCTTTCTGTCCCCTTTCATAAGCTTTCTGAAGTCAGGGGATTGTGTTTGATCATACACCCCAGGGTGCCCAGCATGCTGGAGTCCTGATCTTTGTTTCCTGGAGTGGGAATGATTAATCACAAGCATGACCCCCTATATCCATGTATTTAAGGCTTAAAAGGGAATGAATCCCAGTTCCTTCAGTAAAATCTTCCAAATTCCTGAGCTCTACCTCAGGGTCATGTGAGGACCAAGGGCTCTCTCATTCAGTGTTGCAGAAAGAGTGATGCACTGCACTCACAAGAAAGATGCAACAGTTTATTTTATTGGTATAACACACCAAGTCAACAAAGTTCAATGGTAAATGCCACAGTGGTTTAACAAGATTCAATGCAAGGTACACTTGATTATTTACTGCATTGAGGGCAGGCACAGACAAAACTGTCACTGGGACTCTTCCATTGAGTCATGAGGTTCAAAAAGGAGCTCTTTGTGTTCTAAACTCCTTGTCAGAGAGGAATTTAGGTGTGGCTGCATCCAGAATTAGTCCCAAACTTCATCAATATTTTGTCTAAAGCATTATATGTGTGCAACCAATCCTTCATATCACTTAGCTAAGGTTTCAAAGTTTCAAATGCATTTATTCCCTTTTTTTTTTTTTTTTGCTGAGTATCTGATGTGATAAGGTGGTAATTTGAGGGGTGACCCTGAGATGCATCCATGCTCAAGGGGAGATCTGCAGCCCATTGCAGGCCCTGGGCTGTCCATGGTTCTTGGGATAAGATGGTTGGCTCATATTTCCATGCTGGCTATAAATGTTAGTTCCTCCCAAAACTGCCAAGACATTGACCAGCACTGTGGTTAGGTGAGCACAGTGCCCAAGCCTGCAGGGTTGTTATCTGCCTCCCCTGAACCCACTGTGAGTCAGATGCAGCCAGATGCATCCACTACTGTTGCTGCTGCTGGGTGTCACTTGGGCAGGGCTCCAGGAAGCAAAGCTCAGGTTGGGATCAGGGCACACTCCAACATTTCTCAGTGTCACAGCGAGGAGAAACAATTTTGATGAGTTCAGGTTGGGCTGTGCTCCATGGAGAGAGCTGCTACATATAGCTGGTTCCCAAAACATTTTGAAGTCATTTTGTACTTTCCTTAATGGAAATTACAAGTGCCTTAAGATTTCTGAAGGAAAATACTTCCCATTAAATAGGCTTTCCTATGATACTAAAAGAAATCCAGATGAGACAGCTAGGAAAAGAATCCATGTCTTTCAGTTCCAATGAAAGACCTGAGGTGGTAATTGTCTATAGTAATCAAATGAATTCTGATGGCTTCTCTTCTACAGGGTGATCCTGGAAAAGAAGGAAAAGTGGGTTTACCTGGGCCGCCAGGTGAGCCAGGGCGTGCTGGAGAGCCAGGTTTGCCTGGGAAGGGTAAAGATGGAGAAAGGGTAAGTACTGCTGGCAAGCTTTGTGCTTGACTAGTTCAATATGAGACAGGCAGGCAAAACTTCTGCAGGAGAGCATGGATTTACCTGAATCCATGGAAGGCCTGCCTGTGGAAAATGCTCCAGATCCCATCTGTGCATGTAAAAAGGTCAGAGAGAACTGAAAATGTGTTTCTGAAATTTACACTGAAAACAGCAACCTCCACAAGGAGTAGCCATTGTCCTTGTGACTAGTACAAAAATTATTAGCTTGATGGAAGTTCCCTAAAAGCTTTTAATTCTTTCCCAGTTAGCAGATTGTTTAATTTGGTTGCCTGCTGTCAGTAAAACATTGCCAGTACTGCGTGAGCTCAGGAGGGCAGTAGTGGGAGAATTGCTGCCTTGACTAAGGCAAAGTCCAAGCTCTTGTTTGGCCGGATGGTGACTGTTTTCTTGGTTTGCTTTTGTCACTTTAGGGGGAAAGGGGACCACCAGGCTTGCCAGGACCCTTTGGACATAAGGTGAGCATGGACTTCATTGTGGACTGTTCATCATAATCACTTGAACTGGAGAAAAGAACGTGGTGCAAACATGGTCTGTTTTCCACTGGAAAACAGAATTTACAAAGCTCTGACTCAAAAATGCATTTCTAGCCTTTTAGGAGGTTCCTTTATTATTCCAGCATCTCTGTGGGTGTAAATACTCAGAGATTAATTAGCTGTGTTCACTTTTCACATTTAAAATACCTTCCAGCACTGTAAGAGTTCATCACAGATGGAGGTCTAAGTGCACACTTTTTCAGAGAAACTGTGACTGGGACCCTTTAATCCACACAGCCAGGGAGACACTGCATGGCTCAGGTGTGATCTGCTCTCAGAACCACCTGTCAGCCCTCAAAGAGAACTTTTCCCTACCACTCATTCCTTTCACCTCTCTGCAAGGACAATGGGAATTATTTTCCAGTAGAACCAGATAGTCCTGGTTTCCCCTCCTGTACTGAGGCAAAGACTAGCTAGTTGAAGAGGTTGATGACATCAACTTCTGCTGAAAGTAATGCTTATTCCCTTAGAAGCACACAGAAAAGAGAGAAAGGAATAAAACACCAAAAAACTTTGATTCTGGGAGGATCTGGATTGTGCTTGAACATTTAATCAGACATTTCAGAAATTGTCTTCTTCCAAATGACCATGTTCTGATCTGGAATGGAAGAATCAGATGTTGAAACAGATTCTGTAAATGATAGAAACAGGATTACAGAATTATGAGACCAAATCCATCTGCGTCCCATGTTTTTGAAATAACCAAACTGCTATGAGTTTCTTTTAATTTTGATGCATTTTGTGCAAATGCATTGTAGTCTTTTCTATATATCTTTGACAGGTCAGAACACAGACCTATACTCACACAGACACACACTAATTGACTGAGAATAAATATAAAAGTCAGAAAAAAACACTAAAAGAAATCTCATTAAGTATTCTATTCAATAGCAACAGAAGATGATAAAAGTCTTAATTGTGTGTGGGAAAATACTATTGAAATTTTTGTATTAAAATTATCTTTTTGAATAAAATAACTGATAAGGGATGTCTAGAGTGTTTGAACTAATCAGAATGCATTTTTTCTTACTAGCCTTGCAGTATTATATCTTTGTAGTAAAAGATTAGTTTAAGAAGAAAGCAAGAAAGGGGAAAAATAGGAGATATTGCAGATTTAAATTTGAGTGGGCAGAATCCACAGGTAACAATTTTTCTATCATACTTCTATATAGCTAGAAAAAATGTCATAATAAATAGCATAAATAAGATTTGTTGTTATAAATCTACTGCCAACATGAGACCAAATCTCACAACTGCAATGCAATCCATAAAAATCTTATTGATTTCTCCCTGTAACTAGAAAACAGATGTTTAAACTAAAGTCTTACAGCTGAATTCTTTCTTAGCCCTCTGTCTACAGTGTACATTGAACAATGCCAAGCTGCTTTCTGTGCTTTTACTTTGAAAAGCCTGTTCTTTAGAAGGGAAAACTCCCCTTTTCTAGTACAGGGCTCAATAGAGAGTGGTAGAAATGTTGACTTGTATTTTACAAAAATAATTTCATACACTTCTGTGAGTAGGCCTGTGTTGGTAAAGGAAAGGAGAATATGAAGATGTAATAAAACTTCTCTAATCCTGTCTTCCCCAGATAAATGATTTATGTTCAGTAATTTTTGTGCCTTAGCCTTCTACCACAGAAGCCCAGGGAGAGAAAAGTGATTTATGGTGCCTTGTGTTTCCCCAAGCCAAGGAAAGTGCCTGCTACCTTGGTGAAATCACTGTTTCTGGAAGTGTTCTGGATGTGGCTCTTGGGGGTATGGTTTTGGGTGATTAAGGTGGTGTTGGGCTGGTGGTTGGACTGACTGATCTTGAAGGTCTCTTCCAACCTTGGTGGTTCATGAAATGCTGGAAATTTGATGCAGCACACTAAAATAAATGAAGACACTTGCAAAGATTGTGTTTCCACTCAGTTTTGTGATGTGATGTGGCACAAACTGAGCCCACAGAGGTGGGCTGGGCCCGTGTGGTGGAAAAGGACACTTTATTGGCACGATGAGACAGTAACTGTGCCATATCCCCATGCTGCCACAAGCAGAATCTGTCCCTCTGTGGGCAGGATCAGGACCAGATGTACTCATGTGACATTCTGATGTACAAACTGCTTGCAATTTCAGCAGATTTTCTCATCAGTGCACAAAGCTTTTAATTGTTTCCTTTATTTCAGGGTGAGAGGGGAGCTCCTGGCCTCCCTGGACAGCCAGGGGACAGAGGAGTGCCAGGAGTCGGCCTGGCTGGACCCCCTGTAAGTAGCAGGTCCTGCTGCAACCTGGAACAAGGTGGAAAATCAGGCATTGCCACCTGGGGAATGTGTTGCCTGTGCTCAGCTGTGCTGAGAGCCTGTGGGACATTTTGCCTTCTGAAGCTGCAGATTCCAGACGAGCCCAGAGGCTGCCATTTGTAGCTTACATGTCACACGTCTGTTGAGAGGGTTAAAAGTGCTGTAGGATGGATGGGTGTCACTGACTCATTCCTGAATTTTGTGCATCATCCTGGCACACTGGCTGTAGATATGAGTGGAGATCTGTGCCAAGGCAGCAGCTCTGGTCTCCTGGACAGATATGACCTCACTGTTGTATAACTCCTGTTGGAAGGGATGAGTGTGGCACACACACCCACGTCAGTGACACAGCCACACTCCAGTAGCAAAATACAACAGCAGATTACTTAAACTGCTGTGTTCCAAGAGACCCATGCTCCCCATCATTTCACACAAATATTTGATAGGTTTGGCCTCATCCAGCTCTTCCCTCCTGAGTATCAGTTGGCCACATGGTGTACCTGGGAGTCTGCTCAGAAAATTGGGATTTTCCTGTTGGTGGGGCTTTGATCACACCAGTATTTGTCAGGTACAAGTCCTCTAGAAATGAGGGGGATTTGGTAGTGCTCTGGCAGTAGTCCTGCTGAGAGACCTCCAGCTATGTACTGAATTTGCTAGTGAAATATATTTAGGAGGAAGCAAATGCTATTTCTGGCTGTAATTGCTAGAGGACATCTGAGCCCCATTTTTTTGCAATACCTCATACATGCCATGATCCTGGACCAACCATTCAATGTTTGGTTATCAGTGCTGTTTATCTAGCTATAAATGTCCCAATTAGTACAGGAAGTTGAAATAAGTCATAGTGCTGGGTAATGAATTGAAAAGTCTGACTTTCTGAGGTGTATGTCCACTCTTTGGCTGTATCATGGCTTTTATGGTCCTCACAGGGTTACCAATGACTGCAGGTTTCCTGAGTGTCCTTTGTTATGATTTATCCAAGGAACAGTGGTGTTCTTGCACTTCTCAATGTTCAGCCATTAATTAAATTAAAACTAAATTAACAAATGAGTATCTGGCTTGTTTGAAAATCACTAGCTAGTGCATAGTCTTTAATTACAGATTTTTAGATTCAGTCCAGGGCTAGATGAGTTCATATCTGCATCCTGATGTACACAGGATGACAAAGTTGCTCTTCATTGGGGTTTAGCATCCTCATCTCCATAAACACAAATGACTAAGGACTTGACTCCAAATGCAGACATCTCTTGTCTCACACCAGAAGATTGTTTTTTTTTTCATGTCTTCATTATTTGCCCACTGTCAGGATGTGTAGCCACCTACACACCACACTGTTCTCAAATGATATGTTTTATAATGTTATTTAATTTGCTTTACTAAATGCCTCCTTAAAAAAAGAAAAAAACAAAAACAACAAAAAAAGCAAACAAACCAAAAAAACCACAAAGCACTATTATGATGGTTTTTTTCCCCACTGTAGGTGCTTCATAACCTCAGCTCCAGTGCAAAGACTGGAATTGAAAAAAAAAAAACCCTCTCTGTATAACCTTGAATCTAGCAGACTGTCACAAAGACTGAATCCCACACTAAAAACAAAACCCATAATAAAATCAGTGGAGTTGCTTCAGTGCATATTATACACTGAATTAAAGACGTCAGCCTCTACTCTTTTTAGCAATGTGACAAAATTGTGTTTATAATACTTCAGCTTCAGAGCTGAGAGCCAACAACTCTTTTTAATTGGAATCCTCACTCTGCTTCTTCCTGTGCCCTTAACCTCTCTCAGGCTTTGCTCCCTGCACAAAAAATATGTATAGATGAGGATTTTTTTACCTTATCTGCTGAAGTATTGAGTTACAATTTACATACCACTGAGCCATAAACTTGAGCATTAGCAGAGTGTGTTATTTCCAACACACTCTGCTAATGAGTGTGTTTTACTCTATATGCCATAGACTAAAGGACAGCTTGGACAATTGGGGTGAATTCACATGTTTATGCTGAAATTGCCTATTGGATGGATGCACAGTATAAGCACAGAGGTTTCAATCTTGCCCTGTCTTGCCTTGTTGGTATTAATTAAATTATGCATTTAGCCTTTTCTTTAATATGCATTAAGGTGTCTTCTTTCATGGAGACATTGTGTGAGGATTAGTGAGTTACTGTGTGTGAAACAGAAAGCAAAAGGAGAGGAGTTATAGTAGCCAATTTATTCCAGCCTTGTTTTGGGTGTGTGTGGAATACCAGATCAATTCACCCATGCTGGATGTGGTACTGCATCACTTCTGTGGTGTTCCTATAAAAGTGGGTGCCTGCCAGCAGCTCACTCTACTCAGCAGCACATTTTAAGTTGCATCCACAAACAAACAGCGTGCACAAACCCACTGCCCCCCTCTGCTCTGACCTAAATTAAAGAGCACAGAGATCCTGTGGGATGTTTTTGTTCCATAAGAGGTATTTGAATGTAATGGGATTCAGAATCTGAGGGACTTGTCCTGTCCCAGCCCAAGGGATGTGAGCATGCTGTGGTTGTGTGTCCCCAGACCCAGCCAGGAGCAGGGATTGTCCTGTCACAGCAGTCACACTGCAGTGTGTCACTGTCACAGGCAGTGCACACACATCCACACTCATGAGTGCAGCACACAGTCCAGTGCAGAGAATAATGCCTTAATGTGTTATTAATGCTCAGCCTTAATGCTCAGCCAAAGGAGGATGGGAATTTCAAGTGTTTTGATTGCTGTGTCTTTTCTGCTTGTAGGGCCCTGCAGGACCCCCAGGAGACAAAGGATCCCTGGTACAGTATGTCTTTCTAGCTATACCCAAATTCTTTGAGGAGGGGAAAACCACACTAATTATGTTTCTACCAGTCATTTTATGAGAGCACATGTAATTGTTTTGGTTTTGTTTGAGCAATGGTCATGGGGTGGTTGACCCTCCAAAGGGAACTTCTCCCTTTGTATTATCAGGTACTTGTCTGCTATACTGAGTTGTGAGAGTTACTCAAGAGCCTTGTTCTGGTGGAAACTTTGCCTTACGTGTCAATAGTTCTACAAGAGAGACAATGGGTGACTTGTTTCACCCTTCATTCAATAAATTTTAACATAAATTATATTACATTATATTGTATTGTATTATATTATATTTATAAAATATAAATATTTTAAGGCACATAAGGCACATTTCTTATAGCCAAGGTCTCATAGGTTTAAAATAAACCATTTAAAACATTTTTCTTACTTAAATCTTGCGGATTTCAGTATTCACCAAACACACTTTAGTCCCTCAACATTCAGTTTTTCAAGGATGCAATCCATTGGGGTTGCACAAACAACTGTGTATCATGGTCTCCATAGACCCTGGCCTGAATTTGCAGCACAACAGCCAGTCCTAGCCAGTGTGATAGCCTGGAACTGAGGAGATGGACCTTCTTTTCCCTGTGTTCAGTCACATTTTCTCCCTGTTCAAAGACCTGCCTCCTGTAAAGAGTCATTGTTACCTCTCCAGTCAATGTATGGGAAGCTTGACTTTAGTGATGCACATGAAGTCCCTTGAGGCACAGAAATGACTGGTACCAGCATAGTGCATTGTGACCTGTAATTATATTTTTTCTCAAACTCTTTCATAGTTGTGTAGGTGCTGGTTTTTTCTCCAATTTTCCAATTTTCCCACCAGTAACTATTATGTTAAGGATTTCTTCTCTTCAGCTAAGAAGCACCTCATCAATACTACTCACTGGTTACTGGGTGTGTCTGTCCTCTCCCTTCCAGGGTCCCCGTGGTGTACCTGGTATCCCTGGACCACAGGGACCTCCTGGCCAGGATGTAAGTAAAATAAAAGTGTAAGTGCTCAAGAAATTTGTCAGTGCTTGGGTCTCATTTCCTTAAAACTTTGTGCTGATAATCAACTGCAGTCACTGAATGTTACTAGGATTGTCTAAGGGACATGATTTGCACAAGTGGAGCTCTTACAACTTAGGATATCAAGGGGGAACATAGTTGGAATGAGGAGGATTGCTTCAAGGAAAATGGGGGACTTCACCACTGAACCATTTTAAAATGACACTGGGGAAGGGATTTGGCAGCATACACTGGGAAAAGATCCCACACTGAAAAAGGATGGTGGTTAGGCTGTCTAGGAACTTCTTAGAGTCCACTGAGATAAGTACCCTTTCTGTTAAAACAGGGCCACAGCTGTTAAGAAGTTCTCTATGAGTTCATTTTGCTGCTGCTATTGTGCATGTTTGAGGACATTTTAACCTCTTGGTGCATTGTTCTCCTGCTGTCTCAGTGGTGAGTCATGGAACTGAGGAATAGAGAGGAATGTGGCAGACTCCCAGCTGGAAAGCTGGCCCCTCTCTCTGCCTGGTTCCTCTTCAGTGCTGCATCAGAAAGAGGAGAATTTTTTTCCTCTATGATGTGGCAACCAGTCCTCTGAAGGAGGCTCTGAAGATTTTGAAGGGCTTGATGTTTGGATTTTTGCCTGTTGAGGGAATGCTGTGAAGAGGGGGAAGTGACCTCCTGTTATTCTCCTTCTCATTGCTGCTCCATGATGCTGTTGTCTGAAATGGCAGCTCTCACCAACTTCACAGCAAGCACTTTTCAACCCTAGAATGGCTTTACTGACATCCCTCAGGTGGTCTAGTAGGTTCCTTCCCACCTATTTACTGCCCACAGAGGTTGTGGATGCCATCCCTGGAGTGTTCAAGGCCAGGTTGGATGGGACTTGGAGCAACCTGATTTTGTGGAAGGTGTTCCTGCCTATTGCAGGAGAGTTGGAACTGGATGACCTTTAAGGTCCCTTCCAACCCAAACCATTTTGTGATTTTATGACTCAATACTTTGTCACAAGACAAATGATTATGCCAAGGGCTTTCTTCCACAGCCCATGATAGCTGAAATGGTCCTTTGCCTCCATCATCTTGTGTCCCTGAGCAGCCAGAAATTTGGGATTGATTGTGTCCTGCTGCCTGTCCCTAGATCTCATCACCTTGCCTCAAATGTTTGAGACTTGTAACCAAGAGATTGTGAACAGGAGAGAGGATAGATGGGTTTCCTAGAGCTGTACTGTGTGAGGAGAGTGCCTGAGGCAGATTTTGAGTCTCACTCTGGCTCTGCTCAGATCAGTGTTGGTTGGTCAACTCTTGGAGATGCAGCTCTAGGGTCTTTACATTTTTCTTTTCCCTGCAGGAAATTAACCCAAAAACAACCATTCCTCAGGCAACTTATAAAACACAATCTCTGTTACACTCACTGCTTTAATTGTAGTCAATATGTCTTCTAGGACCTTTCTACATTGTCTGATCACTTGCTAAACCATTCTATCTGTGTTTCAGGAGGTGTAATTAGAGGCATGGGGCACATTCTGACAATTTTTGGTGTGTCAGCAGGGATAATCTATTTTGACAGGGTCATGCATTTGCAGTTTCATGATCCTTATCTTTATTTAACTAGCATAAGGAACTTTTTGTTCTACTTCTGCACCCTTGTATGCCAGTGCAGTGTTCCTGTATCCTCTGAACCATGTCCATTTTTGTACTCTGCTGTGTTCAAACAGGATATCATTGGATAGGAAAGCTCCAATTTGAATTGCTAATATGAATTTGCCGTGCAACTCCCAAGCCATGCAGTGTCAATTGCCTGAATGACTTGCCTCAGTGTCTTGTACTTTGCTGTGGCCTTTGCAAATGTATTCCATGCTTTTTTTCTGAGACTGAAAAAAATCTTTTAAATCACATTTACATACATTGAGTTACTCTCTGAATTATTTTTCCAGTTGCAAACTCATCAGATGCTTGTCGAAGTGCCTGCTATCACTTGCATTCTCTGATATAGCAAATCAGATTTACAAGGGGAATTGAAAGAGTCAATACTCCTTTTGCAATAGCTTTGGACAGAATTCTCTCCCACTGGTGAATAAATTAGTTTTTTTACATGACTACATTCTAGATTTTTTTCTGGTTTCCTAAAAGCATGTGTCATATTTTTTTGAGATAGCCCAAAGTCACCTTTTGAAATACCTGTTGGCTACTCAATCTAATATCAAGAGTTCTCAGGACAGTATCTTGTTTTATTAAAATTTAGGTTTTGAAAATACTTGCCTAGGTTTACAGTACAATTGTACTGCTTTAGCCTTGTTCTCCTCTTCTTAGCAAAAGCCTTGCTATTTTTCTGTCTTCTAGAGTTCATTGTATCCATAAATCCCTATGAATTATCTTTTTCTGCAACAAAGCTAGGACATGTTGTCTTCTTCCACATATATAATTTTCTTGTCTTTAAATTCACATTTTTTTCTCTGATTGACCAAAGCTCCAATTCTTAAAGCCTAAAAAGTGTTCTTTATTTAGGTCTTTTTTTCCCCCAATAATATGATGAATTTTTTCCATAAGAGAATTACTACACATTGTGCCTACTTTAAGGATCTCAACCACTTAAAAAAATTACTTTCTCTTGCTTTTGGAAAAAAAAAAATATCACATTTTAATCTGACAGTATTCCTGTATCAAGCAGTAAAATAGTGTAGTCTTAAGTACCTTCTGTCAGAGAAGTTGGCCAATTTCCTTGTCTGAGAATAATCAAAAAGTATTTCTATGTGTTCAATGATGTTATATGTAGTGCTTTCTCCTCCAGCTGCTGCAGACAAGGTCCCTCCTGCCTGGTTGGATTAGGTATTAGGAAGAAATTCGTAACTGTTCATGTAGTGAAGCACTGGAGCAGGCTTGGAGCAACCTGGTCCAGAGGAAAGTGACTTGCCCATGGCAAGGGGTTGGAGTGAGATGGGCTTTAAGGTCCCTTCCAACCCAAACCATCCCATGCCTCTATGGAAAGGTTTATTAGAGGATATAAAATGACAGGATAAATCATGGTAGGCAGATGACTGCTCTGCCAGACAAATGCACCAGCCAGCTCTGGCTTACACACAACCAGCCTCTTTCATACCCTTTTCTGTCTCCCCCCTGTTTGTTTGTTGCTCTTTCTTCCCCTGCACAGCCCCTCATGCATCTCCCCAGCTCTGTCAGTCCCTCAGCCCTCCCACTTCACAGTCTCCCAGTTCACAGTCTAATCACTTGGAAGGTCCAGATTGATCTCCCAGGAAGTGCAATCTGTGGTTTTTGTTAGCCCATTAGTTATTGTGAGTGACAAGATCTGCTGCTTCTTAGATATGAGTCTTGGAAAATTTAGTTTCTGATTTCCCCCCTTCCCCTTAATTTCCCCTTAATTTCCCAGCTGACAAGGTCCTGGATAAGGTAACCTTGCTGCAATAAGCTGCCTCATATTTCCACATGCCTTGATCAATTAGTGTGAATGTCCAGGCTTGCTTCCCATCACTGCCAGCCTTTTCTGTTGGTCAGGCTTGTGTCCTTGATGTTGTAATTTATGACTTTTTCCTTCTCTTCCTTTGTTGAATTCAAAAAGTTCCTTGACCAAATACCCCTAAAGGAGCAGACACTCTTTGGCCAGCCACCCTTACACTTCATGTTTTGAATCATCTGTTCTTCCCTGACTGTCTGCTGGGAGATAAAATGTTTCTGTTCAACACACCTATTTAGTGTCCTTAGATTAGCAAACAATCTGAATGAGACGTTCTCTTATCCTCCTATTAGCAGTGAGGGCACCTGTTTAATAGGATCTTTCTGTATTTTGATTATGATAATTTTAATTAACATAAACATTGAATTAATCACTTTTTAATTAGGTTAATTATTTATGGTAACTAAGTTCCAGCATTACTGAGGAGTTAATCTTCCCCCTGCGTTTGCTTTCATAATTGCAAAACCTTTGTGGATGCATAAATTACTGCCAATGAATTTGAAAAGCAGAATTGGCTGTTCTGAGGTTGATTTTCCCATCCAGTTAGAAGGAAAGTTCCTTTTAGGAACTGTTTATTTTAAGGTACTTACATCTCAAACCAGAGTATACTTATTAACGCCCCTACTGTCTCTTTATTGCTGTGACATATAATTGATTTAAGACATTGCATTTCAAGTTTAATTTTCTGGCTTGTTACAGACCTCTCCCACAATATGCCTGTGTGACTTATACACTTCCCTTATACACTTATGTTTCCTTACAGACTTTCTTCATTTTTGAGTATTTTTGCATGCACCACTTACCTGAGCATCATATTCCCCATCGTAGGACTTTGCCTGTTAACTGCACCAGCATTTAATTTGTTCTTAGTTACAGAATCAAAGAATATTCTGAATTGAAAGGGACCCACAAGGCTTATCAAGTCCAAGTCTGAAGTGAATGGGCCATGAGGGGATTAAACCCACAACCTTGGCATAATTAGCACCATTTGCCGACCAACTAAGTTAAATACTGTTTTTTAGCATTATCAGCAGCACAGTTTCCATCACTTCCCATTTCAAGACCATTCCTGTGTGTCAGATTTTGCACACTGATGCTCTGGGTACTGTGCATCACACCTCCTCATGGCTGACATCTTTTCCCTGTACTGGTGTTCTGTACCACTCATTGGATATTCTGCTTTGTGCCAGCCACTCTTGGCTGCAAGCTCCTGCAAGCGTTCAAACTTTATAAGCTCTCCAACACTGGTTGTAATTTGTGTCTGTGCATATTCCCACATCATGTTAGCAGCATTTCATTTCAGTGCCATGCAGTTTTTTGGTCAGAGTCACTTTTTTAATGAAATTTTTGGCTTTCTCTTTTCCATTTTCCTCCCCTATTAGTTTGTCAGATGCAGTTTTAACTTTCATGTCTTCATTCTAGCATTTTCATTCTGCTCTGAGCAATGTGAAGCTGTGTCAGGGGAGGTTTAGGTTGGATATTAGGAAAAGGTTCTTCATCCAGATAGTGGCCAGACACTGGAACAGGATCCCCAGGCAAGTGGTCACAGCACCAAGATTGACAGAGTTCAAGGCCTGTTTAGACAATGCTCTCAGGAACATGATGTGATTCTTGGGATTGTCCTGTGCAAGAACAGGAGCTGGACTTGATTTTTTGTGGGTCCCTTACAAACCAGGATATTCTGTGATTCTGTGTTTGCAGCTTGTCTGCTTTTCTCAGCCTTTTCTAACTCCAGGCCTCTACAGACCAGCAATATTTCCTCTGCTTTTGACTCTATTTCCTTTGGCCTGCTTTCTGATAATGTGCCATGCTGAAGTGCCATCATCTACATCTGGTTTTTACAGTTTGGATCACAAAAGCATTCTTCAATGGACATTCTCTGCAGTCTTGTACCTTCCAATTGTTTGATTTTTCCTGGGGATTCAGTGCTTTTTTCAGGTTTGTCAGCCATGGTGCAGAGCTTACTTAATCTCTTTTTCCATCTCATTTCCACCCTGTTAGAGATATCACCAGCTCAGCATCTTACAGCATGCAAGAAAATGGGTTCATCCCTTTTTGTCTCAAGGCAATCTGATACCATGTGGGCATGATAGCTGTGCTTAATCCTTTCCAAGGATTTCCATTTTATTCGCTCTCTTCTTGCTTGTCTCTTCACATAACTAAGAAGTATTTTCCTATATTATTTTTTTAAAAGATCTTTAAATACTCAATTACACTGCTAGTTCCATGTTCATATTTCAGATCCCAAAGCAGAAGCCTGTCAGTGAGCCCTATGGCATATATTTATAGCTGTACTACTAGTCAGCATGAAAGGCATTTCTGAACTGTGTTTTCTGTGTTGCTTTCTGATCCAGGATTATTCTCATGGCTCAAGTTTTTGCTTTGCATCACACTTCATAAAGCAAGTTCTGTGTGAGTCTTCCTGAACAAAGTAGGTCTGGGAATATAAGATCTGTGTAATTGTTATTTAGCCATCCCTCTTCCCACTTGCAGAAGTGGCTGAGAAGCACAGTGGAGAGGATGCCAAAAGCATGACCTGACAGCATCTGTGAAAGGGAAGGGGCTTTGGGAACAATGCAAGTCCTCTGTATTCACCTTGAAATTCTGTGGAAGAAGGAGAGCAATAAACGACTAAAATATTTACTATTATTTACTCAATTCCCCAGAAGGACATCTGAGGAGAATTCTGAGCTAAACATCTTCTGCAGACATTATCTTCTCTTTGTTCTCACCTGCAGAAGGTTTAGTTCCTCAGGAAACAGGAGTTCATCCATGAACTTCAGTACTACTTCAGCTCCACTTCAGCTGCACTTCAGTTTGTGTTTAATTTTCATTTCTTAGAAAGTCAAGGTAATTGAAGGGTTGTTGCTCACCCAGAAGCATTTAATGTGGACATAGAAAAAGATAATCAATATATTTTCCCATTTTTTCTCTCCTCTAGCAAGACATCCAGGATTTAAATACAAATTGAGACTCAAGGATGAAATCCAAGTTTTTTCCTATAGCTATAATTGTGGTGTGTCATAACACACAGTGCTCTCCAGTCATCAATGCCCATGTCCCCATCTGGTTGTCTGTGTAAATAATACAATGAATTGATTGGCAAATCAGACTAGCCTGAGACAAGGTGCAGAAAGAACACCCAGTACCCTTCCTGAATAAGTATTTGACCAAATTTTAAAGGGACTTTCCATTTGGAAATATTAGATAATCTCAAAGAGTAGCTCCTACTGAGCCTAGACTGATTGAAAGCCACTGCCTGTGCCTTGATCAACATCCAGATGTTGATGCAGCCCAAAAAGCCAATCAAGTCCTGGGCTGTATCAAAACCAGCGTGGCCAGGAGGTCAAGGGAGGGAATTCTGCCCCTCTACTCTGCTCTGGTGAGACCCCACAGGCAGTGCTGTGTCCAGCTCTGGGGTCCCACAGCACAGGAAGGACATGGAGCTGTTGGAGCAAGTCTAGAGGAGGCAGCAAGGCAACTGAAGGGATAGAGCAACTATCTAACCCTAACCCTAACCCTAACCTTAACCCTAACCCTCTCTTACAAGGAAAGGTAGAGAGAATTGGGATTGCTCAGCCTGGAAAAGTGAAGGCTTAAGGGTGACCTATTTGTGGTCTTCCAGTACCTGAAGGGAGCCTTGAAGAAAGATGGAGAGGGACTTTTGACAAGATGTGAGAACTGTATATACATAGATAACCAAGACAGCCAAAATCCAGAGCTGAAGTGTAAAGAGTAGATTTATTCCATTACCACACTGGCAGAATGGGGACACATGCACTGCTAAGCTTATTCCATCTTAGCAGAGGCAAAAAGTGCTCAGGGTAAACTCCAAGCTTCTTATCTCTCCTTCTCCCAGCAGGGAGGCCCCAGCCTATGAGGAACACCTTTTAAGTTTTTTACAGCAGTCTGTTATCTTCTACAAAACCTCCACTTCTCAGGACAGACAGAAAACAACCCAAGGAAAACACAGCACGTGAAATTTTCCACACTGAATATTCTTAGAATCCTCCAGCTGCAAGGATGTTTTGAGTGAAAACAACTCTATTTTTTCCTCCCCATCAAATCTTCCACCTTCAACTTTTCCTTGCCACACAAGGGGTGTGACAATAAAAGGGGTAATGGTTTCAAATTGGAAGAGAGTAGGTTTAAATTAGATATATGGAAGAAGTTCTTTATTGTGAGGTTGCTGAAACACTGGCACAGGTTTCTCAGAGAAACTGTGGATGCCCCATACCTGGAAGTGTTCAAGGCCAGGCTGGATGGGGCTCTGAGCAACCTGGTCTGGTGGAAGGTGTTCCTGCCCAGGTCAGGGGGTTGAATTTAGATGCTATTGAAGGTTCCTCCCAACCCATTCCATGATTCTGTGAACATCCTGGGTGGCAAAATCTGGAACCATCCCAGAGAAAACCCCATGTGGAACTTCTGCAGAATCAACAAAGCTGAACACAAATAAAATGCTTTTAGATGGTCAGTAGAAACTGTTCCTTTAGAAACAAAAGTGATCAGGTAGGACAGCTTTTGTATGTGGTAAATTTTGTATGCTCTTTAAGGTAATCATAATCTAGTATGCACTTGCTTGAGTGATGACACAGCGTGATGGACCAGGTGGATACAGGAACTCAGCAGAAAATGGTTTGGGGAAATGTCACCAAGTATCTTAAAACACCCACTGCAAGGATCCTCACAATGCAGATTTTTGTTACCATCTGAGCAGTGGCAAACTGTCTTGTTCAAAAGATTTGGTTTACCAAAAGAGCATTACTTTATGCAAAGATTTTACAAAAGTTTTTAGACATGGTTTTTATTTTGTTTTTAGCAAATTCTTCATTAATGACATGTAGGAGATGCCCACTGAGGGGTAGAGGTTGTCCCTTTTCCTAATCCTGCCTTTCTGGACATAAAATTCTCACAATGGTGGTAACTTCTATGCCTTCACCTCAAGATAACTGATACCACTACACCTCAACAAAAAACAACCAACCAACCAACCTGATTTTGATTGTTTTCAGATGCCTTCAGAGATTTAAATCTTCATCCTTCACACTAGTAAAGGTCATAGTGTTTCCTATGACCAGAAGTCAAACTAAAGCAATTCCAGTGTCTGTGTGACTCAAATGAATTTAGCAAGGGCTTGAGAGCATGTTCAAGTTGCAGATATTTGGAGGACTTCTCTGTTTGTCACATGCAAGAAGCAGTGCTGCTCAGCAGCAGAAAGTAAAATATTTGCTAGTTCAGATCAGTCAGCAGAGTGCAGGAGCAGCCAGGAGATTATTGTATAATAATTTCACAATTATTTTTCTTGATCTGTAGGGTGTGCCTGGAAATCCAGGGGAAAGAGGACCTCCTGGAAAACCTGTATGTAACTTCAATTCTGTATTAAATCTTCCTTTTAACTCAGTTTCCACCTGTACACCTCACCTCAAAAGTGCACTTAGGCGCTTTTTCCACTGTTACTTTTCCCAGCAGAGCAGTCGGAAAAAGACTAAAACCCACTAAAGGTTTAGTGAAGGCTTTGGAATGGTACGAAAATAACTGGATATTCTGTATGTAAATAAAAGCCAGAATTTTAAAGGCATGTCCTTAGTGCCACTGTGCAGTACCTTCAGCAAAAACTCATCTCAGGTGTGATGAAGAGCATTGGTAAGGTAGGGTGGGAAGTAAAAGTTTGTCCCAGGGAGTCTAGACAGGACAAGGGAAACCAGTGAGAATCCATGATCATGTTCAGGAAAAAATTCTCATGTCTTGATGCTTCTTACAATTGCCTGAAATAATGAATTTCTCATTCCACAGGGTTCCCCACCCTTGCTGACTCCAGAGGACATAAATCTCCTAGTGAAGGTAATCAGCCTTTAATGAAGGTGGGAGTTTATCTCAGTTTGATTCAGACCTGACTAATGCTCTGTGATGGGAAAGTGTCTGAACTACAAGTGCAAAAGCTGTCTTTAAACACTCTTTCAAAGCTCAAGACTTGCAGGTCTCCTACTTGCAGTGGTATTGGGACACGACCTGACAGTGGAGATCAAAATCCCTTCCCCAGCAGTGAAATGACCTACAAAGTTCTTTATAACAACTCTGAGACTTTCTCAGCTCTTTCTGAGGCATGCATTCCCAAGCAGAAATAAACACTATCAAGTTGCATTATCTAAACCAGAAAGTGGAAACAATTTTAATAAAATTCTGGATTTTTTCACATACACCTTCAACAGTGATTGGAGTCATTTTGGGTAACTGTGGGTACAAATTTAGTTTGCATTGTGAATTTAAAAGGATGCAGGTAATTAACCTCAGAAGTACCTGTGTTTCAAAAGTGATAATCTGTCTGCCTTTACTCTCCATGTAGAGAATTCTCTGAAAAATTAGTCAGTCTTTGATAGGTGTTGACTGAAAAATCTTTATAGATTTACGTGGGCTGAGTTGTGAGTTTTTAAGCTGTCTTAAACCTGGCAAGAAATCTTTTCTTATTGATTAAAATAAACTAAAAGATTACCTTCTTTTACCAACCATGTTAACCAAAGGACCCTTTTAAGATTGCTGCTGTGAAATTACTTTTTAGTGAAGAGCTGTCTTTGTTTATTGGATCCAAATATTGTTTTGGAGGTTTCAATATAAAATATTGTTTGGGATTTTTGATCTGGAAAAGAGCAAGAGACTCATGCTTTGGTACAGGATGTCACTTTGATGTTCTTTCATTTTCTTCCTTTGCTTATATTATGGTCAAACACTTTTGTGCATTTTTTTATGCTTGGTATTTTTTCACTCCATGCTTCTTGGTACAAAAAGTAGCACCTTGAAATCCCAGATGAAATTAGAGCTCTGCTGTTCTGGCTGTTTCTCCAGCACTTACATTCTAAGTAGATAAATGTGGATGTAGGCAGTGAGACTCAGAAAGACAATTTACCCCACAGTTTTGCAACAGATCATTGACAGCTGGGTGTTGTAGCAGGGGCTCCTGACTCTCAACCTGATGATCTGTTTTATATTACGTTCTTGTGGGCAGGATTCCCTCCCCTTCCACTGAAGGGAGTCTGCCTTTGAAATGGAAATGTCATAGATGGATTAAATTTCCTTAGGATAGTTGGAATGTAAAGACTGCTGAGACAATGCTTCAAAGAGGTTTGGAAGAAGGAAGGTAGTGATTCTCCCTGATAAAATTTGGCCAGGACATTCACTTGGTCTTCACAAACTTCATTGGATGAGTTGTCCTTAGCCAAGCTGAATAATTTCCCTTGCAGAACCCTTTCTGACATTGTGTTGCACCTGATTTTTCCCTAGAAACCCACCCTCTAAGCTGTAACACAGATCTTTCAGGCTGGAGCAGAAGACACAGGCTTCTTGTGGTCTTGTAGATTCAAACCAATGTTTTTCTTGATATTCTTGCTAGTCTCCCTGACCTCCCCATTAGGAAGAGCTTTTCCTTGCTTTCCTGATCCTGGATGACCAATTATGATGCAGAACTGAAAGCTCCCATGGGAGCACATGTGAGCTCAGCTGCTGACCCTCACTCTGCTTCATGCTAAGGCAAATTCACCCCAATCCTGAGATAGAACAGAAAAGGTTTAGGAATTATACCAGCACCACAGTGCTGCATTCATGGTCAGTGTCCATAGGGTCTGCTAAGTGCCTGCAGCCTATTGCTGATGTGTTTTTCCATGTTCTCTCCCAGGATGTGTGCAGTGAGTGCCCTCCTGGCCCACCAGGACTGCCAGGCATCCCAGGTTTCAAAGGGGATAAAGGTCTCCGAGGACCACCAGGTAGAGATGGCCAGGATGGGAAAATGGTAAGAGAGCTGAGGGAGTGACCATGCCTGGGATCTGCTGTGACCTTGTTTTTCTATTAATATGGTTGATGGTTTCTTATAAGTTGTTTTTTTTATTATTATTATTTTTTATCAACAACCTGCTAATCTTTTTTTTAGAGACCTGTGGAGTCCATGAACTAAACTAGTGTTTACCTCTACCTCTTGTGCATTGCAGGGGATTGCTGGTCCCAGGGGTCCTCCAGGCCCACCTGGGCTCGATGGCCCAAAGGTTGGTTGGTTTTCTTCAGCTGTCTAATGTAAACTTGCTTGTGACTAATTAGTCACCCTAATTATTTTGGGAACAGGTTACCCAAAGGAGTTTTGAATGTCCCATCTCTGGAAATGTTAAAGGCTAAGTTGGATGGTGTTTTGAACAACTTGGTTCAGTGGAAGGTGTCCTTGCCCATGGCATGAGAGATTGTCTCTCTTTAATAGTGTCTTCTACCATCCCTTTGCTCACACACAGACATCTAAAGGGCCTGATTCTTGATGTTGAATTTCATTGCATTGTTGGATATTGTTGAAAATTTAGTTTCAACTCAAATTAGGTGAGAAAGAAATTAAAGCCTCAGCAGCAGCCACCGTGCCTGTTCCTCTCCTTTTTGAATCTTATGTGCTGGAACCCCTTAAATTAAGGCTGCAGTGGGCTGCTGGGCTCCAAACACACCATCTGTTCTGGTGGTCTTACCCAAAAACCCCAAATATTTCTAGAAACATGTTACAGGAAAAACTAGTGGTTTTAGCTATATGTTCCTGCTTCATGGTTTAGGACATAAGGCAACATAAAACTTCCCTTGTTTGAAGTTTTCCAATAATGTCACATTTCAAGCATTTCCCATAAAGAAAGCTGTCACCAGTCTGCTCATGATGCCAGTGCCTGGCCACAAGTAAAACCTTTACAACTGCCTAATGTGAAATAAATCAAAACAAATCAATGGAGGGAAAGATAAGGAGATTTAATGATTGGCCACAGTTTCCTCCAGACACCCATTCACTACTGACTTACTGTCTAAAATAGCTCCTGCTATTTTAACATCTTTGTATTTACACTTGTTAGAGCACAGTACAAGCTAATAAGAGTTTCATTAATTAATTTCATATCTTGCAATTAAAAGTGTGATGGGGACAGCAGCACAATCTCAAAAGTAAATACAGAGTTGATCAAAATGAAAGTATACTCCAGGATAAAATTTACAAGAGAATTAGTACCCCATAAGGCAATAACTGGCAGAAATGCCAAGCAATCTGAGACATACCACATCTGCTGGTTCTTACATGTCATGAGAAAGCAGACATTTTGGCAGCAAGAATGGATAGATAGGTGAAATAACAAGATAAATTTCCAACTGAATATGTGCATATAGTCAAATCAAGTAACTGATAAGTAGTCTAACTTGAATTCAATAAAAAGAGTTCTCAAATGAAAAAATAAAAAGTATTGTGAGACCACTGGGAAGGAGCAAACACTAAGACTGTCTTTGTGACTCTTTTATACATATCTTAGGAGGATCCTTGCAGTGGAAGACCCAAATTGCTCTGCACTTTTGACTCTGTGATGGATTGTCCTTACCAGCACTATCCAAGCTATTAGGTCCTGCTCTGAAAGAAGAGCAGTAGAATTGTAGATCTTTACTCATGAACAGCTTCATTCCTTCTGGTCATACAAATTAAAACTCTTCTATTAATAAATAGCAACTGTTTTTCTCCCCCTTGTCTCCTAGCTGTCATGTAGTAAAGCAGTGCATTATTTCCATGGCCAGCAATTCATTATTGCTCTGTGCATTGTTCACACCTCGTTCACCATTACCTCAGTGATCCTCAGTGTCTTGTCTCGCTGTGAGCACTGATAATGCACACATGCACATTTGAGTTAGCTGTCTCTGTCCTGTGTCTCTGGAACAGAAAGAGAGAGAAAGCAGGAGAGCACATCCTCAGTATTAATTTTCTGGCTGCACATTAGAAATTCTGATTTTATTGCTGTTGTCCCTGAAGGGTGTGGGTGCCTTTGTTGGGCCAGGCAATTCTTTATGAAGATGTGATTTAGTGAAGTGCTAACAACCCACCTAGTCTTTACGGATGTGTAATTGCTCTTTATCCCTAGGACAACAAAACATTAAAACCAGCTATGCTGGGTCTGCTCAAAGGCCACTTTCCACATATATTTCTGGCTCCAGTACTGGTTGTGGAAGTCTAGAGAAGAATTTAAGAGGAGGGCAAAGAGGGCTCAGTCCTGACTCTTGAGTTTTATTCTTGTATGTCCAAGTGCTTTATGAGAGAGGTCAAAAAACTGTGACAACACTGAATCTCATTGACTTTCAATGGCTCTTTTTTTATTACCAGGGTGCTAAAGGAGACCGTGGTATGACTGGGGAAGTAGGAGAAAAAGGTGAACAGGTAAAAACAGAGTGTGCTTTCCAGCAGTGCTGTCACTGTGATTGTTCTTTCATCAGTAACTCCTACGATGCCTGTACAAGAGCAGCCTTCTCAGAGGCAGAGCAGGAAGATGGGAGCTCTTCATCACTGACAAACCACAAATGGGCTCTGCCAAAGAGTGGAGCCATAGCAATCCTCCACAGACTTCCATCTTCATCTCCAATAAAAACCTGACAGTACCATCTGTTTTCTCACCTCTGGACTGAATGCCTTAAATTTTCTACATTACCTAACCTTTACTCATTTCTTTGGATAATCCCCAGATGATTTCCAGTTCAGGTGTCTTTGGGTTGAAAATGCCAGCATGTCTGTTTGTCTTAGATGATGAATGTAAGGAGGACCTCTTTTAAGGAGGGACTGAGATGCCACAGGAAAGATGAGAATGGTTTAAATTAGAGTAAACTTTCATAGTTAATTTTGCCAAGGGCTGAATCACTGGTTTAGGGTGCAAATCAGCACCTCTTCAATGACATTTTTAGGATATTTTAAACAGGCTTGATTTCCCAACTGACCTCCTGTCTTGTGTAATTCCACAATATCTGCTCTCATCTTCCATTAGCATAGACTAAAGTAGGTGTGGGAAGAATTACACCTGAAAATTAACTATGTTATTTCTGAATTTTGCTTTGAAAACCAAGGTTTCACTTTAAAAAGCCATAGATCTTTATTCCCTTACAACCAGCTCTCTGTGAATTGACTCATTTTAGTGTTACCTCACAATAATCACTTAGCTTTTATACAAGTATGTGACTAATGCATAAAAAAAGTCTCTGTTTTCATTCTGCAGGGCCACCCTGGGATGCCTGGTTTCTCAGGGGCTCCTGGAAACCCTGGTCCACCTGTAAGTTCCTCTGTTACAAAGATGGTCCTTGTAGTTTCTTGCTGATAAAGGGTATTGCAAGCTCCATGTGGTGGAAAGGACCATTCCCATCTGTCTGTGCACTGAGTTTGCATTTTCAGTGGGTTCCTAATGATCCCCTGAGTGTGATGGAGTTGCCTACTCATGGTAATTGCTATTTAATACATTGGCCACTTTCCACTGATTGCTTCAACTCATTCTATAAATTGTTGCTAAGCTTTACTTGCTCTCTTTATACAACACAAAGATGATGATGAAAACTCTTCCACAGGGACTATTTAGTACATGTATAGGTGCTTTCCTGTATGTGGAATAAGTTGTTAGTCTAGAACTAGCAGATCTAAGAGCCTTTTAGTTCTCAATTTTACACAGTGCTATGAGACTGAATTTTCTCCAATTTTCATGTAGTGTGAGTTACTTTTGATTTAAAAGGCATTATACATATCTGTCTCCATCACAGTCCTTCTCATTCTTAGTTATGCTCTCTCCATGAATAAAATTATGCTTCTTTGTATTTAAAAAGGGGTGATAGTGAAGAATCAGGGCTGAAATCACTTGGCTCTCCTGCTGGTGATATCTCTGTTTTACTCCCTTTGAGTTTGGGAATTTTTTTCTGAGTCAGGGACTTTTCTTTCCAAACCACCTTTCATTGCCCAGAGTCATCACTGCTCATACTGCTGCTTACAGTGCAGTTTGGCTCTGCTGTGCTGAGGGTGTGCCACCCTCATCTGTTCTGGGGATCAGCACAGCCTGAATTCACACTGCACTGACTAAATCACAGGACATACCAGAAAAGGGGGTTAGATTAAAATTCCATATTCAGATGGTAGCACTACCTAAAGGATACTTTGCTGCAGGGACAACACATGGATTTGCTTTGTGGGTCATTTGAGCTCCCATGAACATTATTTTAGAAGTTAATAACAGGCACATTTGCTGTGTCTCTATTAACCTAATACTGCTACAACTACAGAGCTGTACCAGTGGGATTAAAACATTTAAAATTGTCCTATGAGACCTCCTGAACAGACTCACAGCCAAAGGAAAAGTGCAAAGTAAAACTGAGCCTGTCAAAACAGAGCAAAATGTGATGTCCCCTGGACAATTTTGTTCTTCAGCTTTTGCTGACTTTTCCCTCCGTCCGCATTGACTCATGGCTCCAGGAGTTTGCCTGCCACAGAGTGTGCTACATAATTTCTGTTCTCCCATAATTGCTGTTCTTCAGAGTTATTTTTGTCATGATTGGCTTTTTCCTATTTGTCCCCTGTTTTCAGAAGGAAGAGCCAAGACCAAACTCGAATATCTGATTATTTCTGGCTTTGGAGGCTGATTGAGTGCAGAGGTTGTCACTGCTTTTCATTGATGAATGAAGAAATTGAATGAATGTTGAGCTGAGTGATTAAAGAAAGCTCCAGAGTTGCCAGCTATTTTAGGGAATGTGTTGACAAACATATAAAATGCATTAATCATTCACATTGTTTCTGCTTTATTTTTTTTTAGGGGTCAGATGGGGCACCAGGACCAATAGGACCAGCAGGAAACCCGGGAGACGTGGTAAGCTCTAAGCTCTGTGCTCAACCACTGCCTTCACCTAGGTTTAGATCTGTGAAGCAAAGCTGAGCTGGCATCCATGTAAGGTCCTTTGAAAGCTCCCCAAAATATTCAGCCTGCAAGTAGAACCTCCACAAATAGCCACAGATTACTGTTCTAGCATTTTTTTATTCACCAAATGAAATTCCAAGTTAGCCAGAGGACAGTCCAGCCCATGGGACCTCTCTGGAAGGTTTTGTACCTCTTGTCTGTCTGTCCTTGCTAATAACATCTCTTAGCCTCCAGAACAGGACTTCTAAATCTGTTAGGATGCTTCATGACCTAAGGCTAATATCTGAACCCTGTGTGGGGATTATCAAAATATAACCAGCAACCTGTTGAAGGACATCACAGCACATCCATGCTGAGATGTGGAGCCTGGCACTCTTTCCTGGCACCACCAAAAATGCCAGTACATGTATAACCTCCTAGAAGCCCTTGAAGAATTTTGGCACTGCTGTTTGATTAGAAGGGTTTTCAGATGCTGCTTTGGGGTAATGCATCAGAAAACCTTGGGAGACACAGGTAATCTCAGTGATGATAGCTTCAGTTTGAAAAGTTGGACATGAACCTTCCCTGAAGAATATCCCCTATTGAGTTGGAAGAGTTTAAAACTGTGTAATTCCATGATGAATTTCTAGAGCAAGGTTTCCTAAGGGACAAGGTGTCTTCTGCAAAGCCATTTCACAACCTGAACTTCATCATAAGTTAACAGTGCTGGTCCTTCTGATGGCTGATTATGAAATCAGTGAGCATTCTCAGAGAGGCCAGAGACAAGATGATCAGGCTGACTGAAATTCCATTTCAAATGGATGATAAGGTTGTGGCATTGTGAAAGACTTGGCATGATAATTGTCCAGTCCTGTGGGTTAAGGGGATTTTTAGGAATGGTCAGCAAGGTACTTCTTGTAACTACTCATTTAAAAGATATACAATATACATCTGCTTCCTGGCAGGACACCTCATCCAGAAGGTTAAGGATGAAATATTAAATATAATTAACCTTCTGGAAAAAAATTACCCGTGATTTCAGTGTTTTCTTTATTTTTAAGAACTCATACATAATACTGATTTCTTTTTTAATGTGAAAAGAGAGCCATCCATTCCAAACTAGAAGGAGTTCAAGAAAACCTCATAGACTGTGTGACATGGGCTACAAGACCACCTTCTCCCAGTTGTCCCATGGCAGACTCTAGATGCAACAAATCTTCATCTGATAGAAGCCTCTGAGGAGGTTGCCTGACCCTCAGTGTTCTTTCTTTCTTTCCAGGGCAAAGATGGTCCCCCAGGTCCACAGGGCCCACCAGGGCTGCCCGGACTTCCAGTGAGTGTGACTAAGCTCCTTCTAGTTCAGTACATTAAATTATTCATGCACATGCACACATAGGTATGTAAAACAAAGAGGTGACACTTCTGAGGTGCTTTGAGAGCCATGCATGGGCTGCAGCAGTTCTATCATGCTGATGCAATGTCCTTGTTCCAGGACAGTGTGGATGCTGTATTTGAACACTTTAAAGCAAAGTGTTAATAACAATGTGAATCAGGACTGTTCCTTGTGAGTCTTCTCATTGGAAGAAATACTCTTATACAGAGCACAAAGATCAACTTATAACTCCAGTGTAAGGGATTCAAGGATTCAGAGGCTGGGACATTGAATTTATCTGAATTCACAGTCAAAATGATTCCTCTGCACTGACTCACGTTCAAGTGCACCTAGGGTATAGACTCCTCTCTTCTGGAAAATGTAACAGTACAAGATTTTGTGATTTTTTTTTAATCTGTCATAAATATAGAACCAAAGATAATTCAACTGTAAAGTAGCCTGCCTGAATTAAGATAATGGCATTATAAGGATTATTTATTACAGCTGGATTTAAAATCCTGATTTAAGATTGTTGGAGTACTTGCCTTGCTGGAAAGGGAAGTAGTGCCATATTGGAAAAGGAAAGAGGTTATGCTGTTAGAGGGGTGTGGCAGGGAGAGGTTTATGACTGAGCTATAGAAGTAGGGAAGGTTTTGGAGATTTAGGCAAACATAAACATGTCATGATGAGCAGAGTTTTCACACTGACAAAACTCCCACCAATCTTCCTTATTGATTCCTTTTTTTTTTGCATTTCATTTAACAGGGCATTGCTGGGAATGATGGCAAAGATGGCAAACCAGGATCTCTGGGGGAGCCGGTAATGTAATTTATAATTGTTTTGCTCAGGCAATCAGAAGCTACATCCAGTTGTTGTTTTTAAAGCTGCCTATCTATGGACTCCTTAGGGGGAACAAGGAGCCTGTTTGCACATCTGTTCTTAACACCAGAATGACTGTATTGTCTTGAGCGATTTATAGGCATGACACATGAGCAATCTTGAAAAGAAACTGGGTTCTTCTACTTTTACAACTACCATAAATACACTAAAACTTAGTGACTCCACTTTTACAGCTGTCTTAAACACTGCAGAGAAAGAAGGTTGTCTTGTAACATTAAACCTAGTGATCCATCCTTTTGATAGAAGTTTATGGGGCATAAAAAAGTTTAGAGGAGGAGGAGTCTTTAAAGCTTTTTTTCTGGATTGATCTGAGATAGTTCTGTTGCCCAGAATTAGAGGGTTTATATTTGGTTTTCTCTATTTAGTCTATACTTGCATTTGCTGAGGGAAAAAAGCTGAGCCACAAAGTTGTCAGCTAAAGGCAACGTCAGTAAATTTGGCAGTGAATGTTATTTCTTGAAACTCGGTGTTTCATGTGTTACATGAAGAATGTGCTTCAAATATCAGGCATTACCAGCCTCTTTCTGTGACTTGTCAAATGGGACTTGGTGGTTCTGGGAACAGCCAAGTTCCCAGGCATTAGGACAACTGCTAAGTAGAGGAGTGCTTGTCACAGCAGCTGCAGATAGTTTGTGTTTGCACCAAACCACCCCATTTCTATGTGCAGATGCTGATTTTGTGTTGCTGATTAGGTAGTGGTGCAGCTCTGTGCATCACCCCTCTGGCACTACAACACTGCAAACATGCACCAGTCCAGAGCTGTAAAATGCCCCAGGACCTCAGAGTGCAGGTGACAGTGCAGGTCAAGGTGTGTTTGGGAATGTCTGTCACTGCTGTTCTCCTTGCAGACTCAGACCTTGCTGGACAAACCCTGGAGATCCCAGTTCTCAGTGGTGTTGTGGCTAAGGGAGAGGAGTGGGAAGTTTTCAACAGCAGCGAGATGGACCTGGGGCTCTCTCTAACATGAGCATTATTGTTTCCCACAGGGCAAACCTGGAGAACAAGGGCTCCCAGGCCGGGAGGGTGCCAGAGGATTGCCGGTGGGTGCTGCTCTGAAGGGTTCCACTCACTCAACCCCCTGTACTGTAGTCAGGGAGCATTTCTTGGGCAAATGAGGTTCTTTACTGATGCTAACTTATAACCAGCTGTGGCATTGTGACTAAACAAAATACATGAATAAGCAACAAAAATAGAACACAGACATTTCTGAATCCTTCACACATGGAGAAGAGTAAATCCCTTCCCTAGAAATGAAAGCCTGTAACCTCCTGACATCTCTCCACCAGATGTCACAGCTATAGTCCTTGTGTTCTCTGTCCTCTGAAAGAGTGGGGACAGCAAAATTTAGGGTTAAATAATATATTGGCTGGTCACACCAGGGATACACAGACCACAGCATTGGTTTTACAGCTTAAGGAACTATGGAAAGTTCTTCCTGTGATGTGGCCCTGCCTGATTACTCCCTAGGATACAGCTGCTCCATGCTGACCAATCCCTAGTAACTTTAGGCAAAACTGGAAAGGTTATTAAATAAACATTCAAGCCACAGTTTTCTTAGTGTTTCCTGCATCAGGGTGATGGATAATGATTGATTTCATTCCCTTGTGTAGGGCTTCAAAGGACAGAGAGGAGATACAGGTCCCCCAGGTCCCCGGGTAAGTAACAGGTACCACATGCACAATCCTTTGGATAAGGATTGTGGGAAATGAAGTTGCCCTTTCTGAGGCAGAAGGTAAAAATGATGACTGTGTTTCATGTGGCTTTTCAACTATGATTCCATGGGCCACATCTATGGCACAAAAATGACATCAGCTGTCTTCATTCCCTCTTCTGAACTTCTAATTCTGGAGAGGGTCAGGCAGCTGGTAGAACTTAATGCTTTGATGCTCCCTTTGAGATAGTCCTTTGTGAAGAAGTCTCAAGGATGCCTCCATACCACATCCTCCTGCTAAAATGCTGGCAAAGGGTGGAACTCTACTGTACTTGTTGAACAAGTACTAACTCTCCTCCACAAATGCTGACGAAGTGCAAAAAAGTCCATGTGTAAAACTTACAGAAAAGTGAATAGAAATGTCCCTTTGACTTAGTTGTCTGTGGGGTCATAAAACTCAAACCTCAAGTCTGCATGAAAATTGTTCTCCACTCTGTTTGGAGCTCCTTGGTGTAAAAGGGAGAATACAAAACTGGATGTTCTTCCACCTAATTCTGCCTTTTTTACAGGGAAATAAATTTCTCTGCTTGCAGAAGCTTGTGTGAAAAATCCAGTGCTGGAGATCCTCATCTCTTCCTCATTATGATAGCTTCTGTATCATGAATGTGTTGGTTTCTTTCAGTGCCTGCAGTAGCAGCAGCAAATAATTTGCTGGAAAGCAGAGCATTGCCTTGTGCATCACTTACAGGAGACGTCTCTGAGTTATTTTTATAAGCTGCATGTCATATAAGACGAACGAGGCTCTTGCTGGCTTTAAAAAAGTTTTTACTGAGCTCAGTCACACACTGCAGAGACCCCATACCACTTATAGTGGTGATACTGGTCTGAATTTGACCTTGAGCTGATCTCTCTTCCCTTTTTGCTGAATTGCAGGGGGAGCCAGGTGTGACGGGTCCTGCTGGTCGTGAGGGGCCACCAGGGAAAGATGTAAGTGCACTATTTTGAGCAGAAATGAATCTCCTTCTCCCTGACAAATGAAAAATTTAATTCACAGTGACCCTGACCTGAAACAGCTGCAGAAACTTCAGTAAAGGGTGAATTACTGCAGGGAATGATTTGTGCAAAGATCATTAGGGGAAACAAAGAATTAGAGGGCCTTTGTCACTGCTGGCACTAAAATGCCAGCTACATCTTTGGATAAGCAGAGAAAGCGGCATTGTGTGAAACCCAGGCTGTGCTTGGTAGCCATGGACCTGTCTTCTGGCACCCATCTCTGAGCAATGCTTCACTCTGCAGGTCCCACCAGGCCAGGCTGTCATGCTTCCTGTGCCACAGCTGCACCTGACTGAGTGTGTTGCTCCACTGAGGTCTGTGAAATACCTATGGAATAAGTTGCTGCTGCTCAGAGGAAAGAAAGATGGTAGAAACAGTTCCTCTGGCATGATTAGTGTCACATGCAGTGATATAACAAAGTCCTGGGAGGGTACAGTTGACGTGGGATCCTGCAGCAGCTGCAGTGCAATGTTCCAAGCAGCTGATGTGCCACTGCCATGGGACCTGGAGAAGTGACTTCTCATTTGCACCTCCCTGTGCCACTGGAAACTGGTGAATGAAGCAAAATGTAAGGCAGACCAAAAGGAACCCCTCAGAGAAGATGGAAGCGGCTCTGAAGCCTCCTGGGAGAGAGAACAAACTTGTCAATTCTTGAGAAATATCAGAGAATCTCTGTCCCTAAGAAATGCAGCTTTAAGATAATCTGATAATAACCTGATAGAAATTGTTTCTGCCTGTAATTGGACTGCATTTAGTGGTAGGTATTTAAAATTCAAAGGTTTGGTTTTCCTCCTAAATAACTGAAAGGGGGAAGTGAGACTCCTTTAATACTGCTTCCCCTAATATGTGAACAGTGTAATTTAGCAGGAACATTTTAAAATGTTTGTTCTTTTGCATCTATGTCAGACCTTTCTCACTCACCAGAATACTTTTCTTCCTCTCAGGGTGATCCTGGTCCCATAGGACCACAGGGCCCTCGAGGACCCCGAGGGCAGCCGGTGAGTTTTCTCTCCTGACAAGCCATTTCTAGAGGTACATCATAGTTCATAGAATGGTTTGGATTGGAAAGAACATTAAAGATAATGTAGTTCTAACCCCTTGCCATGGAAAGGGATGCCACCCACTAAAGCAGCTTGCTCAGAGCCCCATCCAGCCCAGCCTTGAAAACTTCCAGGGATGGGGCATTGTGTGTGATGGGAATGTTCTGCAGTCCAGAACTCTGGCTTGAAAGAAGAGAGTTTAGGAAGATTCAGAATGTTTGATTAAAACACTTTGCCTTTCAGGAAGACAAATAACAATATTGCTAGAAATTGATGAAGACTTACAATAGTGCAAGGGACTGATGGTTGCTGACTCAACTGCAGCAACTGTTCAGTGGGAAGAACAGTTCAATGGATTCTGTCAGGACTGCAGTCAGAAATACTCATATTTCAGTCCTGTCTCTGGGATTCTACTCACTTCTCACATGATCTCACTTTTCAAAGGTAGGCACTCACTGTGGCTACCCAGGCTGAGTTTTGTGGGGTCCACTTGTGATACTATTCACCTTTACTATTTTATTTCAGCTTCAGTGGAGAAACAGAAATCTAGCTGACAATTCAAAAAGTCTCATTTGGGATGGCTCAGAAATTACTTTTATTAATTTCATAGGGTTTAAAATTCTGTCTTAGAAATTAATCCTTATGAAATCTGAATAGAGATCTCTGTTGCAGAACCAAGGCACATCTTTAGTGTGTTGCAATGAATGAGTTCCTTTCCTTCTTGGAAGACCTGGCAGTGAAACAGAGTCTGCAGCATGATCGGGGTGGTGGGGGGGGCGGAAATGCTGACTCAGCAATGCCAGGAGTTGGAGCAGCAGGTCCCTCCAAGCTGGGGCAGTTTAGATGAGATTGCAAGAATATAAGGAGAGCTCCTGTGTCTACCTGATGATTGATCTCATTACTCCTGTACTGCTGGCATCACTCACTATTGTGTTGTGCCCCTGCACAACACTAGCAGTGAGTAAAAATATTTGAAGAGATAGAAGTTATCATAACTCCAGGCCATATTCTTCTTTGCAGAAGAGTTACTTTTATGTTGAAGGTCAAAGTGTCAGTTTGTCTTGTTCTTCCTTTTCCTTATTTTTTATCTAAAAAAGAGTGTAAGGCATGATTTTGAATATTGAGAGTACAAGGGCTAGTCTTTATGGCCAACTCTAATGAAGAGAAAGACTCTGCATGTTGAATTGAGAGGAGTGTAGAACTTCATCTCACCAAACTTTGTGCATGATTAGCTCAGCTGCTTTCTTAAGGAACAGTGAGAAACAGGTCCCTTCAAAGTATCATTTGGCTCGTTCTGAATTTTGGTGTCAGGTAAGTACCAACTGTTAGAACAAGTGTTTCTCTCCATTCCCCAAAAAAAGGGAAGCCTGAGATGATTAAAAAGACTCTTGTCTGAACAGGGATGACTTGGAGCAGCCAGAGGAGGTGGCTCCATCCATACAGAAGGATGCTGCATATGATGAGGACAAGGGTGAAGGAAAGGAGAAGGAGAAGTGGTTTGGTCCTCCTCAGGCCTGTGGATTTGTGTCCAAATACTGATTTTTTTTTTCCTGAGATCAGCCATGCAATCAGGGATGCAGAAGCTGTGAGGTCAGTTGGAAATAAGATACTTCACAGTCTGTCAGGAGAGGAGATTGAACAATGCTAAAGAAATCCCTGCTGGTGTAGGTGTAGCTGGATATTTCTAGTTTTAGCATGCATTACATCACTAAACTTTTTTTCTTTTGACACAGGGCAAGAATGGAGTGCCTGGATCTGCAGGAGAACCTGGCCCAGCTGGTATCCCAGTAAGTACCACAAAGGGAAACTCATGCATCCAGGAGAGGTGACTGATAAAATGTAGGAGGAGTGGATTATCTGTAGCTGGTTTGTGTGTTGAGGTTTCCATGGCTGAAGAAGGGTAATCTGAAAATCACTGTCTGGCCACAAGTTTGAAGGGGGCTTGGCTATGTTCCTGGAATTGAGATGCTAGTTGGGTCATCACTGTTCCCAGTGAAAGTTAAGTTTTCACAGTAAATGGAAATGATTGATTGCCTAGCATGGCAAAAAGATTGGCATGCCTCGTCTTCACCAGTAGATTTAATTTTGCCAAGCAGAGAGCGTGCAGCCAGCAGAGAGTTGTCACAAGGAAGGAGAGGGCCTGAGGGAGTTGGCAGGCTGCCATTGAGGAATAGTGGCAGCAGAAAAATCCTCACAGGCAACTGGGGGAAGAGCAGACAGCGGGCAGTAAACCAGGATCAGGAAGCATAATGAAACTCCCCTGAGGCCATCCTGTGGGGAAGAACAGCTTGAAAATGAAGAGCTGTTAGAAGGACAGTGCGGAGCTGGTGGTTTGCTTGTTTTTTTGTGTTTTTTCGTCTATTCTGCTGAAAGTCGTCCAGAATTCAGCAAATCCATGAAAATATTCCCTTGTGCCCAGTAGCATCTATCACAATGCAGGGCTCTTCCCTCTCTTTGCCCATGGAGACAGTACAGCTTGCTGGACTGTTGCATTAATAGGGAAACAAAAGCAGAGCAGGAGGAATGTGAAAAGCTGCAGCAGGACTTCACTCTTTGTGACTCTTGCAAAGCCATAAAACCAGCCCAGCCTCACCACTGACTTGTGCCCTGATCAAGCATCTGCAGGGATGTCTCAGAGAAGCAAATAACACCTTTTTGTGTGGGGAGGTAGGACAGGGTGCTGCAGTCTGACAGCCTTTCTGCATCAAAAAATAAGTGCCACAGGCTTTTTGTCCTTGACATAAGCTCTTTTTACCTTCCTGGGATTTCTGCCATTGCTTCTTGGATCCTTGCTTTTGCCTTTCAAACTTATTTTCTTCTTTTCATTACACCCACCCATTCCCAATTCCTATCACTGATTTTTCACCTTCTGGGTCTTTATCAGGTCACTGTGGCTTTGGGATGCCTTGTGAATGCCAAGTTGGGATTATTATTTTAATCATCATAGTGTTATCACAGTACCTATACGATGTGACCCAGAGACTCACCAGACAGCTTCCTGCACAAACAGCACCACAGCAGCCTTTGCTCCAGAGGATTTAGAGTCCAAAAATAACATAGGAGATTGAAAAAGGATAAAGTCAGATGGATGAGGAAGGGGAAACAATGAGGCAGTGCTGGTCAGCAGAACAGACAGTCATCTCATCATTATCTTTCTCTGTCATTAAAATGAATCCTCTCCTTTTCATAAAGGTTATTATGGGAAGTGTCTGCTTGTGCTGTACATAAATCTATTTATTTTGAAATGCACTAATTTCCTTCACTGTGTGGTGTGACAAGCCAATATTTTATATTTCTATTTTGAAAAAAAGGAGATGTGAGGAAGGTTATCATGACAATAAGGGTGATTTTTTTTTTCCACCTTCACCAGTGCTGACTTGTAACCACAAGGTAAAACCTGCCAGGAGCCTTCTCTTTAGGCATTTGCTGACAGTACTCATCACAAGTCACACTTGCTCATGCTTAAGCCCACACACAGAAACTTGCTCATGCTTAAGCCCACACACAGAAACACAGTCCAGCTCCTGAAGTCTCCAGGGCAAGTTGCACACCCCAAATCCATGTGCTTTGTGCCTGCCAGGCTCATTGGTGCTCACTTTGTATGAGTTTTACTCTAAGAAGAAAAAGGGCTATGTTCTGAACCGAAAAAGTAGGGAACAAAGCTCTGAAAGCAAAGGTTAAACTAAGAGTTAAAACCACATCAGAAGTGTGCCTGAAACAGTTCTGTATCATGAACTGTCATTTCTACTGCCCTGATCTGCAAGGGAAAAGGGACAGTTTGACAGAATATCACAAGAGATAAGTGAAAGACAGACATTTTATAAATTGAACCTGGAAATAAAGGCAAAGGAGAAGCCCTGTATCTGTCTGTTGGTTGTATTTTTTGATTTGAGCAGTACGACCACCTGCACTGTTTCCCTGTTATCACCCATCACAGCATTTCCACTCTCAACACCCCTTATAAACCATGTGACACCACCACAACCATGGAACACACCTCCTCCCCCTGCCATAATTGTCCCTTCCTTTTCATCTTCTCCCAGGGACCCTGCATAGCTTATTAATAATGCAACCACGGTGCCTGCAACCTGCTTTTCTAAAATACTTTGTTCTTCCTTGTCAGTGTTGGGAGTCCTGCTGCTAAAGGGAAATTTCCCAGTTCCAGTATCTGTAAATGAATGCTCTGGGAAAGAAGTGCTGGGGAAAGGGCTGCTAGTGTCTCTTTCATTTCTGTCCTAAGGGTCCCAAAGGAAATAAAGGAGAAACAGGCAGCCCAGGACTCCCTGGCTTTATAGGACCCCGAGGACCACCTGTAAGTATGTCTGGGGATGGATTAGATCCTCTCTTTACCTGCTTTTAAATGTTAGACAGGAAGATGGGACACGGTCATCTTCAGTTAGATTAAAAAAAAAAGCATAAGCAGGAGATCTGACAAATCCAGAAGCCATATAATTTTACTTCCAAAGGAAACTGGACTGCAAAAATAGCATTTTTCATATGGATGAGCAACCACAATCTCATGTATGGAGCTGGTACCTGCCAGTCAGCCCTGATAATGTACACATTAATCAGACTGCTTCAGTAGTCTTCTTAATTCAAGTATGGGGTATTTAAGTTCTCAGATTATACCTCTGCATGAACCTTAGATGGTCTAAATAGGGAAATTCTGAGTGCCAGTAATAATACAGGTATTTCTGATATTCGCTATTCTAAAGGGAAATTCTTTTGTTGCTAGCAACAGAGGTACATTGCAATTAAAGCATTCATGTATCTCCCAAAGTGATCTAAAATAATAAATAATTAACCTATACCCATGACAATATCACAACCTCAGAATCCAGTATCTTTAGACCTTTCAAAGTGAGTAAAAGATGTTGAATTCCACTGGAAGGATGGGAAAAGTGAATGCTGGGTTTTTGGTGTTTTGTTGTTTTTTTTTAATTTCTAGATTTGTTGTGACAAAAAATGAGATTTAAAAGATTTTTGTGTCTCCAGCAGAGCTGAATCTTTCATGGGATGGTTCTTTCTTCTTTCTGTATTTTTTAATATTTTATTTTATAATTTGAAAGTGAGCTTTTGGATGAAAAGAGGAGAAAGAAATATTTTTCTGGATAATTAATTTTAAGCAGCAAACATGGTGGCCATTTAAAACTAAAGTGGCCTTAAGGAAAACTCAAGTGAGTTTAATGCAGTCTAATTTGCATCACACATCTCTGATTAGTTCCATTTCTCATGGATACATGCATGGATACTAACACAGCTGAAGATGCTCTGTTTCCAGGGGAAAATATCACCTGAATGCATGTTATAGATATGATCATGTGTTTTGCCTGCAAACAGACTTAGAAAGATTATTTTTTTCTGTACATGAGATGGGAAAGTGGCCAGAATTTCAGGAACAAGTAGTTTAATGTTCATTTTGCTTTATCTGCAGTTCAGGACTGCAGTGATACTTTTTTCATTGAAACACTAAAATGGAAACTGTATTGTGTACTCATCACATTGTAAGTGAAAAAAAAATTAATATATATATAAATAATTCTATGAGGGTGCTTATTCAAATTATGATTATTTAATATAGTTCTGAAAGACAGGTGAGCAGGCTTAAAATTCCTTTATCCTCTGTATGTGTTTTTCCAGCTGGTGTAATACAAGTTGGTACTTCTTCCTGCAAAATTTACTTAACTTACATCTTCAGACACTTATACGTATGATGCTGGTGCTCCTTAATTTAAGCAAGGCCATATAAAGTGTATGAAGCTTTGGGAATTGTTGGTAAGAAAAAGGAACAAAATGTATTGAAAGCAGGAACACACTTGGAGTGAAACATCTGCCCTCAGTTGGTTTGTTAGAAATTACTTCCTGTTATTTATTTTAACATGGCATGCAAATTCACTAAAAAATTCTTTCCAAATAGCAGGATGTGTCTATCCAGGAATGACCAATAGCAGTAAGATAAGGATAAATCATGCAAACCTGCTACCATATAGAAGAAAACTTGTTAACACAACGAAAGACTTGTGGTTATTAGGTGGAGTCTTTCTTCCAACTCCTCCAGTGCAATGCTAAATCCAGTTTCTGTGTCTCTTAGGGAGAGCCAGGTGAGAAAGGTCCTCCTGGAAAAGAGGTAAGTTAAATTCTTAATTGTTTCAATATAAGATTGGTGTCACAGGGAAAAAATCATCAAGGGTGTTAGCACAGTTGCAACAAATTGGATTTTTTTGATAGAATGGTTGGAAGGGATCTTAAATATCATCGATTTATGCCCACCCTGCCAGGGGCAGAGACACCTTCCACTAGACCAGGTTGCTTGGAACCTCATTCAACCTGATTTTGAACCATTACAGAAATGGGAAATTCACAACTTCTCTGGACAGTTTGTTCTAGTGCCTCACCACCCTCACAGTGAAAAATTTCTACCAAATATCACCCTCTCTGACTGTGAAGCCATTTAACTCTTGTTCTATCTCTACAGTCCCTGACAAAAAAGTTCATCCCCATTTTTCTTAAAAACTCCCTTTTAGTACTGGAAGGGGCTCTAAGGTTCCCCCAGAACCTTCCCTCCTTCAGGCTGAACAATCTCTGCCCTCTCAGCCTGAATCCACAGCAGAGGAGCTCCAGCTCTTTGAGCATCTTTGTGGCCTCATCTGAACTTGCTGTAACTGATTCATGTCCTTGCTTATATTCTGGCACCAGAGCTGGACACAGCACACCAGGTGGGGTCTAACTGAAGGGAAAGCAAAAGGGAAAGCTCTCAGGAAACTGTGGGGTTGTCATGGAAATAAATTTTCCTGGGGTCACAGGAATCATTACAAAGGCATATGTTTCATTATTTACTCTTATTATGGATGGTGCTTTTATATTTACCTTTATTTTGTTGCAGGACACACCAGGGAAACAGGGTGCAATTGGCTCCAGAGGAGAGAGGGTAAGTTGGAGAAGATTACAAGTTATTTCATTATGTTGAAATAAAGAGAGCTATTTTGAGTTAGGGCCTGGAGGCAGAGGTCATTCAAAACTGAAGCCAGTGTTTCCCAGTCTCCCAGGTCTCTCTTTAATCATTCTCCATCAGAATAATTTGTGGATCATTTGTAATGCACCAGATGTTGTACTCAGCAACTTAGCCAGCTTAGCTGTGAGCATTTCTCTGTGTTTGAAAATCAGAAGTTTGCCTCTTATTCTGTGGTGGTAATGTCCTTCTTTTCACTTAGGGTGAGCCTGGCATCAAAGGAGAAAAAGGCCCTCAAGGAGAAAAGGGTCCTCCAGGTGATCCTGGGATACCTGGTCATAAGGGCCATCCGGGACTGATGGGTCCCCATGGACCTCCAGGAGACACTGGGCAAGTTGGACCTCCCGGTCCTCCGGGACAACCAGGATTTCCAGGACCAAGGGTAAGATCTCCAGGGAAATGCTTTGTATGGTAATTTTCCTGCCACAGGGATCAGAAAAGTGTCTCGGGATGCATTGAGGCTGACAGAAACTGGAGCAGGAGCATGTTGTAAAGGGAGACAGTGTTTTTAAGCTCTTAATACCCATAAAGGGGAGCTGTCTCACATCTCAGGGAATCATAGCATCATAGAATGGTTTGGGTTAGAAGAAACATTAAAGACGATCTAGTTCCAGCCCCCTGCTATGGGCAGGGGACACCTTCCACTGGATCAGGCTGCTCCAATCTCTATCCAACCTTGGACACTTCCATGGATGGAAGTTGGGAAAGGCTTGTGGGGGTATTGACTTGAACTTCAGGGGAGCTAAATAATCCAGACCCATAGTCAGTGTGGCCAGTTGCTGACACTTTTTATTGCTAAATGCCTAAATCAGGTTCTCTGATGGTAGCCACAGCACTGGAGTCTCAAAAAAGATTCTTTCTATAAGGGCAGTAATATGTAGCACTTCATACAGAGGACTAACACCTTCCTCTGCTGCTGGTTGTTATGAGAGACAAAATGCTGAGCCGTGGAAAGGTCACCACTCTATTTCTGGAAATCCTGGAGTCAGCTCATCAGAATTCATGAAATACTATTTTTGTTTAATATTCTGCCTCTTTTTTTTTTTTCCCCCTGTTGGTCTCACTACTGAGAATGCCTGAGGGTGGTTTATGTTGTAGTATGAGAAAAACTACCAACAGCAGTGAAGCAACTGTGCCCATCCTGAGGATGAATTGGAGATTATCTCAGAGGAGAAAAAACAGAGAATAATGTCTGATGTAAATGCTGACTAAATTTTAGACAAAGCATTTCTTTGTGTGTGAAATCAAGTGATAGTTATGGAAACTTAATTTAACTAATTGGGTTAAAACCTGAAAACATAATTTGTAAACCTTTAAAGTATGCTTCACAATTATGTTTACTTAGTGGGATATACACTAAGAGCTATCAAAAATGCTTAGTACTTAATGACAAAATTGTTTCTTTTGTCACCAGTGACACATCTTTTTCTCATGCAAAATTTGTGACAGCAAGAAGGTAACAAATAGACCAACTCTGTATTTATTAACAATGCTATTGATTAAAACTGAAATGTCACTTAGCTATTTAATTAAATCTCATGTTTTTAATGAAGAATAACTTCTGATTCAGAAGAACTCACTAGGTTTTCATAAAAAGAGGACTCAAACTGCATCCTTGTATGTTAAAAGAGTAAGTGTGAGGAAAAAGTAACACTTTTATAAGCAGCTGATCTACAAAAGAATGAAGTCTTTAGGTTGACCAGACAAATTTTCAAAACTGGCAGAAATGTAAAGAATAATTTTAGCCAAAAAAAAATTGCAAATTATATTTAAAGTGAAACATCTTACTTTCTGATTTATAAAAGAAATGTTTGCTCTTGCTGCTTGAAAATGGTTTATTGTTTAAATGTAGTTACAATTTTCTTTTGAGCTTTTGCAAAAGCAAGAGCCTGGCTACCCTAAAAGCTTTTTATTATTATTATTTACTTGGAAAGCCACAATCTAAAAAATTATTCTACTTATCAAAAATGCTTTCATAATTTTTTTAGTTACATCATCCAGAGTTGTTCACATTACTTTCAGTTTCTACAGCTACTGCAGCTGTACAACAGCAACAGCACAAAAGACCTCAGAGAAAGGAATAAAGATACTGTACCTTGAGGGCTGGGTAGGGGGCCAAGGCCAGGAAGCCACATCCCCTGCCTCTCTTCAACAGCCTGAAATCAGGCAAAACCTTGTACTGCTTTGGAAGAATAAGTATCATATGCATGTACTGGCTTCTGTTTCCCGAGATAAGGCCTGTTGGCAGGGGATACATCCAATGTAAGTGTTTTTACCAAGTCCAGATACCCAGCATTAGAACCTTTGGGGTACATGTACATCTCTCTGTGAGGAAATGTGCCATGATGAAAAAGAACATGGGATCTCTGCTGTGATCTGATAGGGCAGAGATGTCTCCTGATGTGATTTCTATAACTTGTCCTATAAATGCATAGTAAGGAGATTTTCTTAAGAATGGATATGGGAACAGTGTTGCAACTAGTGACCTCGGGACCCAGCTCCCTGCTTAAACCACTGAGCCCATGGTTTTCTAGCAGGCTGGGAACAGAGAATGACTTTGACTCTGTATCCCACAGCAGAGTCCTGGAAAAGCCGACAGCCCAGGGCTTGGGCAGGGGCCCTCTTTGCTGGGTTAAGAACTGTCAGGATGGCCATGTCCAGAGAGTGGTGGGGAATGGTGCCGTATCCAGTTGGTGTCTGGTGATGAGCAGTGTCCCCTGTGGCCAGTCCTGTTCAGTGTCTGTCCTGCTGATGTGGCCAAGGGCATTGAGGGTATCCTCAGGAGGAAATTTGTGATGACACCAAGGTGGGTGGGAGTGTTGATGTGCTGGAGGGTAGGAAGGATCTTCAGGGGCATGTGGACAGGCTGGATTGATGGTGTATGACCAGTGGGGTGAGGTTCCAGAAGAGCCAGGCCTGGGTCCTGCCCTTGTGTCCCAAGAATCCCCTCAGTGCCCCAGGCTGGGGGCAGAGTGGCTGGAAAGCTGCCTGGCAGGAAAGGCCATGGGGGTGCTGGCTTAGAGTATCCAAACTGACATGACCTGGCATGTGCCCAGGTGGGCAAGGAGGCCGGTGGCTTCCTGGCCTTCTATGTCAGCAGCAGCGTGGCCAGCAGGACCAGGGCAGTGATTGTCCCTCTGTGCTGGGCTATGGGGAGGCCACACCTGGAGTGCTGTGTGCAGGTGTGTGCCCCTGGTAAGGTGTGGTCAGTGAGAGATGCCTGTGTGTGAATGAAGGTGCCAAAGAGACCATCTACCAAAGTTAACAATGGGGATTTTATTTAACAAGAAACGTGTGGTATAGAGGTAGGGATGGGAAAGAAACAATGGGGATTTGATTTAACAAGAAATGTGGGGTAGAGGGATAGGGATGGGAAAGAAGAGAGTGAGAAGGGGAGTAGGGGGTAAAGTTGGGGTGGGGTGCCAATGCCACCCGGACCTGCCACTGGGAGCCGACCATTCTCAGGGGGAGCTGGCATCTCAGGGCCTCCTCCTGGTTCTGGCTCTGGGCTCAGTCCTCTCGCTGCCCCCTGAGGCAGCTGAAGGAGAAGAGCCGG